AATGAGTTGCTCAATATTTTTTTCGCAACGCTTCTATTGGGCGACTATAATATGGTCTATGTTTCTATAACTAAGCTGGCACGTGTGATGTGACCAAAACGCGGGGTTCATACCACTCCTAGAAATCATGGAAAACCCTTAATTCCTATAACATAATTCGTCATAATTCACATGTCGTAATTTGTTGTAATTCGGTTTTCATATGTCGGATTTCGCAAAACAACGAATTACAACGAATCAGTGGACCTTTTCGGTGATTACGTTACGACATTATCGCTTTAAATTTCGAACCACCTTAAAAGAGATGGATTTCAAGTTTTACTCTCACACGCTTTGTGGAAAGATGCAAAACATCCTTCTTCAACACATGCATTAAAAAGAATCTTTTATTTAGTATGGAAATACGACATAACGCGAGAACGAGGCTCGCGGTCTTAGTCGTTCTCGTGATATGGCTTATTTCTACATTTATTGGTCAGAGAAAAAATCTTTTTCATGCATGTGTTGAAAAAGGATGTTTTGTTTCTTTGCACGTGGCCGTGAGAGTAAAACTTAAAATCCATTTCATTAAGGTGGTTCTAAATTTAAAACGTTGTGACGTTAAAATCTTGTGATGTAATTACCGAAAAGGTCTATTATGACATATGAATTACGACGAATTATGACGACATGTCTATATTGAAATACGATTGAGAAACGTTCTCGAAACAGCTAATCATAAACATTTCGTGTGCATATTGGTTCTTTGGGAGTTATTAACGATTATTTATTCATTTTACTTGTATTATTTATTATTACTATGTATTATTATTTTTGCCCTTTTGCAAAGTTCACCGGCTTTGCGTGAGCAACTAAAAATATGATTAAACACAATAATGACAATATATCGGCTAACGGTTTTATAGCTACATACACGCTAGCACGTTTCTTGTATTAAGTTTCCACAATCTGCTAAACTTTTCATGTGCCGAATCGAATGCAAATAAATTCAAACAAAGGCTTTATTGGTTCGTTCATTGTCATTAGGTTAGGCACATGAAAAGCTCAACATTTGAAGCTTACCTTACCGTTTGATTTAACCCGGTTTATACTGGTAGAATTAAGTCAAAACACTGTCTTTGTTATGTTGGGACAGTCATCGGGTTGCTGAGGTACTTAAGGGGACAGAAACGTTTCACTATCTTTGGATCCCTAGTTTGAAATGGCTTCAATAGGATATCTGGATAATATCTTATAATAATTTTTTCATCGGTTGTTACTGAAGTAGCTCCGAATAGTTCTAGTGTGTCAATTTTGCGCCTGATAACAGCGACATCCTCCATCCTAAAACAGCCTTGCGTCTACTTTTGTTCATGCAGAGGTCTGTCATCTAGATTGAATAATCTGATGGCATGATTTTTTATTTGTATTTTCTGTTTTTCAGCTTGCAAAGTCTATATTAAGGTCGATGAAATAACCGGTACTGATAAACAAAGTTTTACTGTAAAATGTGAAGTAACCACACCTGATACATTTGATAAATGGTACAATAAAATGTACTCGTCTTCAATCGAAGATAAATTCAAGCCTAAATTCACGACGGATGGTGTCAGTCATATCCTCGATATACCATCAATGAATGTATATTTGGCTGGAGAGTGGTTCTGCTTTTCAAAGGAAGGAAACAATGATAGTGTTAAAATAGATTTCGCACGTAAGTCGTGAGAACTGTTGTATAAATTTTCTCTTTTTTGTCAAATAATCTGTATTTTGGTCACTGACGTTGAGTGTGATATGGTCTTAGGGGCTCCTTTATATAATTGGAACATTTCAAATTATTGTTCAAATATCAAAGCTTCTAGGTCGACAGAGCGGTATAGCTCTGAGCTTTCCGCAGCTGAGCACAGTAAATAAGCCCCCTGGGTTGGGTTGTACGGATAGCGCTATCCACCAGATTATGATTTGTAAAGATGCTTGAAAAACAATAAAACTACAGATTAAGAGCTAACCACTATTTCAGAGATCCACAATTTATGAATACCGAGATTTAATTCACGTTATATACCAAACAACAGGCAATTATAGAGCAATTGAAGAAATCATGCACGATCCGGTAGATTTCGTACGACCGCCTCAGTCCGGGGGCCGGTTGTATCAAGCCCGTTTAGCTTAAACGGTGGATAAGTTCAAAATAGAAAGCAAGTCTATCGTTTTATTCAACAAGCGAACTGAATGTTTTTTACCTTAATACAAAGATACTATTTAACCCACACATTCAGTGCATAATATTCAAGTTGACTCATTCCAGAGAGATGTGAGAGTGTTATTTAATATTCACTTATCCACTGTTTAAGCTAAACGGGCTTGATACAACCGTCTCAGTCCTGATGTATATGTGCTCGTTGAACATTTAGAACTTGTGCACGCCCTCTAATCTACTAGAGGAAGAAAATTTCACATAAAATAGCATTGGGAATTGCAATTGTAAACGAGTCTATGCATGTTGTGTTTTTCAGCTTCTATTATTGCACCTATTGTGAAGAATCAAAGTTTGATTAAAGATCAGCCAGGAATGATCAACATCAATATACGAGGCTATCCACATCCAGATTTCACCTGGACGAAGGACAAAGTAGCATTGAATATCACGGGTCGTTATGGTTTAGCTTTCAATGGGTCGTTGCTCATATCTAAAGTTGAAAGCGGTGATGGTGGCGTTTATCGTGCAGACGCGGTAAACAAAGACATATACTCCGAATCATCTGAGGATATAGCTGTGAATGTACTTGGTTAGTAGGAATTTTGGGTGGCAAGAGTCGAGAATCCATGCAGTAGCATTTTATCATGCTAAAAATTAAAGAAATAAACTAGGAATCCAGAATCTTTCACTTTCAGATCCATTTATGATCTGGAAGATTATGGGTTCCTAGTTTCTGAAACGGAAGAGATCTGTCTGTATGACGATCAATGAAGCGGGAGAGATCTCTCTGTATGACCGATTCTTTTAGGCTGCTAACCTGGTTCAAAGCTAATAATTTAACTCCTGTCCAAATATTTCACGTGGCCTCGTATCAATTTGTATTATAATAAGTTGTTGTAGTATTGGTAGTTAGTATTATCTAGTGAAAAATAGAAGAGACGAAGCTATAAGGCTAGGTTATGATGAGTCGCATTTTGGTCGCGTCTTATGCAATTCAAGCAATAGATGATGTAGATGATAAAAATCATTATCAACTCATCCTCTTTTGTCTAAATTGCATTCGACGCGAAACTGTTCCAAAATGCGACGCATAGCTGTCGACCGGTGTCGTTCACAACACAACCCGGCTGCGCTGTTAATCACGATTTCTTTGAAATTATTTAGTTACTCCAAGTATCACAGGGAAATCAATAAAAGTAAACCGAACCATTGGTGGCAAAATAGACTTTAATTGCTCCGCGACTGGCGTTCCTACACCAACTATCACATGGGAAAAAGACTCAAATGTTATACAAAATGGCGGAAGATATTCCATCTCTGCTTCGGGACTTCAAATCACGGATGTAGAAACAAGTGATGTTGGTGATTACACATGTGTTGCTGAAAATATTGTTGGACGCAAGCAGTTGACTTCGACCCTGTCGTTTGTTCACGGTATGGTCATCGTAAATAATATGAATAAATAGCGTAGCACGTAAAGTATTCTGACAATTACGTGCACTGTCTGGTTTAGAAATGCATAATTATTGTTATTCATATAAGTTTCATTTCAGTTCCACCAGCGATTACGCCATTCGATGCCCAAAAAGAGGTAGAAAAAGGGAAGCCGTTAACTGTGAGCTGTTTAGCAACGGGAAGTCCACCACCGATAGTTGAATGGTCTACAAAGAATGGCGATCCTCTAGCCGCAAATCAGCAGGTACAAAGTTTAATCATAGTTCCTTGGTATCCTTAGACCTTATCGAACAAACACAACAGTGTCAAATTCGTTTATTCATTTGTTTAATTGTTTATTTATATACAAATATATTTAGCGATTCGTTTTGTGCCATGTATACCTAATATAAGTTAGCTACTGCCATTTGTTATGATAGAATGTCCGATAACTTTAAAATCCATCAAGACAATATTTTTTGATAACAAAATGTATTGCAAAGTTCTTTAAAATACCTTCAAATATTTATTTAAAATCTGCAACCATGCTATAGGCACTTTAAGAAATTCATTTTTTGCTATGGAAAGGGGAAAGGACGTCGACGATTTGATAAATTTTTTGTTACACTGTATTAGCATATATAGGAAGCATCTTATTTATCGATTTGTCGTATACTGACCCCTTTCCATTATAGCTAAAGATTACTACCGTTTTCAAATAATTTTAGTGTTTTATAAAAAATATTACAGTCATGGCAGTCATGTAAAAAGAGCAATAACCATTCAAAGTTGCATGAAAGTTGTAATAGTTTAGACCATCGAGCAATTTATATGAATTCAGGCAAAATCTCCTGGTAAAAGCGAACTGACGATAGCAAGTGTTCAAAAAGATGGAACCTATGAATGCTCAGCAACGAATGGAGCTGTGGACTCTACAGGGACGATAATCAAACGTAAACGAACAATACAAATCAATGTTGTCTGTAAGTATATGGCGTCGGTACCTCGTTTACCTTACTCAGGGGCCGCAAAAGTGGGGAGGGGGGCAAATATTCATGTGTTCATGTTATCAGACCGTTAAATTTCAAAAGAAACTAATAATGGCGAACGTGAATGAATTAATATTTGCCCCTCCCCTCCCCCACCACTTAACGATCTTCCACGGCTCTTGCTTTTACTAACTCATGCTTTAGCTAGCATGTAATAGAAGGTAGAATATATCGAGTTCATTCGGAAACTTAATTTGTTTCTCTGCATGTAGAGTACCACCAGGTCATTCCTTATGTGTTATATTCAGCCTTGTTTTCTTTGTGTGGATAATTTAGTTCAACAATTTTTTTTACTCTTTCCTAGATCCACCGGGAAGTTCCAGAAGGTTAAGACGAGCGCTTGCTGGGTCGTCCGATAATAATCACCTGCAATGCGTCCGGTGTTCCAGTACCAGAGATGAAGTTGGTTCGTGGAAGCAAAGATCTCAAAGCAAATACTACGCAGAATTCAGTTTTATCTTCTCTGGTATATCGCATTAACGTAACAAATACAGACGATATTGGTGATTACAAATGTATTGCTAGAAATAAGTTGAAATCCGAGGAAATAGATATCACATTGAGTGGTAAGTATTTAAAGGGAATTGCGATCTCAGCTCAATTCCCCCATACTCTCCCTCACGGTTGAATACAGTTTCGTAAACACACCAATTACTTGCTTCAATTTATAATCGTCACTTTCAAACAGTTGCATTTTCGCATATTTTCAATTAATACCCTATTTTTAAATCTGATCAGATTTGTCATGTTGAAAAACAATTTTTCTTTCAATAAAATTACAGTCCCACTAGACAGACCGGAAATAAAAGACGTGAAGCCCACGTGTGATGGCGTGAGTTTCTCGTGGGCTCATGATAAACGGGGTTATATTGTGGTTGAGGAATACGAGGTGACGGTTAGACAATCTGCAGATCGTAAGCTGGTAAAAGTATCCTTACTTTCAAGCAATACATCTCAAAAGACATTTTCAGGCCTCGATGAAAATACTGATTATGAACTGGCAGTTAAACAAAAGACTAAGGTCGAAAATATTGGATTGAAAGCTACTAAAGTGACAACTACTACCACATGTATGTCATGTCTTGTTCATTCTGGTTGTTTGTTTTTTTTTGCAAGTGAGGGAGATATATAAATAACTTATATATTCATTATATATTCATTATATATATATATATATATATATATAAATAAATAACCATCATGCATGTATCACATAAGGCATTCAGTATTTATAAATATTGGGCTTACGTGCAGTTAGATTCGACCAATTTCTCCGCTAGACTATTGCAAAGATTTGTAACACGTATATATAATTGTTCTCTGTTTTTTCTCTGTTCCTTACAGGTCCGTTGAAAGAAATTAGAAATGCGACTATAAATGAGAATTCAGTGACACTTTACTGGCCCGAAGTTCCAAAGGATAATGTTGAATATATAATAGAGTATGGGATTAATGATCAGCGTTCGAGAGAAAAAACGAATAAAATTTATTGGAAGATATCTGATTTGGATTATGGAAAAACATATAAGTTTCAGGTGTTTTATCAACTGGGAGGAATAGAGAAACCGCTTACAGACATACGCAACATTTCAATCCCACCTCGGCGTAAGTATATACGTACTTTATTCATGATTATACCATGACGTTTAATACCAAATACGGTCGTGGGGCCCAGAATGATCTGCAGGCGTTTTATACACTGACATAAGTGACGTCACAAGCGGGATTGACCGTACAGAACTACTCTTATAAGTCACCAAATAAAAGCAATAACACATGCACTCAGAACATATTTTGAGGCCACCATGTTCAATACTACGTTCAATACTAGTCGAGAAAAACCCTTCCCTGACTTTGTGACGTATCCACAGAACTTCAAGATAATCGCCAGCTCACTTATTTAGGTCTATGTATTTTGAAGATAAAGTAGTAAAAGTTTTTTGAATAAAACAAAGTAACTATTTATGGCCTTCAATAATACCCTTCAACTATTGTTATAAAAACAAAGGAAGTGGTGTCGATATTTAACAGTTAGTCGCCAAAGGCGAGGTGATTACAAGCCTTCACCGAGCCTGAGGCTACTAATTGTTTTAGTATAAATTTCGAGGTGTTTACAAATGTGAATAAACACAATTTCAAAAAAATCTATAATTTCTTTTTTCAAAAAAGCATCAAAAATCTGGTCAGTCAATTGAATTTTGCAAATCAGTAGTCACCTATTAAGGCATCCAGTTTTTTTTTAAATCCAGCAATATACACACCTAAGCATTCTCTATCCAGTTATGGACACTAAAGTTTGACCATTATTTACAGCTCCGCCAACACCCACGCCTACCGAAGATCTTACAACCACAAAACGTAAGTTTAATATCTTGTATGAAACATGAGGCTTGATATTGGGCTTACGTGCAGTTATATACATCATAAAATCGCTGTTGTGTGGTTGGTTTGGCTTTGGAATTTACGGCACCACATCACTGTAAAACTCGCAGTGTTACACCAACACCAAAATGGTGTAAGATAAGTTGATAACACCAGATCCTTATCGGTGCTCATACCGCTGCAGGAATTTACACCGATTTTGGTGTTATGGCAACACCCCGAGATTTACAGAATTGACACACTGTAAATCTCGCAGTATTACGCCAACACAAGAAAGGTGTAGGTTTCTTGGCGCACTTGTCCTAAAGCGATATGGTCGTCTCATGTAGTATAGGAGTTTCAATATATGTTATAACAATCTCAGCCATTCCACCAAAGGCAATGAATATGCAAACAATTTGCTACTTTAGTTCTCTTAATTCATTTAAAACTTAGGCTCTTAAAACACTGGCTACATACTGGTTATCCTGGGAGCTATTGTTTTGAAATGTTGTAAAGAAACGAACATAGTACTTCTGTTTGAAAGATTCGATCAGCATAAGTGTTTCGTTTATATTTTTATGGTCATGAAAGAAAGTTTACAATGATTTACGGAAATCAGTGTCTTTATATTTATGTTAAATTTAATGTGCATGGCTAACAAGATTGCCCCTGCTTGGGAAGACAAATTTAAAGTACAAAATTTATGTTATTTTGTACGATAGATATGGATTCAAATTACCATACTTATTTTTCAAGACGTGCCTAAAATCCACGCTGTTATTATTTCAAAATATTTCTAATCAATTAATGGTTTAGTTCATGACCACGTTACAAACTTCACTATATACAATAGGTTCAAATATGACGACAAGTGACCCAACAACTGAGAGACGTAAGTGTAATATCTTGTATGTAACATGTGGCTTGGTATTACATGAACTTCACAAGGGGTATCTATAACAATAGTAACTCCGAATAAAGTAAGCATTTTCATTCAACGTTTCGACTTTATGTAGTCATCATCATTCCTGTTGATGACTAAATAAAGTCGAAACGTTGAATGAAAATGCTTGCTTTATTCGGAGTTACTATTGTTGTGTATTTTATGAAAATACTCAGTGGTTCCCGCAAGTATCTCTAACCATTTGTGACTATAGTATTTCAAATAACTGTGCGGTCGATAACTATATCGGTCGTGAAAAACGTGTGATTTGCTTTCAGCAAAATTTTCAATGCAACCTCTAGTCACGTCTCTGAGAAAACGTCTTATTAATCCTTCTTTTATTCCTTTTTTGTAGTGCCTCCAGGCCAAGTGGCACGCAAAAAGGGGCTAAGTGGCGGTGCCATAGCTGCTATTGTCATTGTTATTATCCTACTTGTTCTTATAGCAGTAGATATATTCTGCTGCTTCTTTAATCATTGTGGTGTGGTGCATATGTGTGCTGCTGCTTGTTCTGGTAAAGGACGTGAAAAGTGTAAGTTTTAGCTCCTTGTTTTGAAAGTTGAATAGCTTAACCACCAGAGGCCGCAGATGTATTTTAAATCTATAGTGGCAGTGGCAGGTAGACATAATTTAACTGGGTTTGTAGTTTAAGTGTAGATTTAATATTTGTGTGGATTTTGGTATCAATCGGTAAATTCAACCAGCTGTGCCAGTGCACTTCGGATGAATACCAGAACAACTAATAAATGGGGGTATACTTCAGCACTTATTTTTTATATAGACATGTCGAACAGTGTTCTGCGGGTTTATGAAATTTATTACAACAGTTGCCTTGATGGTCATGATACAGAATCTGAACATGATATGCATAACACTGTTATTAGGAAGTCATCGAGTAGCGGCTGGGAAAAAATATATAGACGTGGCAAATTTTTAGTCTTACAGCAGTTCTCTCTACTTTGAGGCAAGCGAAAATTATGGGGGGGGAAAGAAGAAGCGAGGCTTTTTAAAAAACTTGGCAATGTCTCCGCAACTTGCAAAGTGTGATCGTCCACATTTTATCTCAACCTTGTCAATGCGGAATTAAGTAGAATTGTTCAAGCTCTAAGGGCGCACTAGCACTTTGTGTGTTAAAAACGTGTCTTGATTACCTTATATAGATACTGTGGATGGCTCTCCAGAAGAGGGAACTAAATTAAAAGAAGTAAACGAAGAAGGGTAAGAGCGCTTTTAAGGTTTGATCAGGGTTATTTAGCCTAGCGATTTTAGTGTTGATTAAATTAATTTTGTGAAAACAATGCATTTTTCGTGGGGGGTATTGTGCCTCACTCACATTAGGAAAAGAGGGTGGTTAAACGACGTGATCTTGAGAGTATCCCTTAGCACCCTTAATAAGATTTTGAATGTACTGTGTTTCATGTTTTTTATATCTATATCTATATATGAATATTACTCCCGTAATTTCTTGATTTTGTTTTGAATTATTTTGAAATGTGAACTATATCCCTCCTCCATTTGGATTTTTACAGGAAAGAAGATCCCGGGGCCTAATTTAGCACAGCATAAAAGGAGATAGGCGTTTTTAAAGAGTAAAGAACATAAAGAAGCGTTTAGGGGGTTTTAACAATTAGGCAGTTTGTGCAACTTTGCGTATCGTTTTCACCTTCGCTTTTTACTACCTTTCACTGGGCTGACAATAAAAAGCGATTCTGAAAACGACACATGGTGCGCATTAATTTATCTTAGCATTTGATTTGATTCTTCAACTATGTCGCAACCAGACAAGTATTACGTTGTTATAGGAATATTACAATATTCCAGCAGATTTGCCCAGGAGTTCGTACACTGTTCATACTTTCGACTTCGTTAAATTTCGTACCGGACTCTACCCTTATGTGTATTCCAGTAGGACTAAAAAGTCTTTAAAAATGTTTGAATTTTAGACCTTGTTAATTTTAAAACGCCCTGGGAACAAGACTGCATGCTCATCCCTAGGATATTGCAGCATGAAAAATATACAGATTCAGACGCACCGGCATCGTTAGTAGGACATTGTTTACGAAGAGAAAACGCTGATCTTCGTGAAAGATACTTTAAATATCATTGTTAATCATCTTGTGATGACGTTGTAAGATGAACGAGTGCTGTAGTTTTTTATGTTAAACCTGTTATGCCCGAATAGACATATATATCTTGTATTTTATGACATAAATTATTAATTTACACAGTATGCGTGAATTTGTATTTTATTGCACCGCATTTGTACTTTTGCTTCACAGAATGTGTCTTATAAAGTTACCTTTAATTGCGACTAGTCCCTTTTTTTCTGATCACGGTTGAATGGTGGATCATATTCCATTGTGTTCCTCTATCGTTTAACATGTGCCCCCCAAGAGTACCCTTTATTGAAATCACTGTTGTGCATGTAGATCTTATTCTTTTGTCTATCTTAAAGTCTTTAATTCATTCAAATGCCCAGGGAACAATGATGTACACTTCGCTTCGATGCAGTAATTGGGCTGTAAACAGGCTATTTTGCATTTTTTTATATTTAAGAATATTTCTGACATGGCGTTATGCGTAGGCGATTAGTTAACTTTGGGAATTTCAACAAGGGTTGAAGTCATGAATCATGATTTTTACCATAAAATGCTTGTTTAAAACGTTGTGGCATACTAAAATTGGCCAGAGTAAACTAATGATGCTGAACTAGATGCAAAGGGTGTACCCTGAGACGTGCAAAATTGTTAGGAGATGGTACGACGTTAAACCTCGCAGCCAAAGATCTCCCAAAGTTGTTATGTAATTTCAAGCAATGCTGTTTCATCCGATCGTATTGGGCAACAACAATAATTCGCTGTGACACAAAAAGGTACCACGCATTCGATAGCTACAAACATTTGATCTTTACATGTATATAACAAATATAAGTCAATGACAGATCAAATGAATTTATTTTTATAACTATATAGCTCGGAATCCGGTTAGTACTGGTCAGGGCATGGACGAACACGTGTTTTACTTTCCCAATAGCGCTTTGATTTTGATATATACATGGTTACCCTAAGCTTTCTTTGATACCAAGCATGAAAATCACATCGGACGAGATGACATATGGCCCAAGGCCAAGTGACCGAAAATTCCCAGTAATCCGGAACAAATATTACATCGTTAGCTTTGTCATCTGACTTACAGATTCTTAGCGAGAGTTGCCTCACAACGAGCAACCTCGTAACGAGAATGAGACTTAAGAAGCAAATATCCTTTGTTTCGGACTGATCCTTAGCAGTGTCAGAAAAATGATCAGGAATTCGAACGTCGGCCATTTTGCACTATTTTGCATGCTGTGCCCTCTACTACAAAATGCATGCAGACCGCTAGCTGTTTTGCAACTCTCGTCAACTCCGTTACTACCATATAAGTTAAATTATCTTTATTTCATAATAAGTTACAAAATACACATATTGTATTTTACATAATATACAACATCACATCAATCCTAAAAATCTATTTCCTCTCTATGCTCCGAACGTAATCCTTAAAGGTTCCACTCTTCATCATAAAGTTATATGAATAGACCATTCAAAATTTAACAGCATCATGCAGTCTATTGCTTTTTACAACTGAAAACCTCGTTTCATAGCGTATCCATGTTTCACATGGTTATATATTCGCGTCGTTTCATCTTTTGCGTAAAAATATAAATTGAAACGACGCCATGGGCACATATACAGTGTAAACGTTGAACGGGATCACATCGCTTACTCAAAGTACATATGTGGCGAAAATGAATTTGTTTTATTCGGAAAGAACATGCAGTAGCTTCTTCCAGGCTTCTTCTTAGAGTATGTATGAGAGTTTAATTCCGTCAAATAATTTCTAAATTACATATATTATCAGACGCGTACTTTCAACGGGAAAAAGGTGCAAAATTCATTTTTGTCACAAGCATTTCAACGTAGAAGCTACACATCAAGTCATCAACACGACCTTTAAGAGGACGTGACCGCTATGGTTTCTTTTTTTCTTACTTTTTTACACTCAGTAAACGCGCAAATTCGATGCATGGACAGATGAAACTAATAATTCCCCGCAATGTAAAACACTAAGATAAGGCACCAACTGCGCATGTCTACACGAAGTCGTTTCTATGCCGTGAAAGAAGCATACCATGAAGTAGAACTAACTGTGTGAGTAACTTAGATGGCTTGTAGTTGAAAGCAGGTCGATGAAACAATTGCGAGATCGTATCAACTCCTGGCAAAACCATTTCATGAAGATTCAGACGAACATCTCTTCGAATTTCTTCGTAGAACCCTTATCTGAATACTCTCCAACAAACGATTCGTCGTCGTCATATTTATCTTCTGTAGACATTGCCAAGCTAACTTCCTCATCACCTGCCAAGGTTGATCCGTCCGAAACGTGAACACTAAAAAACGTAGCAATTAATACCTTTTTCCCTCTGAAAATAGTAATTTTACCTCCGCCTCCATATATGTTACCTTTACGCAACAACAGAATGCTCCCCTGGTTACAATAATATACAAATAATATCGGTCTTGTGAAAATATTTTGGGAGGTGGAATTCTTGAGACAGAGAAAGTTGGGATATGGTATGTCTTTATTGTCTTACCCAGATTTCAGGCTTGTAGCTCTGTCTTTAAACGGTGAAATGAATGGTTGAGGATCGTGAAGATCGTGCATATTGTGAAATCCGCCCCTCATTCTCTCTCGTTCTCCCACTAAAATTCCAGGAAATGGAAATATCAGTACACGTAAAGTAAAATATCTTTATACAGCAAATTTATGTATTATTTATATTATGCAAGTAACATGCATTTTCGTTACATTTTTAATCAGCGATGTGAATGTGAACAAGCATGATGTGAACATATTAAAGTACTCTCATAGGAGTACATAACGTATTTAATGCGTTTCAAACAAGCATGAGGGAAAGGGCAAAATGAGCAAAATATTCATACTAATAATATATAATAAATATATATACTAAATATATATAATAATAAATAATAATTAGAAGTTTTCAATTTCTTACAACGAGTAAATTGCAAGTGTACAGAATCATAAGCGCTTACCTTTGTATCGATTGGAACGTTTTAAATTCAAAACAACGATTATAAGGACAATAATGAACATTAGCAGAACAATCATAGAAATGACAGTGATGAACCAGTCCTTTTTATACATCGGGGAATCAACTATTTGACCTAGGAATTATATTCGAAGTGATTGTAGGTTAGACTAGAATGAAGACAATTGGTATTTAAACACATTAAACTGGTTACATGCATGATCCCGAGAGAAAACAAAAGCATGAAATGATTTTGAAGTATTAAAACCAACCGTGAGGTTGTAAAACCAAAGACCGAGCAAAATTATCTGCCACGATCATATTGTGAGTTATTTTTGTTCATCTCAATAGCTCAAATGCTCAATACAGGCATTTCATGTTTTGTTATTACAATCTTGGATAACCGAGATCGTCTGAAGCGGAAGTGAAGAAACGGTGCATTATACTTACTAAAACCAGGTGAATCAGTTTTAAAAGTAAAATACGTTGGCGGACCATTTCCTATGTTGTTGTAAGCTCTGATAGAAATATTATATTGCGTCGTCGCACTGAGACCATCCAATCTGTATTCGTTAGTTGACTGTTGATGAAGTATAAACACCGTAGAACATGGGTTGGTGGAAATGTCGGTACAATTATCACGATATTCAGAACGCTTCTTTCTGTTTGTCATCGTTCCCACTTCACCATACTCCAGCTAGAATTTAAAGCAAGACATATATACTTTGACAAGTGATCTTAAGGAAACGTTTTAATAAACTTTATCAACGTCATTAGTATGCTGTCATCGTCATTGGTATGATATCATCGTCATCGGTAGCGTGTTATCGTTATTGGTATGATGTCACCGTCATGCATTGGTATGATGTCACCGTCATGCATTGGAATGATATGATCGTCATTGGTATGATGGTTTTTCTTACGTTAGAACGGGATACCATGGCTTGTGGACGTGACTTGGACAAAACGATGTCACATATGCATGGCTATAATAGCCAATTAGAGACTATGATTTCTTTTAAATGAATAATAATAATAATAACTGTTCATTTTCATACTGATAGGCATTACCTTGTAGCCATTTATATTTGCAATATCAGAATTTTCTACATGCCAAGTAATCAATACCATAGATGATCCAATTTCTTTAATTTTTACTTCGGATATTAAACCGGGTTCTAAAGGAACACAGTGAATTTGTTTTAAACATTACCGTGTACATTACTTTTGGTAGCCGTAGTGTTAATACACACATAAATACTTTACATTTTAATTTATTCAATATTTGAAAGCAGTTCTATTGTACTTGTGATGAACTTGTGGTTTCAACAGAATGCTGAGGCATTTCATCAATTTTAACAATTTCTTAATTAATGATGTAGTTGAGTGGTTGCTTAACTATTCTCTGGAAAGTTCGTTAGCCTTTCCGGCCTGAACTTACTTGATTTTGGATCGGATACATTACTTTCCAAACAGCTAGGACCAAGGCCTTGACTGTTATTTGCTTGCAGCATAAAAACCAACGTTTGGCTTGCAGGAACATTTGGTAAAGTAAACTTATTTTCACTTCTTTTAACAACAGTGTGATTCCATCTCGAATCATTACGGCGTTTGTATTTCACGACGTAATTAAATCCTGGACCGTTAAAATCGATGTCTGTCATTGCCTAGTAAGGAAAAAACCAAATATATACAGGCTGTACTACTATTAATATAGGCCATTTTACAATCCATACAGTATGGAATTCAATATAATTATATCAAGTGATAAAATTATAGAAACATAGAAAAACAATTTGTAACCAGTTTATACACATACAGGTGCCATTTTAGATCTTTTTCATGTAGGTGTACGTAGTTATACCTAGCGAACTCTATATGGACGGGAATGATAACTTGATAAGTATCTTTGTAGACATATTTGAAGCCACATTGAGTACCAGTATTTTACTGAAAAGACTGACTGAAAGGAATGCTATTTTTCATACGAAACACGCAGAACATCTCCCAAAAATGAAGATGGCACCAAAGAAACTCTATAGTAATTTTAAATGATTTTCCCAATGACACCAAGATAATGTTAGGTGAAATTTCGTTGCACAGGTAACTTCCCATTCTTGTGAATCAGTAAATGTTTTCTCACCTTCCACTTGATTGTCATAACACCTGAACCCTCATCTTCGACATTCCTCGTCTCCAGGATTTTAGGGCATTTATCTGGACCTAAATGTAATAAAGCATTCAGGTATAAAATGATACGCTATGTACAGTAACACATGCGCTAAACACTGTAGTTTTGTTGGGGGGAAAGGCTGTATGGTAGGCTGACCTCTTAGTTGTGATTGAATGAATTCTATACAACTATATTCGAAATATCTAATCATCCATACAATTATAAATCGTATAAATTTTACTTACGGGTTGGTGAAGTCTCACAATTCTTATATTTAGTTGTATTAGAAGGTGGCCCATCGCCATATTTATTCTGAGTTATTCCTCTAAACCGAAATTTCGCCCAAGGTGATAACTTCTCCACTTTCGCTTGTCCCAAAGTGGCATTTATTCTTTCAGAAACCCTGTACCAGCGGTCTGAAGTGTCATATGTTGACTGCCATTCAATAATAACTGATATTTCATTGATGTTATAATATCCCACTAGACTGTCCCATCTCAGTATCGCAGTGAAATTATTACATCGTTGTTTCAAATGAAATCCACGAAGAGCATTTGGCGGACCTAAAATATTTTTCAAAAGTATTCAATATTTCAAGATTTGTTCAACCGAACACAAATGATCAATCACCAATGCGGTATCGTGCAAAAACCTCGAGTTTTTTCATTTCGTAAAAAGGCTAATAATGATTGTTAACTTACCAGTGATAAAAATGTCGGCTCTGGCACTCTTCTCAGCTGGAGCTGGTTTGGTTATGTATGCGACGCATTCGTATCGTCCATTGTCAATTTCCTAAAGAAAAATATATCAACAATAAGACATGATGTTAGAGAAAACATGCTATGAAGAACAACATCTTGTAAACCCAAATTTACATTAACGATCACATTTCAACTCTATTTTAATAACATTGTAAACCGTTAACTTGTTGTTGTTCCTCGGCGTATGTTTTCTGTTCTATTTTCTTAAATTTAAGGTAACGGCTCTTAGTGAAATATATTAGCTTTGATGAAAAACAAAGAATCTGTTCCCTCATGAAAATAATATAATTTAACGAATGTTCTCACAAGTAGTGTTGGTTTGTTGACACAAGAGTAGACATTGAGGAGGAAAACGTGCGTGGAGACACAAGTGGTGAAAATAGCGGGAACTCTAAAAAAGAGGATAACAGTAACGAGATACTAGAGTAGATGACACTATGCAGCAACAAAAAAGACACCAGTAACGAAGGAGACACAGGAAAATAAGTCACCATGGAAAAAGGTTTTTGTATAAGTTATCAGAGACAAAGATATCAGGGAAAAAACACTTGAGAAGAAGACACCAGGAAAGGAAGAAGACATCAGGAAAGGAAGAAGACATCAAAAAAGAAGCATCAGAGAAGAAGGCACCATTGAATACAATTTCATTGAAGAAATCGTCTGGAAAAAAACACCCGAGAAGAAGAAAAGAATATATGAGAAGAAGACAGCAGTCAGCAGAAAAGACGCTAGAGAAGAAGACATGGAGGAAGACATATAAAGTCCATATTCGTGCAGAAAAAAATATCAAGCTTTTATTCCAAGCATTTCAAGATCTCAATGGAAACAACGAATTCAAGTCCCTGTATATAATTGCACGCAAACGCATGCATGTACGTAAAACAATTCGCAGATTTTAGCAATGACTGAATGACTATGTTATAGTACTTTAATTTAGATTTAATTTGCCTCTTAGTACTACAATTGATTTGTATAACAACTATATGCGGAAATAGCATTCTTACGTTGGCATTTTTTATATTCAATTTCACCAATTTGTTCCCGCTTTTCTCCAAAATATGAGTGTCGTCATATTGTAGTTCACGGCCATTTAATCTCCATTTGTAATAGAATTCTTGAGATGACTCGACTTCGCATTGTAGGACAAAGGACGATCCTCTGCTGATATTGTAGTTGCTTTCAGGTTTTTTGAGAAATGTGATATGCTCTAAAATGGACAAAAGTAGGATGAATGATGAAAGTCTAATCTATATATATTGGTAACCTTATATTGTTGTGACATGTTGATGTTTGCACCAAATAAAAATTATCAATCATCATGCCATATGGATATAAGATTTAATTGAAGTTCAGACAGTGTTTAGTTAACAACGAAAGCTGCTGGGCGCTAGTATATCCTTGTACAGACTCAGACCACATGCACAGGGGTATATTTTTGAGAATCTATTTTTCAAGACAAAACTCAAAATTTCAATTCATACATGGATCTACACTTATTTACAGTGAATGTAACATCGAGTTTGTATCCCAGGTTTGTCTCCTTATAAACAATACAATACATTGTACTTCTCATATCCCAACATGCACTTTCTCTTGGATTTCAACGAAATGGAAACTCGAGTGTGGCTTTTTCATTTCTGTTTATCTCTTTGAAACTATATCCAGTACAAAGACGGTGGTTTAAGTCTCAGGTTTCTCCTAATGTTGCTTAGTTTCAGTGTGATGGGTAGGATGTACTTATTTCATACAAAATGACATTACAAACATCTTATAGATGATATGTCAGGTGGTAACTGGTAACATACCTGTTGTGACGTTAATCACTTTTTCAGCTTTACCAAATGCATTTACTGCAGTACATTTATATACACCTTCATCCTCATATGTCACCTTCTCATTAATAACGAGGAGCTCTCCGTCATTGACGTATTGGTATTTAGTGCTAGGAAGGAGACTTAAGCCATTTCTACTCCAGGTGTAGTTAGCCCGTGGAATTGCATTAGCTTGACAAGTTAGAGTTGCATGAGAATTTTTCAGGAACACGACAATGCTGCTTGATATATTAAATGTTGGTTTCCGTGCTGCAGAAAACAAGTGATAATTGTGAATGCCTTAATTGTTTATGATATATGGTGTTCTTATTTTATTCAGGTGAAAGTAATGGCAAAAAGAACATCCAACAATATTCTTGATGATTTTCATTGCTGCATTTAGTAAGGTAAGTACAATTTAGTACATGCATATTAAACTTTTCAGTAGTTTTAATAATGAAGGTCACTATTTGACAATGGCGAAGTTTGGCCTAGTTCAAACGTCGAATTCAATTCAAACAATAGATAATGAGATGATAAGGTGGCTGAATGATGTTTACCATCTCATTATCCATTGTTTGAATTCGACGCGACCAGGCCTTTGAACTAGGCCTTAAAAATACACTCAACCGACTCAGGATTTATACGATTTATAAATGAATGAATAATATATATAATTTCGCATTATGGCACTTCGATAACATGATTTGATAACGTGCAATCATGTCGGGTGAATCATAGAATAAATACCTCGAACGTGTAATGAAACAGTTTGGTAAATGAATCCAAAATCATTTTCTGCTACACACTGATACATTCCAGTATCTTCAACGTGAACACGGCTGAATGATATTTTCCCGCCATTAATTCTATGTCTTTCACTATCAACCATAAAGAAAAGAAAAGCTACGCGCATGGTTCTTTATACACATATCAGAGAATGAAAGTATGAAACAGAGTAGGCTATATGAGACTTAATATTTATTATAGTGGATCAGCTATACTCAGTACACTACACAGTTACGCAGTTTCAAAAAGTTACCTTCTTGTATCCATTTTGCTAGCATTACCGTACCATGTGTATCTAGGCACAGGGTCCCCAGTAGCTCTACATTCCCATGTTAGATTAGTAAAAACATCAACAACCTTATCTTCGATCTTAACATCAGGAAGCCACACAGGTGCAACTAGAAAATTTAGTTTTGGTATTTGGATAAATTTAAAAATGAGAGTACGATTTTCTGTGCATAGGAATAAAGCCAATAAAAGCATTCAAAAACGAATGTTTTTTTGCTAGAGGTTCGTGGGTGTTGAAGTCGATACTGGGAAAACCTTTTACCTCGTTTTACGATATTTGTGCAATGCCACTCTTATCATTCATCTCTGCATCTATCCATCCCATCCGCTTCAACACATACCTTTTACAATTAACTTCCATTGCACCATATCACGTTTGGCATCAATTGTTGCAATGCAAGCATATGTCCCGTTATGATGTATGTCGACATTTTGGATTGCCATCGTATGGTTGAAATCCCCAAAATCAATATCTTTTGTGTTAGTGATGTCCACTTCGTTATTTTCGTCGTCAATCCTTACCCAACGATATGACGGCGTTGGACTACATACAAAAAATAGTTAAGGTCAACTGAGACCAGTCAAAAGACCTGTCAGGATTCGTTGTTTCGATAGACATTGATCGTTATAAAGGGAACGTTGTGTAAAAACAGAATTTTGAACAGGATTTTAACATTGGTGATTTGAAAGCTAAACGTAGGACTTTCATTTTCAATCAAATTTATTGTTAACTATTTCTGTTTTAGACAGATGTATCAACATTGCTTAACATGTGATGAGTCTCGATAATTTTTTGTATAAATGGCATTTGTAATGAGATAAAAATTCTCATTATTAATTATTAATAATAAGGTTCTGCTAAAGAAATTGATCCTTAAATTGAAACTTAACTTATCGATACGTCTTCTAAAGCAAGCCAATACAGCCAGATGTCGTGAGATTTGCGAGGCGATTATATTGTGTAGATTTTCAGTAGCGTAGCCAGCCTGTCGGTAATTTGTCCCGCTATGCTAATATTTTGTTATTCACTGACTGTGAAAACAATAGATTTCTAAAGACATGAATAATTATAATTACTCGAAATTTACATAGCGGGACAAATTCGTCAGGCTGGCTACGCCACTGTAGAATTTTATTTTTGCACTATGTATAAGCGCTGTATAGTGGACTGGTAATTGGTCTCATTTTGTATACCACTCTGAGAATGAAATGCTAATTAATACCTTCCAGCAGCAGCGCAGGTGACCTTTACATAGTCAGTTCCCAATCTGACTACCCTGTCTTTGATCGCAGTAACAATCGTCGGTCCAAACCGTGACGCGTTCACTAAAAAGACAAGACTGAACTAAACATGCTGCATTTAAAACGAACGACTGAAGAAATCATTCATTTCATGCTCGCACAAAGCAATCTAAATTATGCCGTTTACTTAAATTTGCTACTATTGGGGAGGCGCTCATTACATTTGGGGCGTGGAATGGATATGAGCGTGAAGTGTGTTTATCGAAAGTTCTTAGAAGAGACGAAGTACAAGACGATGCTGATTATTTATGTGGTTAACCATGTGCTATTGCCTAACAATGATACCAAATATCCATTTAATTCGGATCCACAAGCAGTATAGTGAGAAACAGCTGAATGCAAGGATTAGCACCGCAATATAGCTTAATATTGACTGGAAAATGTCAACTCGCGTCTCACACCCATATATAGATATGCGGAAGATATCAAGATGTCCTTTTGTCATAGTTCTTTTTACTTCTAATCATTGTTGAAAAGTTATCTTGACGACGATTGATTCAGCCAATTTTTATTACATAAACATTTCAAGACGGAAAGATCAAAGAATATTTTAAAAAATATTTTTAACATTTCATTTCTACATGTTGGGCTTTGTGCTACATCTTGAAAACCTCGTGATCCTCCAACTTCATTAGTGGATTTACGAGCTATTTAGCAGCTAGTATATACATGCTGCTGTAAAGTTTTATTTGTTGCGACTTATAATATGATAGTATATATAATTCGAAGTGGTAGAAACGAATATATCCTCCGCCATATACTATAATGAGTAATAAAATGTAAACAACCCATGCTTACCTCCTGTTTTATTGAAATTTATCTTATGCGATCTTGCCATGCCATGAAAGCTAGGAAAGAAACAATCTAAAATACACCCATGGCCACCACCCATCAGGCCAAAATCAATTATATCTGTATCGTCAACTGCGGAGAAGAATAGCGTTCCGTTCGGCAAAACTACACGATGTTTGAAATCTCTCATATGTTTTACACCAGTAGAATGACTATGTCCTCCCCATTTGTAAACACAGCCTCTTGTGTAGGAGTGTTTAGGACATTGCAAAGAGTAAGGTCGTCCAACCACCACTTGACGAATGTCTGGTTGTGACTGACCTCCTATAAAGGACCCGTCCACTAGAAAAGAACAAGATCAGTCAAACAGATTGTTTTCTAATCTGCAAATATCAATCGAGTTCTTTGTAGTATGTATCTTTGTGTTGAACAATTGTAAAAGTATGAACACTAGCGGATGAGAGAGGTAGGGGTGGGGGGAAACCGGGTACCTATACCCCTGGATTTTATAAAAAAATGGGACATATACCTTTGAATTTTACATCTATTTTTCCACAGAATATTCTACCAAATGGGGATGAAACGAACAACTGATATTTTCCTTCGTAACGTAGATCCACAGTGTGCTTATCCACAACCAGGGTATTTTCGTTAAACGAAACAAAGCTTAAGTTATAGCGCGAATTGATAAGATTTCCATTATGATACCATCGATATATCTTGTCACCAGATCCAGACACTAGGCAACGTATACAATTAAAATTACTTGCGCGTCCATCATAATCTGCAGACTCGTTCAACACCTGTAACTGTCCTTCTCCTATATGAAAATAAATGGAAAGACGAACTTTAGCTTTAGCTATAAAGATCACCTTCGTGCATATATATATGTATATATAGGCTACATAGGATATAAACCATGGAGAACATAAACTATTATATTTTTTATCAATTCATGTCGCATGGGACAGATAAAGACTAACATACAGGGATGAGGGAACATGTTTTAAACTGTCAACACAGGCCTATAGGCTATATAATACCGGTTAACACCTATAAATTTGCGCATTTGGTGGTAAAATGGAGATAAATATCAGTGCATGGAGATACGATAAATAAGCCTCCTTTATATAATACCTAGATCCTTAGATTACTCTCCACTTTTGACCTAAAACACGTTTCCTTTATATTTGATTTACATATTATATATGATAATTTAATATATATATATATATATATATATATATATATATATATATATATATATATATACATATATATATATATGAAAATATGATAATTATATAATATATATAGAAGTGATATTAGTGAAAGTCGAGCAGGGCGCTAATATAGAGCTTGGGCGCGGCCTGTTCAGGCTGTGCTATAAGTTGATGCATGAGGTGGTTGTTTTGTAAGAGGGCGTGTGGTAAATATATGTAGTTATGTAAAAAGGTAAAGAAACTCGGGCGATTACCCATGTATCTCGAAGCGAACTCGAGAGAGTCTAGAGAGATTAAGAGTTTTTAAGGAAGCATCTAGTTTGCCGGTAGTTTACATCTCAAACTGGTGTTTTTGCTGTCACGCTGACAGAATGCATGCAGTTGAGTTAACATCCGTTCATCATTGCCATCCTTTGACCTGTTTGTAATCGAGGTCATGCATGTCACTTTCACAGCTTAATAATTCCACTGCATCCCCTTCATCGGCAAACAACGTGTAGGCAGGGCAAGGTTACTCGGATTTTATGGCCAAAATTTTCCTATCGTGCAAGGCAAATTGTGTTTGACATGGAATATGATAATTATACGGGTAATTATACTGACGCCATTTTTTGTCAGGCAATATAACGACAGATCTTATTAAATTATCATCACCAACGCTAGAATAATAAGTAGTGTTGTAAATGTTGCCGTAGAAACCGCGAACACCTGCTCCTATAAACTATACGACGGGAATATAAGAGCACTTATGGCGTAGATTAGGAAGTGAAAAAAAAACAAGGAATAGTCTGTTCTTCTGCCACCCAAATATCTCTCTAAAACATTGGCAAACTTTCTTTAAAGGCAATAACAATACCCTAATATAATTCATGGATATCTGTATATGATTTGAAAAATTCATGAAATGCAGTACTATTTAAAAGTATGAGTGAAGTCTTAAATTACGTGGCCGATACAAATAAAGCATCGACACAGCAGAGCCAGAAGGTTAAGTGCGACGAAAAATTCTTAACCAGAATCCTGTCGTTCCATATCGCATAGATAATTTCTATAGTATATATTATATAGGCTAGGCGAATTAAAATTCGATTTTTTTTCTGATATATTCCATCTTTGTAAAATGCATATTATATATATATATCTAAACACACACACAGCGGTTTGCTGTTCTCTGTGTGTGATTTCATTCGCCGTATAAAGTCTCTCGGTGGTTGAAATCAATTCTACAATCACGTATACATGGCAAGGTGAATACATTAGGTTGAGTACATGCAACTGCTTACCTGATTTAAAATTCAGCGTGAGAAGAAATAACGATGTTAAATAGATCAAAGTTTTCGATTTTATAAACAATCTCCATGTTGTTTCCATTGTTTCTTAAAATAAAAGCAAACTAATTTGACATATCAGTTTCACATGACACAACGGTTATATAGGGTCAAACGGTAAACTGACTTGCAAACTTGTATGATGATAATCTCTATTTACCCTTGCTCAGCCAATGAACTGTTTACTCTAATATCCCGTATGCAAATTCCAACAAAAGTACGCGTTTCGACTGGTTAATTTTGCAACATATTGAGATGGTGTGTACTTGCGGAGTAGAATTTTTCAGCATGTCAGGCTTCGAGCATATCTCGAGTGTGTCAATATATACGAGTTCCAAAAATTTTGCATTAGAAGGGAAAAGCAAATATCGGCTCGTATGGAAAGTTATTATTTCGGCATCACCACGTGGCGACAATTAGTAGAATGAAATTGTTTACATAGAAACTCGAAAAGCATTATCGTATTTATATAATACTTTGAAGTGAGCCGCATTCAGCGTGTATGAGAAAATTTGAAAATATATATCACCAATTGCTATTAAGCTACATACAATACAATAAGCTAAGCTAAGCTAAGCTGCATACACTACAATACAATACAACGCCAACGGTAACTTTGAAAAAAGTAATCATTTTTATTATTTACCGTTTCGACAGCTTACTTCGGGACACCAAATATAATAAGAATGCTTACGTTATTCGGAGATACCGTTGACGTTGGCGTTGTTTTGTAGTAAAAATACTCTGGTTCCCGACTTCCCGCTATTTTTTTAAGAACATACCAGACAGTCTTTGAGTCGAAGACAAATGATGCCATTGACGCTTTTTTGACCAAAGCTGGTTTAAAGGATAAACTTAATTTGAGAGTACTTGTGACATTGCAACCAAGTGGTGTGACTGGTGCCCGCTATCACGTTCATAGTCTCTTCGTTTGTCTTTGTTAATTAGTAACAGTTAACCTGCCCTAACAAAGGCAGCACTTATGGTTGTCATCGACTCCGCGATTCCGAACATGACTTATTTTTTTCGACAGCGAGTCCTAACTATTAAAAGTAATTTGCGGTTTATACATACTGACTGTATGCAATAGGTAAACACAGCATATATTATTCACGGTGTTTTGATCTGAAAGCACCCTCAACGGATCTTATGATACAAATTTTGTATGACCGTCGTCCGTCCACAGGCGGACTGTCAGCTCGCCTTGATTGAAGTTAACAAGTTTTAACATACGGCTATTGCTTATTATCGATGATGCAATCAGGCAACTATTCTGAGAAAATATTTGTCATTAACTTTCAATGTTGCCAATTTGTGTATATATATGTACACAGATCAGTATGGCGTCCTGCAATGGGAACTAACATGTAAAGTAAAACTGTAAAACCACGAGATAATCTAGGACTAAATAGTATAAATGGCACATGTTTATATTTCCTTCTGAAATGCATTGTATATAAATCTTAGGCTTATCCTTGGCTAAATACATCCGCATATAGCCACTTTTTAAGATGCATGAGGATCCAATGCATGCACCGTCTAAAAGCTTGCATGTATTATTTTCTTAAAAAGTTATCCTGATGTCTACGTTATGTAACAAACTGTGTATTTTCTTTCTCAATCTTGTAGTTCTAGTTTGACTTTTGTTTCAGTTAAGACCCGGTAAAGTGCTTGTCATGTTTTTTTATGTATTTACTAAGATCAGAGACTTTTATATTTGCACATTTGCGCATGCGTGTGACGTTGTCGATGACAAATCCGCATCGGGTATACGGTTATTAATGATGTTTCAGAAATTGGGTGCTGGATAAAAGATGACATTGATGCACGCTGCTAAATCAACAATTTAAAGCCTCGCGTTGATAGAGACTGAGCCATACAAAACAATTATTCATATTTTTACCTTGAACGTAATTACAGCCCCTTCTTGTGTAAACAAGCTAAAATATTGCCACCGCTGTTTGTACACTCGATATATTGAACTTATTTGATATTCCTCAAAGACCACTTGAAAAAGATCGTTGTCACATAATAATTAAAGCTTTTTTGAGGCTGCAACATTTTGATCATGAACGTTGGCCAGATGTTTGAGAACGGAATTGAAACATCGTAAGACAATACTGTATTTCTAGCACGGGTTCAAGCGGATTTTAATACCAGCAATTCAGCTTTTTGGTAAACATTCAACGTATCGTTTTCCTGTTTTTCCAACGTATCAACTGATCATAATAATCTTCGTCGGGACCGGATGTCATAGTCAAATCAAGTCTGCAATTTTTTGCCAAACAAACGTCATGACTTACGATTCTTTAAAACTATGTTCTAAGTTCTAACCAGATGAAAATATAATTATAGTGTTCTCCTAATTTTTACAAAAATTTTGTCACTCAGCTGTGTCTGCAAAATGCAAATCTAAATAATCTTTGAGTCACTCTTTACACACAGCAATAATATATCATAGTCAAATGATTCAAATATAGCCGAGCCGAATATATCTAGTTTTCCGCGTATTTATATGTACGAAAGTACTATATGATATTTCATATTTTATTACAACAAGAGTTTGTCCAATGAATAAACAGTGAGTTGTTGAAATGTTTTATCATTCTGCATGTTTAATAAGTTCGCAAATAACCCGGCAATCACAATATGACCAGGTCCACACAAGTTATTATTCTACTTTCTACACTATTATTATTTCCATGCAACACCTATATTAAATACTATATATACCACTGGTCAATATGTTTTCAGTTTCGTTGCGTTTAGTTTCGTTATTTAACTAGCGATCCGGGTTCTCACTTCTCAGTACCAGTTAAGATGGATCAGTTCAGCGCTGGTTAATGTGCTCATTATAATCGGAAAAGCGCCATTCAGAGATATACGAGAGATCGAAACTGACGATTTTCGTTTTCGCCATTAATAAACAATAACATGGTCCTCATGGTCAACCAACTGATAGGACATTCATGAAATACTGATATGATAGATGTTTTATCACATAAATAACATAATACCTTAGCGGCCCTGGTTACACGTTATACAAGACAAAATGTCCCACAAAGCAAATAAAAGTGAATTCGGACATTGTACATGAGTAACCTACAATACGTAATTATCTAATAAGGCATAGATATATGTAGGTCTAGGACTAGGATCAGAAACCAACAATAACTATATGGACGGCGAGTCAGCGAACGCTTTAATACTAATCTCCCAGCCTGTCAGACCACAATATATATACTATATACTATAAATACTATACATATGATACCTTCCTTACACGAAGTACGCCATTAATTCACTTGCAGAAGCTTGTTATGCATCGTACCTTAAAAAATTGTTATGGCACCGTTCACTCGGAGAGTATTAACTTGCTCGGCATATATTGACCAAACGCGCACGCGTTATCTGAGTGACAACAGCGTCAGTTATAGATACATATTGACCATTTCCGGGTGACGCACTAAAGCCAGTGTGGCCGAACTTTCTTTCATTAGAACCGTTTTAGTGCATCATAGTTGATACTCCCTCTACGAGTTGAACTTAATTGTGGTTCTTAATTTGAATTTTAAAAAATATTGGCCAAGGATCAACTTTTTATGTTCGACCATGACTGAATTTTTTCACTTTTTATTTCAAATTTTTTTGGAAGAGATGTGACAGATGACATTGATCATCTAGAATTTCAAAGCTATATACAGTATACATTATGCACGTAATCGGCGATAACTAAAAAGTTGTACATTTTACTAATGCACTGCGGTCTCAAAATAATTTAAAAAGCGAATTGAAGTTTTTTGAAGGACAAATATAAGAAAGGATGTTATTTTCTTCGTTTGTGTTGAAGTTTTATATCATTAAGTGATTTTCTTCTCATCCTTTGTTAGTCATTTATGCTTGATGCTCGCAATGCATTGTGGTAAAATGTACATGCTGCCATCTTTTTCGTTATGGTCAATTTAAGCCCCGTTTACACTACACTCAATTTATTGGCACGGCACGGCTAAAATTGATACCCGTACCCATTTTTTTAGTGTTCACGCTGAGCCTCGTTCACAGGCGCTTTAAATAAAAAAGGCCGAGTACAGATGAAATGGGCACGGGTACCCATTTTAGCCGTGCCGTACCAAAAATCGAGTGTAGTGTAAACAAGGCTCCACATCTGAGAAACTGGAACTTGATATGGCCTGTAGATCAACGTAATTGTACACACAATCAGTATATTTTTCTGAAACTTTACCGATTGCTTGGTCTACTATTTAATGTCGAGATCATGTCACTATATGACTTATGATAATGTACTCGAGAAGTCAGGATTTTCCTCATCAACAAATTAAAAATCCAACTGCTTTACAGTATTTGTATACTATAGATGTCAGATGACATTCGTATACCGTGGGAATGCACTGTTGATATACTCCATTCTACTGATAAAGAGCTCTAAAAACACTTCAAGAGTGTATCGGATTTATCTTACGCGGGGCCTGTGGCATTTTTTCAGTACGGAGCACTTAATTTCTAGTATACCATGTTGTGAGTAAAAGTCTGAGTTATTAGGCATTATTATATACATTTACTTTACAATAACCACGAGCGTCGGCATCCTCTTATACTAATTACGAGTGTATATTGTATGAGTGTAGCCTAATTTGTTTTTTTGTCGGATTCCATTTGTAATACATGAACACTAAATTTAGTCACCATGTTGTCAGCAGTTTATTATAGTCGTGTATAGTGGGCTCAGCTCATATAACAAGTATTAACAATCATGCATACACTTCAACCTCGTACCCAGGGTCTTTTTACCTACGCTCCACGGCCCACGCTGCGGCGAAGACCCTGGTATCGGCTGGTCACGTGGTGGCATGTAAATTTTTCCCCTTTGGGGGGGAAGGTAAATTTTTCAGCCTGGTCGCAGGCTACTTTGTTGCCGGCATGTTGAAAAATTCGACGTGTGGGCAATTTCTTTCGTGCTTGGAGTTCGCAATATTAAATAGCTTATATTGTGACGTTATTTTAAAACCAAAACAGGTGATTTGCCTAGAAAAGGCATTTTTGAATTTGGATATTCTGGTGGTTCTACCTACAGGATATGGTAAATCTTTGATTTTTTACTTGCTTCCTGCCTTGCTTTATGCGAAGAAGCATGGTGTTTCGAAAAGCGAAATAAACATAACATCAATTATTGTGGTTGTATCACCATTAAATGCGCTGATTGCTAACCAGATCTTGCGGTTGGCCTCTAGCGGAATTCGGGCAACTGTTGTCGACGTAAGATCGTCAATAGAAGTTGAGGAAGAGGACAAAGAAATACTTGCCTGCGACTTACGTCTGAGCGACAAAGCCAAGCTTGAAATTGGACACTATAACATTGTGTTCGCACACCCTGAAACGTTTGTGTCATGTGCTTATGGAAGGAAGTTAATGCAGAGTGAACCTTACCAGGAAAATGTCTGTGCGATTGTTGTAGACGAAGCCCATTGCATCTTGGAGTGGTAAGTTTAACGATATTCACTTTTTTTAATATTTTATAATATTCAGAACCAATGGTATTGTGCTACAGACTGCTACTGGTGCAGTAGCAAAGTTTAATAGAATTATATTGTGTCATTTCAGGGGTAAGGATTTCAGAGTGGACTATGGCAATTTGGCTGTTTTGTGTGCAACATTTTCAAGTGCTCCAGTTGTAGCCATGACTGCCACAGCAAATAAAACTGATAGAGAATTAATCAAAAATTCATTGGGTTTGAAATTGTGTGCAGAAGTAGTTGGCAATCCTGACCGAAGAAATATAAAATATGAAAAACATTTTCGAGGTGGACCAGATGTGGACTCCCTAGTAAAAATCCTTACTCCCATTGCTGAAGATTTGTTAAAGAAACTGACAAATTATCCCTTAACAATTATATACCTTCCTTTGAAATGGTGCGGATTTGCGTATAAGATATTTGAATCAGTTTTGGGAAACAGCCAGTACTTCCCAACAGGATCAGCATCAATACCTGAGAACAGGCTGTTTGCTCAGTTCCATTCACCTCAAACACAGGAAATGAAAGATGAAGTGTTAAAGCAGCTGTGCTCTTCAGAAAGTACCATAAGGGTGGTATTTGCTACAGTGGCTCTGGGAATGGGGGTTGATATTAAGGGCATTAGGTGTGTTGTTCATGTCACCCCACCATATACTATCCAGGCTTACTTCCAAGAAACTGGCAGGGCTGGAAGAGATGGACTACCTGCAACTGCGATTCTCCACTACAACAATCGTGACATTGCCAAAAACAAAACAGGAATGCAAGAAGAAATTAGGACTTTTTGCCATAGTGAGTCGCAGTGTCTTAGAAATATATTGCTCAGTTCACTAGATACTGACCAAAAGTATATAAAGCCAGTTTATCCCAAACATCTTTGCTGTAGTGTTTGTCAATCAAAATGCGATGGTACAAGTTGCATTTAACTTTCCACATTTGTGGCACTTACCACACTGCAGAACTTTGGAACATGACTTGGATAATGATTTTAGTAATCTAATTTTGTATGCTGTATATTCAAGAAAGAATACCATGCGCCTTGAGGCAAATAATGTAGTAAAACTAAAATTGGGATACTTACTTTGGGTGGAAGGCAGACTAGAAAGTCTTTATTGATGATAACTACATTGCTTCACATTGTTTATAGTTTTAAACTTTTTAAAGTAATTCATATAAACATCAAAATATTAGCATCTTTAAACACAACATTTGGGTCAAAACAAGACGAGATTTGTCTGTTTATGGGTTTCAATAATTTATATTGTAAATACACACACTATACTGGAGTAATGTTATAGACTGAATTTCACCATTCATAGTACTGTATTTGCTTTTTCAATAACATTAAACAGTTGTTTGGTCCCCGGTTGAACTCAGTTCACAATATGCAAATAACAACCCAACACCCCAATGGCAAGAGAATAAAACATGCAAATATTATATATATGGTGCAACATGGCTTAGATTTTAGTGTGCCTGACACTCTAAACAGTCAAACATGGAAACAACCATTGGGAAAATGCAATAAGCCTAAAATGGTAAGATCTATTTGCAGTAAGCAGTCATTAAATGATCAACAATGCCAGATTGTGACATTAGTGCAATAGCAGTTTTGTGCTGTTCAAGTGTCAATTAGTGCTCTGTTGAAAATTTAATACTAAGGAGCACACTAAGTTTCTAGTTACTTTGTTCATCACTGTCCTCTAGTGGTTCAACTGCAGGTGTATTATCAACTGCTGGGAAATGCAATGAAATATTCTTCTGGTGTCGTTTGAGCCATTCAGAGAACACGTTTTCATTTAAATCTTCTAAAGGGTCAGAAGAAATCCCCGCAAATGAATTGTGGGATCGGCCAATAACTGGGGAGAAGGGCTTTAATTTGTGTAGATCACTGGAAACTTTATCCTCATCTTGTGAAGAGGACCTATGGGAATGGGCTGATGACTTGCGTTTGATTGCTGCCTGTTCATTAAACGCATCAACAACCTTGCGAACTCCACCAACTGCCTTGCTCATTCTTCCAATTGCCTTTTCTGTCTTATTAGCACCCATCAGACGAATAAAACCTTTAAGATCAGCATTTCGGTTTTCTTGCAGTAGGTCAATCTCAATGTTTTTGTCATTTCCTCCATTCCAATTAGCCAATGCTGCCCACTTGCACTGATGTGCCTCTCTGGGTGAAAGAAGGACTTCATTCTGCACTATAGCAATAAGCATCTTGATAGCATATGCATTGAATCCAGAAATAGATGAAAAGTAATACAACATCTGTTTCTGGATTAGTGCTAAATGCTCCCCATTTCCAGATGCCACAGCATTCTTGCAATCCAGAAGAATCATGAAAGACTTCAATATGTTGATAGCATAGTTGAAGACACCATCAGTGCTGTCATCATCTGAGGATTCCATGCTGTTTTCATCCAATGTTGGATAAATGTACTGTGCGACAAACTTGTCCAATACTGCTAGTACTTGGGTCTTCTTTTCTTCATTATTTAAATCATCAATGAGAAAATGATTATTTTCTTCAGGAGACGTGTTGACATCTTCCATTTTGAAGAACTCGAGCAAAGCTTCTACCAAATAACAGTGACCAACACTCATGAAGAGTTGTTCACAGTCTTCATAATGCTTGACATCAACTGTCACATTTCTTCGATTGAGCACTTCTCGGAAGTATCGCAACGTACCATTTTCTCTTCCAGAATTTTTGTAGAGCCGTTTAAAGACTGACTATAAAAAATTGCAACTTAGTGGTTAACTTTACAGAAATATACAACACTGAGTGATATGCTATGTTGTTATTGATCCACAGTCCCATAACAAATCATACAGCCTTGTACCTAGTTGGAAAGTCAACTCACATTGAGAAAATTGATACAGTAGTTTAAAACACAATGAAACAACCCACAAAATATTAATTGTTGACATCAGGATATCCTAACAGATGAAAAATTAGCTAAATTAAGCTTACCTTTAAAAAACTCCTCTTCGTATGCCATCCTACAATACGATATGGATACAGATGGTCAAGACGCTGCTTTGCAGTATGACAACCGGAACGTAGATCACGTGCACCAGCGAACCTGACTCTTGTCAATTCATCACCAAAACAAGGAATCTTTACTTCTTGAAGTGGGTCAAAGTTTGATGATGCTGGTGGGATGTGGGATCTAGGTTGATCTGGCCGAGTTGGAACTTCCACCAAGGGTGGGGAAACAGAAGGCTGGTCAGGCGGATCTTTGCACATACCACTTGCCTTGTATATTTCTTGGGTCCATTCTTCCAACTGATCTAACACATCGACACAATCACTGTATTTTTTTTCATCCTTCATTAATACTGGCATTGTGACAATTTCTGATTTCCGTGATGCTGTTGCAGAATTCTCATGATGAAGGAGAAGTTCCTCAGACAGACAAGATTTAAGGCTTGAAAACTCTTGAAACTTTGTGATTAGGGTTCTTGCTATTAGTATCCTGTATCGATTTTGAATCGTCCTCAATTCTTCCTCCTTTATTCCAACAAGTTCACGAAAGTCGCAAGTCCTTATATCTTTCTGAGGGCCGTCATCAGGAAGGTGGTCGCTTGAAACTCTGGTGAACACCATGCTGGTTGCAACTGCATGCACACTCTTATTTTGATGAACCTCTCGCATATCATGCACCTTCTCCTCCCAATCTATGTTGTCAACAACAAAGACAAACTTCCTTCCAGACTTTAGCAATTCTACAGCATGATCCAAAAAGTGCTTCCCAATGTCATCGAGGACTACATACTTTTTAGAAATGCTTAGACAGAAACCATACTTGTTAAGTTGCTCAAACAACTATAAAAAAATTAATTAGTGTTGTTTTAATTAGTTATTGTGTAAGTTCTAGTAGAAGTATACAGCTGATTGAGCTAAATAATGGTATCTTTTACCTAGCTCAAAGGTCAAAGTAAGTCAAAACATAAGACCATACACAAAAAAAAATTGTAGGAAGGACAATTTTTAATGCAGCTGTGTCTAGAGTATTAATTTTCAATTGACCAGCTTAGCTACCAGTAAAAACGTTTAATCATACTTGCAATCAGATTTACATAGTATACTGACAGAACTTGAAAAAAAGTCAAACAAGTATTTCAATATGAATTATGTTTTCTACAAAAACATATTTTGCTGCATTAAATTCTGGCCCCAATCTGCCCTTTCTATCCCTTGCTCCATAGTATGGAAGTTCCTTATTCATGACTTGAAGTAAATACTGTTTGTTAATTATCATTATGTGTTACTTGACAAATTGCATCAAAGTTTTTAAGCAAATTATTAATTATGAAGAAGTCTGGCATGTAGGTGAGGTCGCAATAAGAAAGTCCCATCTATGTATTGACAGACATCTATTGACAGTCATTTTTTCCTCAAATCATGAAAGATCCTTACAATAAATACTTGATACCAAATAATCTATTACTTACATTACTTGATGCTTTTCCTTCAGTCAGGAGAACAGTATTAATCCTTTGTACTCTGCTCAGTTCATGACATCTCATAAACATGATAATACCATAAACCAAGCAAATAGGGGATAGCTTTTTTCCTAGGTTCAACATGGAGCAATTTAGCAAGCTTGATAGGATTTCAGCAACAGTGGGACATCTAGTTGAGAGTTCATTTACAATTTCAACCATCCAAGTCTCCTTGGACAACCCTTCGAAGCTTCTATCTCTCAACACAGATGGCTCATCTCTTCTGGTGATATCAAACAATTCTTTGTTGGCTTCTCTTAACATTGAGTTGAGTTGTTGTTTCAAATTTTGATCAACTTGTAAAGGATTTACATTCTAGGACAGATATAGGACACCAAGTTTAACACACAAGCATGGTAGTCTATATGACTAATTGACATTGAGATGAATAAAGGTTTATTCATCTCAATGCTAATTGACCTTTGATCTATAAATTTTGGTTTTGTATGGGGTATTAAATTTTGTTCCATACTTTTCGCACTTAGTTTGGCACTTAGCAATTTAATTATACTTTTGGCCTTTTAGTTATGTCGAGGACAGTTCATTAAGGTGTACACATAGAAGATCTACGTAAATATTGCAGCCATTTTGACTGCAAAAAAATTTACATATCCTTGCATGCAAATTATCTGTCGAAATTTAGCATTGTTTGCGCAAACGAACAAATCCCAATAAAACGTATCGATCACAGTCTTAAAATATAAAGACAATAAGTTTCACTTACTTCTATATTCTGCGTGGAATCTTGACAAGAATCAAACGACAATGAAACTCTTCCTGAAGGCGTAGTAGATGTAGCTCGGCGAGATTTTGGCGGTTGGGAAATAGATGGTGAGACATTGACACAGCGTTTGAACCGAGTTTCACTTGAGTCATCTTGGTGAAAGAATCGTTCGGTCTCCAGAATAACTTTTTGAAATTCCATTGTGTTATTAAGCCTGCGCTCGCATGGTCTACATATCAGATGGGGCAAATTCGCCTCGAAAACAATAGCATGCCCGCAAATTTGTTCCGCAATCTTGAGTAAAGCTCTATTTGAAGGCTTGAATATATTCTTGCGGTGACTTATGTCGCCAACAGCTCTGCAAAGTCGACAAGAAGTCGAATCTATTGAAGATTTCGAAGTTCGATACGTTTTCTTCGGGGTTTCCTTGGAAGTCATTCCGATAAATAAGCTTCGAGACTGAACCACATGTCTCTTTATTGTAATTTAATATGTAATTTGATATGTATTGCAAGGCGCTGTCATATTTTACGCAGTATTAATTTCCGTTCTACCCCAATTGCTAGCTCGAATTAATTTCTCACTCCTCGAAAAAACTTCTGATACAAAACATTAAATAATAACAAATTACTCACCATCCTACCCTAATTTATTTCTTTTGTTATCTCCCAGATTCTGGGAGACACGTGACCAGCCGATACCAGGGTCTTCGCCGCAGCGTGGGCCGTGGAGCGTAGGTAAAAAGACCCTGGGTACGAGGTTGGCATACACTTATATTTAACAATATATAATTGTGACGTGAATCATGTACGCCAAACTCTTTATTGATAGACTAAGGAGTAAAGATTACCCTAAAGATACTATCTTCTGAGAAAGTATAATAACTATTAAGTGACAAGGAGAAAAGGACTCGAATTCTATATACGTATAGCTATACATCATTATACAACAGATGACTATACATAGAATACTACATGCATGTTTCTTTTTTCGTTTGCCAGAGCCTTTGGAATTCAACTAATTTAACTTGTCCATCTCCAGATCTTCACCTTTTGCGGTTACCTGTGAATTAACAAAAGAAACTACGTTGTACATATATGTATAGCTTCATTTATGACTGAAGATACCTGAATTTTCGAAACAACTTTAGTGATTTATTTTCACAGACACGGGATTTTAAAACCTTTCTTCCCGTTCATGCATGTATACAACGTACGATAAAACGCTTTTCTTCACGAGGACGGCGATGAGATGAGGAATCTCTGGCCACGTTCCAGTTGTCTTTACCGCAACATATCAATGATCGAAAAAAGTCTGGAATGCTGAACAGAAGTTCGGGACCAGGTCGGGACTGACGATCACTCTTTGTTTCTTAAAATGTTAAAAACAATAATGCATGCAGAAACACCCAAATATAACTCAAAATTTATCATTTTCCGCAATTTTTTCCTCATTAATGCAGGGCTCTGTAGAACGTTTTCGTTCTTATACACTCCACAAAAACAACATTTCCCAAAAACATTTGCTTATATCCATTGGCATTACGCTATTTTATTAATGCATGTAATTGCATGATTATATATATACTATATAACAAGTCATCTTTGAGATCATCTTTAAAATTAAAGGGCTGTTTACACGATCTCATTTCTTGAAGCGTGACTAGATCTTTAGGTATGGAAATAAGTAAATAACCTAATCCTGTTGGTGTTTTTAATAATCCGATAGCATGTGCTTGTTGTGTTTCATATATATTAAATTTTCACCCCTCAAAATTAGCTACTTCACGTTTTTTTATAATTCTCGAGTAACCTGGGTACATACGTATTATGAAATTTTATTAGCTATATAGGGCAACAACCTGTCATTACTTACCACATATTAAGCTAACTATAGCTCCTACAACAAATGTTGCAGCAAGGGCAGTAGCACTATACCAAAGGTATGACAGCCTGCCAAGCTTTGCGAAAGGTTCACTTTAAAAATAATATTGAACAGAATTAACATAGCTAGCGGCAGAAAGAGAACTTTGCGTATATAACAACGGTGTAAGTCCAAGCATTTTATGGGAATTTTTAAACGGACTGGTAAAATGGTCTGAGGAGCGAGGAGCTGAAAAAAAAAGGGGATACTGTGCCCAGTGATTCCCCCGTTTCGCGTCTCTGTACCACAAAGGCCGACTTCATTAGCCGAATGCATATATTAGAGACAGGAAACTCGTCTTAGACGGGAAAGGGGAAACTCATCGAAGACGGGAATCCGGTCACGGCAGACGGGTTTCTGGTCCGAATTTTTCAGTCTATAACTTACCCTTTTAAACAGACGGATGAATTGGACGGGAATCCCGTCTGGACGAGAAACTCGTCTTAAATTCGCATTTAGACGGATAAATCAGACGAGTTTCTGAAATATCAACACGGTCAAGGACGGAACAAAGTAAGAGAAAATAAACAAAGTGATTATCGTAATAACTACGATACCCCATACGTATAAACTTATCCATCCCAATTCAGATTAAAACGGGTTTTTACTATAAACTTTACAGTCTAAGATGAGTTTCCCGTCCCTATAATATAAATTTGGCTAATGCAAGCTCTGGTATACGGAAGAGGGCGGAGAGGGGAATGTTAAAGTGTCGTTTTAGAAAGGTTTCGTTATAAACGTGTGTCAATATCACATGACATCTCCCCAATCCTGACTCATTCGTTATGCCCATGTAAACAGCACCTGTGGGGTATGAAGTTCCTCGATATGATTCCGTCACCAGTTATATTTGCGTAGCTGGTAGCATTGAAGAAATCGCATTTCTTGATAGAGATACTAGCAGCCATTTTGTCAGGGGGGTAAAGTATGCTACTTATTGCAATAGTTACTGACATTGAGAAACCAACCAAAGCTCCAACATAGGCACCCTGAATGATTGAAAATAGAAATTATTGGATTAGGTATACATGAAGTGCAAGACCGTTATTAGGTATAATACAGGGCAAAATACACAAAGTATACGACATCTCATAAACAACGAAATCAGGGACGCCAAAACAAAACTCGGGGTAGCTGCTTTCTTGCCTTGGCAAGGGGGGTAAAGATGCCCTTTCATTTTAAAGGATTACATTCTTATATCTTAAGTAGAAATGAAATCAGTGAGCTTCAAGAAAAGATTAATAAATAAATATAAGTAAGTAAGTAAGTAAGTAAGTATAGTAAGTAGTAAATAAATAGCATTAAACGGTAGTAAGTTTTTTTAGTCTTTTAAAAGATTATTATTATTACTATTACTATTTAGATTGAATTACTATATATAGATTTATATAACGATGTCTTTCATACTTTATAATTTGCTCTTGGTAGCAAAACTCCCAGGAAGAAAATTCCAGCCAAAGGACCACCAATTAGACCAGATATAGTGTACGCGAGCTGAAAAATAACGAATGAACATGCAGTAGTGGCGGACAGCGGTCAGGGTTCGGGCACTTGCCTCCCTTATAACACTTGACCATCTTAGATGTTGAACAAGTTTGATATTTGTCAGTGGATTATTTATCCCATACATATATGTATTCTACGCTAAAACTGAAGTATTTCGATGTAAATCGATTAATTTTCAATGCCATTGAAACAATGAAAGTACATATTTAGTGCATAAGTAGACTGCTCGCAGTTCCTCACTTCCTCTATTATCCTTCGCTTATTATATTTTATCATTCGCTTATTATAATAATAATGGGAGCAGTCTACCAGTACACCAAACCATACAACAGAATTAAATAAATGTGATATTTTCTACCTGTAAAACCAATGTACCAACGAATTCTACAGCGAAAGCCCCACATATCACAATAATACCATACACCACAGCTACATAAAAGGACGAGGCCAGAGAACAAAGAAGTTAGTCTAAACAACGCCGTTTCTGTGCATACTATATTACACCGCTGTTATGGAAATATAATCTTACCGTACCTAACAGTTTCGACAAAATTGTTGCTTCATAATCTGATAGACTTGTCCATCTTTTCTTGACTACGTCTTCCAAAGTGACTGCGATTAATGAATTAAGACCTGAAGAGATCGAACTAAATGGAAGAAAATATAACCATGATATGGACATGCATGTTATCTGGCAATAAGAAGCACAATCTGTTTTTTCAATACTTATAAAACTGAAAATGTTGCGACTTATTGGCTACGCCGTGTGCATGTGCACGGATTCGTGGTGAGCCTGAATAAATTACTACAGCTCTAATTGGAGGAAATTTATTTAAAATAATTCTTTAGAAATTTTAAACCAATAGAGTTGCTATTAAAGCATTTAAAACTAAGCCTTATATATATAGTCTATACCTTTATCTGCCTCTATACCTTTATCTGGCTTATACGCGGGCCTTCGTTAGGAGTGTTATTATCATAACAATTCAAAAAACAGCTTTACCTCAAAGCTCCACTGAATAGACAAGCCATGAAAAGTCCAGGTACTCCTTTTAAGTGACCCAGTTTGTCAATCACAAAATAAGGTAAAACCTAAAATATTTTTAAGAGCTTTTGCATTGGGAGGAGACTGAGGGAATCATATGGGGGTCATGCGAGGGTCATGTCACATAGCCGCACAGGAAAGCAAAATTGATAGTTATTCTGCACATTTGGTGCCACAAACATCGTGCATGTTCAGAAACAATCATATACCTGGTCATTGTTGGTAATATGTCCAGCTTTCTTGAGATCACAATCAGCATACACAGCAAAAATCACGAGACCGTCCAGACAGCAGAAAGTTATAATAAAAATGAGACCAGGAATGTTCAGCCATAAAGCTCTAAAAATAATCAGAACGATCTACACACTAGGCTTTTTAAATATCCATTGGCTCCTCTACTTCATTCGATGCTGTTGCACTCGATGTTGCGATGGGGGACCATGCCCCAACCTCGTACCCAAGATCTTTTCTCAGCGGGTGTCCCTCCCAGAGTGAGCACGGAGAAAAGACCCTGGGTACGAGGTTGACAAAGCCCTTGTTACCGACAGCGCAGTTGCGTTCCGATTTGGACATGGTAAAGCTATGGTTTTGAAGGTTCGTTTTTGCCAATGATCCGCGCACTCGAAATCTTCATCCACACGTAATGTAGGACGTGTATGGTCAGAAACGAAAAAATGTAGAGCACATGGCATACGTCCTACATTTTTTCGTTTCTAGTGTATAGTTAACCTAAATAATGATTATTATTGACGTATGCCAACACGAAATTGTAATCCATTCAGACATATACGCCTGTATTCTGAAAGCTCACACTCAAACTCGTAATTGAGTGGGTGATCTCAATAACTTTTCCATGGCGGTATTTCCACTCGAATAAGAGCTTGAATTTCAGTGTTTTACTTACATTCTCATTGATCAGTGATAACAAAAATTTATATGGCGCACTTAATGAGTGCGCATGAGTGTTAATGAGCTTTTTGAATACACATACTGCCGATATACAACGATCGCATGCATGTACCTTTGTGCAGTCTTTACATCTTTTGATGCCAAAAATCTCTGGGCAGCGGTTTGACTAACAGTCCATGGAAGTATTACGGTAAATGTACCACCAATTGCTAATGTCCAGAATGTGTTCCGAATTGTTGGGTCTGGATTGAAACTGTGATAGCAAAAGAAAGGGGAATTATACCCCGTCCAGATTGTGGACGGTGGATATTGTTGAATTTCCAGTAAAATGAAATAGTCATGTGACTATTATCTTGAATAGACTGACATGACGTATTTACGTAACTCCACTCAAATACTTACAGGATATGTGCGCACAATTTTTTTACCAAACTGATTTTGTCCTAATATGTCTTACTCGAAAAATGTTAGCCTTCCTCTCTCCTTGTTGATCTTCCAAACTTGGTCAAATCCCCCAACATTGATTGTTCCAACAACAAATATGGTTATAAGACCACCAACCATCACAATTGATTGAAATACATCCGTCCAAATCACAGCTTTCAGGCCGCCCTATAGATCGATATACAGTACGGCTCACTTAAACAACGAGAAGAACATAGTCCAACCATAACCCTTCCTTTTTTCTTCAAAATGATTTTTTTCATCCTTTCTGGCTTTGGTCATGAAAATATTGTTTGAATAACATCAATTGTAGTTCAATCGAGGGAAGCTGTCTTAAAGCGCCTCCTTCTAGCAAACGTTATATATACTATAGCTATATCCCGGCATTTAAACGTTTGAAAATCAGTAACGTATATACTAACCAATGCTGTGTAGAACGTACAAACGACGCCTGTTGAAATGATCGAAACCACAAGAGGTACCCCAGCAACTAAATAAAATACAACAAAAGAGGAGCATTTGCCGTCAAATTATTACGTGATACACCGGAGTTATACTTTGTGAGTTTTGTAACTATATAAATTGCATATATAGTTTCGAGTTTATTGTACATGTATGCCGACAACTTCAAACATGCAATTGTTGTGTAGTCGGAACACAGAAAGAGAAAATGATTTTTGGATATGCAAAAGATCGTAGTTACCATGCAAGCATGCATCGATCATTAAATGCCACCGACATATGTAATGTAACTCTCCCGGTATGCATGTAATACCAAAGGTGATGTACTATAAAAGTTGATGTAAACTGTAGCTAGTCTAGTATGAGGGTAAATCGATTATGATTTTTGGCACTTCACTCGATGTAGGTAAATTCTAGAGGTTTAAAGGATCTTAATTTCGAGTGTGATTCAAGATTAATCTATTTTTACCTGCCTGAAGGGCTAATGATGGAGCATATAAGGCCACGGAAAGATACAGCATCTACAGTAAATCAAAGCAGAATTTAAAATGTTTAAAGAGTTCGCCGTCGGAGAGGATTTGGTTCCGGTATAATTATAAGTTTGTTACGTTTGTTACAGTAAAAACCGTTTAATAATCTTTCAAGAACTTCTACTAATTTTTCCCGTCTGCTCATTATACTCAGTGCACCTTTATTGAAATTGTACTGGGACGTATTCACGGTCCGGATGCCCCAACTTTTCACATTTGCCAACCAGTACATGATTTGCCCGCAAACTACGTCATCACGTGAACTTACGTCGCGTTACAAATAAAGCAGCCTTACTTTCGCGAAAGAAAAATGACCAAAATTATTAGATTATAATGGGCAGTGCAAAAGGCGAATAATCTTGATTCTGTATATTCCAAATTCCGAAGTATATATCTTAGTATATCTATACTCACGTAATGTACAAGAAATAATATGAAACCAAGTGTTCTCACTCCATGACCAAACCTTAATTCAAGGTACTGTATAGAGAGAAGTATATATAAATTATACCTTTTTGAAAGATTTTGAAACACAGGACGCTCGATCTATTAAACGTTGCGTCGTTAGGGCTGACGTGCAAATTATGGGGGGAGATGTACAGGGAAAAGGGGGGGCCGTAACACCCCATTCAGAATCATTCGAAAGCCTTGTCAAATTAACCATCCGGAAACCAACTTGGTCCCATCATGGACCGATAAACTGGTTTTGTACTTGTAGATTGGATTAAGATAATTAAATCAAAGTCATTTTTAGGGGTTTTTAAAGTCAATTTTTTAATCAAAATTAAAAAAGATAAATTCGGTGATAATGCCGAAAGAAAGTCATTTTCGTTAAAAAATCCGAGCGTTGTGAGAGACTATATATATATCCCGAGTCAACTCTAACATTGTATGACAGGTCGCACGATAAGTGACCGTTTTAGTCAACAGCCTAATTAATTAATTAATAATGTTACGAGTGAACGTGCGATTAAATTACCTGCGAAATTTTGTATTTTGTAGTTTAATATTTCAAGCACTGCATGAGCACACCGAGAAAAGTTGTAAATTGATCGCTGTAGTGGAACGTGTTTCGGTTTATACAGCGTAGAGAAAGGACGAACGAATGATTTTGCGTTTAGGCGTTTCATTTTGTGACGTAGCTAGAAAATAGGAACAGTAAGCCGATATCCACGCAAAGTTGCAATTTACAGACTTTCAGTTATAGCTTATTTACATTAGGTGAATAGACCCCTATAGCTGCCCCTGGAATTTTAGTTGTTGGAAAAAGCCTTTACTCTGCCCGTATTAGACAGTGAATGGCTCATGCATTGATGCAGATCTAACTTGCCATTATGTATAGGTGCATATAACCCCAGCTGTAACTGAATATATGCGAATTGTGGAACTGGATTGTGGAATTTTCTTGCTCGAAAGATAAAATCTCAGGCTGCATGGATGGAGGAAAACTCCGCAGAAAATAGTTAGGTGGAGGCCGGCTAATGATTCTTTTATTCACGTTCAGCGTTATTATAGTTTCTTTTGAAATTGATTGTTTTTATCAGGTCTGTTAACATGAATCTATGAAAAATAGCCCCCCACTAATAACGACCATTCACGGCCACTGTCGTTACAATAGTATTGTCATTTTCTTGCCATAACACAACAAAAAATATATATCTCGAAATATATAAATTCATAACCAAACCCAATCAAACCACTCAATGGCAAAAAATAAAAAATGTCACATGCACGCACGCAAAATAAGATTACCGCGTACCTCGTGAACACTGGTCAAACGCAATCCATGGAAAATTGGAACAAAAATGATAGCAGCAGTCGCCGTTAGAAGAAAGTAAGAAAAGAGCACAACCATGTATTGCGCTCCGTATGTAAAGATCTCGCTAGGAACGCCAAGTAACGTTATTGCGGAGAGAAACGTGACTAGTAGTGATATAGCAATGGGCAAAGTATTCATGTTACGGTTGCCCAGCAAATATTCACTGGTTGTACGTTGTTTACCCCCAGTACAGCCATGGTAGATACCAATACCCGCGGATATTAACAGCATCAAACCAAATACAACATAATCCACCAAATGAAAAGATTTTTCCGCCATTCTTGATAATATAGTGAGTCAGTGCTTAGTGACCTTTTGACATATCATCGGAAACTCTGCTTCAGTAATTTTATACGTCATTGCGTCTAATATGATAAACGTGGGTTTGTGAAATTTCTGTTTCACGCTCACGGTCAACGCATTTTGCCCCGATGTTTTCCGTTTAGACTCATCCAGCGATAGGTGTACATTGTTCTGTCGTTTGTACCCAACAACAAGGCAATCAATCATATTATCCCATGCATGCTTTTCAGTGCTCAATTGTAGCACCGTAACACCATCCCAAGTCACTACAACTACAGCTAAGCGAAAGACAGAACATCGAGAAAGTTCCTGCCAGCTATCACAAGTGCAAGGTGTAATTTGTGAAGTACCCAAAGAGCTAGAACAATGTTCGGCGACCCTGAGAATACAAAGTTATCGATAATTCATTATAAAGTAACTCCCAACTATTATAAAGTCCCAACTCAAACATATGCCAATACAAAGAACTGACTGTAAAAAGAGTTCACAGAACTTGTCAATGGTTGAAGAGCGCTCAACACCATTACAGGCAAATCGAAAATATATTTATTTATTGTAAGACTATATATATATATATATATATATATATATATATATATATATATATATATATATATATATATGTATATATATATATATCTAAAACATTTACAGAATTACAGTTATAAGATTTGAACGACCGATCCTAAGAAGTTAAAGAAATTACTTAAAGAAATTTTGCGTTTGGTGAAAACTACGTGTTAACATTTTATACTTGTCTATAACCTTCCATAGAACATTTTTGCATGTTATTGTTATTTTTTTTCAAAAACAATTATGCATGTATATCACATTTCCCTTTTTTCTTTTGACAGGAGCACATTTCAATCTCAACCAGTCCATCCGATTGCTGAAATTCCTCCATCTGAACGCCCTCACCATTTTTGGTTTCCTGTGTATTACAGAGAAGGTATAAAAACAGTTGTATCATGCGAGATAGAATTAAGATACAATCGTACCACCCCTACGCACGACATTACGTATACCTTTGCATTGTTTTCATTATAAGGGGGATGACTAGGGGAGGAATCTCTCGCCAAACTCCAGCTTTCTTTCGACTTGCAACATATTAATGATCGTAAGAAATCAGGAATGTTGAACAGGAGTTCAGGACCAGGACGAGACCGACGATCATGACTTGTTTCTTTAAAAGAGAGTAGGTAGAAAACTTTATGAAACGTCGGTAAGAAGGGAAAAAACAATTAGCTATAAACTGAACAAAATTTCAAGGATGTATAACATCGAAGTTCCTACCACATATGAAGCTAGCGATAGCTCCAACTACAAATGTTGTACCAACAGCAGTAGCACTATACCAGAGATACGACAGACTGCCGAGTTTTGCAAAAGGTTCACTAAAAATCAATGAAATAAATGTAGTAAAGTGTTTTCCGATTGGCTGAGGGAGAGGATCGATAGAGAGTTAAATCAGTTAATCCTCTTGAAGACTTCAGAACCTGTGCAGTTCCGTGTAGTTATAGACTATAACGATCATATATATTGCTCAAATAAAGCGTCTGTACTACCTGTATGGCTTAAAGGTTTTTAGCATAATTCCATCATCTGTTGTATTCGCATAGATGGAAGCGTTATAGTGATCGCACGCTTTGATAGAAATACTACCAGCCATTTTGTCAGGGGGATAAACCATGCCAGCTATTGCGATTGTTATGGTCAAAACAAAACCAACGAAAGCCCCAACGTAGGCACCCTGTATTATGTCAAAGATAACAATGATTACCAAGGTTTAGTGTCATTGTATGATGCCGAGAATCATTACATTTACTCTCCTCTGTATGAAGCTTTATCTCTTATACCTTAGAATTGGCCCTTGGTATCATAACTCCCAAGAAAAATATCCCAAGCAAAGGACCTCCAAGTAAGCCAAATATACTGTAGGCAAGCTGCAAAAAAATAATAGATCCTATTTCTAGTAACGTAAGAATCAAAAAAAAATTTATAGGCTACCCCCTTATTACGATTGATTCATTACATGCTTACTCATTACTCGCTTTCTTCGACTGAGCAAAGTATATTTCCCGAACCAGATGCAGCAATTTCACGATAGCTAATGGACAGTCCGAAAACCACACTCAAATTCAATCCAGAATTCGTATATTCAAAATTTAACGAGGGAGGGTAGAGAGGGGGGGTATTTTGCCTTATTAACCCCGGACCAGAATCCGTGATTCTAATAAAATTTACGAACTTCGGGATATGAACTGCAATTAATTACAAGAGATATATGAAGAACCTCCACAACTAAGTGGAATATTTTCGCACCTGTAAAACCAATGTTCCAAAGTATTTGACTATGAAAGCACCGCCTATGATAATTACACCATATACCACAGCTATAAAAACAAAGAACAAATTATATAAATATAGCGTATACAACAAAAATATAGCATATTCCTAAATTATTATCATTATTGATAATTGATAACATAGAATCGAAATGGCACAATATTATACGTATATATATATAATGGCTATCGCACGCAACTTCATTTTCACCAAGCCTCATTTATTATGCGAAATATTCTGTTTACACCAAAGTGAGGCGTGCTGGTGAAAACAATAGCATAAGGGAAAACCCGCACAAGTGCTACTGTTTCACAATTTACCTAATATTTTGGACAATTTTGTTGCTTCATAATCGGAAAGATCTGTCCATTTTTTCTTGACAATATCTTCCAAAGTGACAGTGATCAATGAATTCAGACCTGAAGAGGCCGTACTATGCGGTAGGAGAAAATCACAATTTTAGTATATTCTAAAGGAAATTTATATGTCTTGTGAAAACCAAATGCTTTTTACCTTTCGGCATATCGAGCGACATCCCATGCATGGATATTGCAATCCTACACATGAGAACCATTTGATAACTGTTTAATAATGGACGGTTACCTCAGAGCTCCGCTGAATAGACAAGCCATGAAAATCCCAGGAACTCCCACCAAGTGGCCCAGCTGGTCAATAACAAAATAAGGCAAAACCTGAAAAATGAATTAGAAAACGTTAAAAAAAGAAGATAAATGTAGTGATGCAGTAGCTAGGAATAAGATACAATACATGCAGAGTCTGAAATAATCTAAGTTCGATACATCACGTCACGTGGCCTAGTCACATCAACAAGCGGGCGGTGTACACACGTAAAAATCTATCTCACATCTTGTTGACCAGTTGTGTTCGCAACATGCTTTTAGCTGCAACGTTTGTTCTTATTTTTTCGAGCCTATGCTACAAGCTAGTAACTGACAAGTCGTTAACAAGTCGTGGGTGGACTTGCATAACGATAACAAGTTGAAAGAACAAGCTAGTAGCAAGGGTGCAAAGTCAACAAGCTTGTAGCAAGTTTGTAGGGGGTTTGTAGCATCTTGTCAACAAGCACAAGTTGTGACACACCCGCAGCAGACGTGGTACAAGTTTCATGTTGACTCTGCAGTCTTGCTACGAGCTTGTTCTATATCAACCTGTTATCGTTATGCAAATCCACAACTTGTTAAGAACTAAAGTTGTCAAGCTTGCTCTTGAACTATGACTGATTTTATCTTGGAAACTGGTTCTTATATGTATACCTGATCATTACTGGTGACACGTTTATCTTCCTTGAGATCACAATCAGCATACACAGCAAAAATCACGAGACCGTCCAGACAGCAGAATGTTACAATAAAAATGAGGCCAGGAATATTCCACCATAAAGCTCTAAAGAAGGAATTTTTTGAATATATGAATTTTTAAAGTCATTGGATTAAAGATTCCAATCAAGCAGCACTCATTTAGGAAAAAAATCGAAATTCGGTCTTGTCTTATAACTAAAGAGTCTTGAAATGTCGACTGTTGATCTTCCTGTCTTCATGGCTCCTTAGTAGATAATTTTGACGTTTGAGAGTTTCCCGCCAGATAATTTTGCTATTCTTGAGTTTTTCGATCACACTGACTGTATTATAAAAACTAGTGCAAGATAGTATGTCTTGAATTGATTTCAACATCTGCATATATGGCTCGTTGACTGCAAGCATTTCTAGCCTTGTCGACGTATTCAAATGCGTATAACGTATTAAACATAGTCCAATCTCATTTCCCTTGTCACTGCTAGTAAAAGAAGAGAGGGGCTGCTACAACCCCACCCCTACCCCCTCATGCACTCTTTAGTGCATGTATCAAAGTTTAAATGTGCAGCGAAGCACCTTGCATGCAGAGAAATGAAATACTTTACGTGTATAATTATTAGTTTATGTAACCTTTGTGCGGTTTTGATAGAATCAGAAGCCAAAAATCTTTGAACAGCAGCTTGACTAACAGTCCACGGAGGCATTGCTGTAAATGCACCACCAATTGCTAAAGTCCAGAATGTGTTGCGAACTGTTGGGTCTGGATTAAAACTACAAAAGAAATAGAACAAGTTTACAATTTATGTCGTAAAACAAGATAAAGATTTGTGTAGACGACATAAAGTATGACATATAAACAGATGTAAACAGATAATGTCTCAGGAGCTATATATATCGAGATATTTACAATAGTAAATGGGTCTCAAAGAAACCGGCAGTGCTTCGTCAATTTTTTTTATATTTAACTACTTGTCCAGGATGTGCTCCTATAATGGTTTATGCAAGTGCTTTAATAGAGTTAAATGTTTTTAGCATTTTAAAGTTGTATTGGCCCTACTCGAAGAATTTTAGTCGTCCTCTATCACCATTTATCTGCCAGACAGCATCAAATCCTCCAACTTTGACAGTTCCAACAATAAAAACCGTAATGAGACCAGCAACCATGACAAACGCTTGGAATACATCTGTCCAAACCACAGCTTTGAGACCACCCTAAATGTAGGTATATTAGATTCCCTTGTAACCACGCACAAGCGCGCTTATCAAGAAGTACTGTCTGTACTGATATATGGTTATGATACTTACTAATGTTGTATAGAACGTGCAAACGACTCCAGTTGAAATGATCGAAGCTGTAAGAGGTACACCAGCAACTATAAACGACATGAGATGAGTCAGATGTTGGGTTTTCTTCATTCCAAAATTCTTATTTGAATGCATTAGCTAGGTTTAATAGGTTAATATAAAACATAGAAACATAGAATAATCGTACCGGCTTGCAGAGCCAATGCTGGGGCGTACAGAACAACAGAGAGATACAACAACTACAATAAATAAGTTAAAGAGTTATTTCTGGGGAAATTTCAGGAGTACGTGTACTTTCCCTATATCATTGACACAAGCACAGTTTTTAAATTATATCCTTTAAGGAAATCAATTTTTTATCAACTAACTTTTCTAACTGAGAGACCGTTGGATTGTATAATCGTATATATAGGCAATATACTAGTAGGCAATTCATGCAGTTCGTGTAGGCAATATATACAACGTCACGTCAACATATCGTAATAAATTTGACTCACGTATTGAACGACAAACAACATACAACCAAGTATTCTCACTCCAACTCCAAATCTTAACTCAAGGTACTAGAAAATAAAGCGCAGAAAAAAAGTGTGATGAAGCAAGAAAAATGGTGGACTATACATGCTTCAGGGTCAACATGCATGCATGAGGCTAAATGCGATAAAGATTACTTCTTGTTGCATTTCTCGTGAATTTTTTCTCACGAGTGAAGGCTTCGAACACCATACGGGCGATACATTCTACTCATGCGTGAATGAATAATGCAGATCAGTATAGTCGCCTCAGCCTCAGGCTCGGTGATTTCAAGCCTATATTCACTTCGCCTTCGGCTCAGTAAATATAGGCTTGTAATCACCTCGCCTTCGGCGACTAATTGTTAAATAGAGCTAAACTCTCATTTTTGCAGACCAATCACATCCCTAGATTTCAGTTTTCGAAACCAGTTTCGCGGAAATAAAAGAGAGCATTAAATTCGCTACGCGACTATTAAATCTAGTACGATACGAGATTTTTTCTTTCGCTGCTCCAGGCTTTGTATCGTTTTCAGTCTGCATAATTTAATAAAAAAAATCTCGTATAGTCGTGCTAGATTTCGCAGTCGTAGCAAAATCGAAACTAATTTGCCTGGTGGACAGTCAATGCCAGGGGGCTACAAATAACGAAACTCAAAGACATTTGACACATTTTCACGACAAAGTCAAAATCAAATACTGCACACGCTTCCTCGTGGGGTATAAAGTTTCTCTTTTTTTGTCCTTTGAACTATTGCATGCTTGTAAGTTGTAAACCCCGACAAAGCACTTGAGTGTTTAATATATAGCTATCCATCCATCATCGTGCATGTAATATGATGCCGTCTTCTACGATTCGTTAGCACGCAATAACAGACAAGACTGACATGCAAGTATCAGTTATGTTGAGTTATTCTGCTTACAGTTCCTCGGCCAGTTTAGCGAGCGGCGCAATTGCGAAACTTTGCACTCGTCCTGACATATTTCACATTACAAGATTCGTTTATCTCGCATATATGTCTACACACATTCAAATTTTTATTACTAAATTATTCAATTCAGATTTAACAGTTAGCTATAGAAATGATTTTTTTTTACTATGAATAAGAGAAAAACTTTTAAGAAGCTATTTCGAGGCCCCTTTTTATCGGTCGAATATGGCCAGTACTTAAATATTTTAAAATTAGGCATGTAAATTTATAACACACATATAAATAACCTAGCTAGACTCCTTTACATACCTATGCTAAGGGTTTAGACTTTTAAGGGCCTATCATAACTCATATAAGTTCCATACATTACATTCACGCAAATAGTGTTGATATGTTTACCTCATGAGCACTGGTCAAATGAAGTCCGTGGAGGATTGGAACAAAAATAATTGCAGAAGTTGCTGTAAGGATGAAATAGGAGAAGAGCAACACCGTGTATTGCGCTCCGTATGTGAAAATCTCGCTAGGAACGCCAAGTAACGTTATTGCGGAAAGATATGAAGCCAAAAGTGATATAGCGATGGGGAGCGTTTTCATGCTACGATTACCCAGCAAATATTCACTGGTTGTGCGTTGTTTACCGCCAGTACAGCCATGGTAGATACCGATGCCCGCGGATATTAACAGCATCAAACCAAATACAACATAATCCACCGGATGAAAAGATTTTTCCGCCATTTCTATAGTCTCCCTTTCTCAATGTTTGAATCGCTTGTGGTTGACGTAGTTGGCCTGTAATGCGAGACGTTCAAATATTGACTGTTTGGACCATTGCTATGCTAACCATGAATATTGATTATTAAGTAACATGACACCGATGTCAGTGTTCGTTGCATGTTTGTATTTCAAACATGTTAGTGACATGTCAAATTTCAGTGTTCAAATACATCTGTATTGGTATATGGAAATTCGGATCTGTGTTGAGAAGAGAAGGGAGGGAAACGGAAAGAGTAGCACGCCACGCCATCCATGCAGCCAATTAAATAAAGCCTTTAAAGGTTGCTCTTCAAATACTTAAAACCGCAACGGCTTATTGCCTGTAGCGTGTTTTTATATTAATTATATATGTATATATACAAGCGCATGAATGTTGAAGTCATTTAAAAAATAGCCAAATGAGTGATGTACATGTAGGTTGGGAGTAGCTCTATTATATAGAGGTGCACGCAACGTACTGAATTGGCCAATGCGATCAGCCAAAGTATAGTTAATATATTTAAATATGAGTGCATGGCAACTTTTGTTGCTTTTTTACTTAATTAAAAAGTTAATTGAGTGTTTCGGTTCTACATTTTCGAATGGAGGTATTGACAATTGCTCCCAACTCTTGCTCGTACACCTCGCATTATGTTTTTAAATGAAACAATAAATTATAAGCTTCTCGGACATCACCTGTTGACTGACAGCCATGCATACATTACCCATGGCGAAACCACGGTTAAAACACGTGCAAAATTCGCTAGACATCACAAACATTTCGGGGAACCAAGTTGCCCGTAAAGATGCTCGGTAAACGCGGCTCTTCATTAAGATTGGATAAGATACAAAATTTTTAAGATTTTCACGGCCTTTTAGTTTCAGACTACAAAGAAGTTTGAAAAAAGGTGGGCGATTGACATTTAAATATGAGTATTGTTGGTTGATATCGCAGTCATTAATTTATCACGAATTGGCACCAAAATTATACCAGGTCGAAGGTAAAAAGTATTCGGACTTACAATAGCACTTTTCAAAATTGCAAAATATGTAACACAAAATGCACTAATAGACTTGTGAATACCTGGTGGAAGAAATATGATGAGTTTTTTCAATCATTCACCTCATCATAAGTCATAACAACGGAAAGAATTAAGATATGGGAGTTCAAATCGTTTCAGCAACAAATATTTCTTCCAATCCAATTCCGTTTCATGCAGCAAAACATTACGAAATTCCTGTTTCTTTCAGTATATAGCATTCCTGCCGTATAAAAATACAATTGTCGTACTTTTATTTGTGCAGCCAGAATTTTGTTGTTGTTTTCGTCATGTGTTGGCAATATCTTGAAATTTAGTTTATACTTAGCACATGCAGCGATTTTGATCTTTTTAAATCAATTTGCTCCTCCAACTCTTGATCAAATGAAGTTATGTTTTTGTTTTTTAATTTAGCGAAATAGTTTCACGTTGCATGAAATCAAACAAGGTGACACTCGCCATCTTTTTCACAATCATCGATGGAAAACAAAGTCCTGAAAGAACAATAATGGGTGAAAAATTGCCGAAACTGAGGTCCCGTTAAGCAAAAGTCTAGCACTGTGTCGTGCATTAGCTCTATTTGCATGAGAACGAGTTGACTGCACATTGCACTGCGTTGTGGATAGATTTTTGTTTGCATTTGAAGTTCACATGCAGAAATCATCATAAAATCTGGTGGAAAATAGCAAGTATATTTTGAACATATACGAACTTTATATTAGCGGAGAAAGGATGACTATAGATAGATAGATAAAGAAGTTCCTGTTAACAGATCTACGCAAACGGAAATACTACGGTGTGCTTCGTATGAGCAAAGAATAGCAACACGTTAACTTTTTTCTAAGGTACGACATGGATCGATTGGATCCGCAAAACCATTCAATACCATTCAAAACCGCAAAAGTTCAATACCATTATTACTAATGACACCGAAAAGTTTCCCAAGTAGGAATATATATATATATATTCTTAGTTTTAAATAGTTGGTGTGACATCCCAGGACAACTAATCTAGATGTGTTGACCTCATGCATCAGACAAGTTGGTGGCTTAGAGCGTCATTCGTTTCAGCAAAACATTCTCCAACGAATTCCGTTTCAGCAACAACGTCATAGAATTTGATGCTTCTGTTTTCTGACTTTCCTCTTATCTTACAAACCCGGCGTATAAATACAGCAGCCGCAAATTCATTTTGCCATAATTCGGTTACTGACTTACATCGTCACTAAAGAGTAAAAGTAAAGAAAACACAGAAAAACTGAAAAAAGTAAGGTAAAAAAATACGTTTTTAAAACGATAAATTGATTCCGTGTTTTTGACGTATTACAATTTTAATCTTCGCACGTTTTGTTAGCTTCATAACTATAAATCAAAAGGTGAGAACATCTTCAAACAGTTATTTCAATTCAAGTCATCGCGCATTTCAATTTCATTGTAGTCTTACATTAATTTTAGACACAAAGAGGCATCATGAAATATTTTTATATCATTTCATTGATCTTTGTCATTTCCGTGACCAACATCTCAGTTGAAGGTAAAGGAATTAAATTGAAATACGGAAAATTCGCTTCATATATATAACAGTATATTATTATAATACATTGATATACATACGAATGCCTTTTTTCTGTTCAATCATGCATGTTACTCCCAAATGTAGACAACCTTTAATCTTTTATGCAGTGGCGTAAACCGTCGGCTCTACGGTAAACATTTTTCTCGCGAGTGAGCGTGATTTTAGTGCGAATGAAATTGAATATTAAACAGCGCGAAATTTGCGTTTGTGACAGATTTATCCGGCGGCCGTGTACGCAATCAGTTTACGTAATAAACAATCTCATTATTCTTTCTTTGGAGACAAATATTACTTCTATAAAAAATACTTATATACTTTCGCACAATTTATTGTCAACTCCTGGAAAAAAATTCAGTAACAAATTAAAATTGTGCTCACACTCAGACAAATCGCACTGTTATAGTGACGACCATGGTCGAGTCCGACGGAGATGGCGAATTCGACCATGGTTGAGTTTGTCGGAAAATGGCGTATTCGACCATGGTTGAGTTTGTCGGAAAATGGCGAATTCGACCATGGTCGAGTCCGCCGGAAAATGGCGTATTTGACCATCGTCGAGTCCGCCTGAAAATGGCGTATACGACCATGGTCGAGTCTGCTGGAAAACGGCTATTTCGACCATGGTCGAGCCCGGCGGAAAATGGCGTATTCGACCAGGGACGGCGGAGCGTTATATTAAGTGCGGGCTACATCTTTAATCCTACTTAATATGATGTTTTAAAAACAATTCTAAAAACTAAGCACTGTTCAGTAAATAAGAAGTGTAAACATCTTTTGGTTGTACTGCAAATACAAAGTGGGGGGGCTTCAGCCCCCCGGCCCCCCCCCCGTTCGGCCGTCCCTGTGAGGTGAAATGATAACTGTAGAGAAAAGACTTTCGATGAGAGGTACGCGAAAAAATTGACAGTTGACAAGGAGCCTTGTTCAAAAGCTAATAATGCCAGCTTTTCAAGGGATTTTCAAGTAAGAAACTGCGCAACAATATCTTCAAGCCAATTGAGCGGTTTTTGAAAGTTTTATAATTTCTGTTTGTTTTGAGATTCGATCGTATACTCGAGTTATATATTATCGTAAAACTTGTCAAGAAAAACTTGTTCGTCATACGCACGAGCAAGTGAACTGGTCAACTGGTTTACTGTACTATTTCTAGATGTACCTGCATGGAGGTGAATATCATAAAATAATTTAATGAAATTTGAAAAATGAAACACCAAAACGGCGATACAAAACTAACCTAATATAATAATTTTCAAGAGAGTTGTCATTAATTAGTCTGGGGAGAGGACTTCGAAAGAATATTTTGCGTTGCCTATTTTCAAATTCATCGGAAGGCTAATTTTAACGCAAGCGATATAGTTATTTCAACAAGAATAAAATAACTCTTTATGGGTCTTTTCGTACTCTCTCTCTCTCCGTGTTTTAAATTGAAATACGGAAAATTATATATATATATATATATATATATATATATATATATATATATATATATATATATATATATATATATATATATATATATGCTTAATTTGCATGAGCATTCGAAATTTTGTTTCTGCGGGCCTATATAAATCCCTGAAACTAATGTATATTTTGTTTTATTTACAGGTGGTGTAACTTTCGACAATTGCAGAGCTTTGATGACTCAGTGCGCTTTGAGCAGCCGGGGTGATGCCTGTGGTTATTGGCATTGTGCATTGGATGTGGCAGGAAATATTGTACAATGTCCACGAAATTCTCCCTATCGAACCAAACTCGGTAGTATCTTGAAAAAATTGTCAAAAGCTTGTCTAACAAGTAAACTCCTGAAGCAATGGAGCGGATGAAAGATACTGATGTTTGTACGTATGTAGATTTCTTTAAACCGTGACCGGGGTTGTACGGGAGAGGGGGCCGGAACCCGAGGGGTAAACGATCCCCGGAATGCTCATATATTTGATTTGGGGAGAAAACCTTCGCCGTCACCCTCGTTTTATAATAGTCACTCATATACGTCTCGTTATCATGATATAACATCTAATATGGCTGTTATCCCATCCATTACATTCGCAACATTTAATATTCATATATGTTCGCTTGATTCTATTCAATAACAAAAAATCGTATAAGCCCTTGAGAATTATTAAGGTTGGGCTTATTTAGGCAACTTAAGCCTTACTTAGGCAACTTAAAATTCCGCCTAGTGCAAAGCCGCCATTAGTTTATTTGGTTATTTACGCTCTTTTTGGTTATCTTTACGATATTTAAGTCCAAAATTTTGAAAACGATTTTTTGTCTTTTCTAGGGGAAGAGATATTCAAAGTTCCAACAGATATACATCATATATATAATGCGTTTTTAAAATTGTTTACAAATAAATATTACTTAACTAAACTCAAATCTGACTGAGGATATTCCTAAAGCTGCATGTCTATATATAGGTGATAGTACCGATGAAGTCTTGTTTCTATCTTTGTAATACCAAGAAGTATCCTTGTCGAACAGTTTGGGGTACTTCAATTTAATACGACACCGCAGAAATTGGTGTTTAAGACGTTTCAACCCGAAAATCTAATCGCTGGTTCACAATTGTGCATTTCTGTATCGCCCTATCAAAGAGAAACCTTTTGAATATCTTAAAAAAGTTCAATTTTTCTTCTGAATACGCATTCTGCAATCTTTTGACAGCTCATCATACACATCTGACCGCTGTGAAATGGCCATTTTGAGGCTTAAAGTATACACAAGGTTATTAATTCAGACGATTCGTTTTTACCGTGAGCAAGCTTCAAATCTTTTGTGCAAGACATATTTTCTTGAATATTTATAAATCTTTTTCCTCGCCAAGTTTGAAGTCTAAGTATCGAGAATTGCGGCTAAGCCTATACCAATTTCCGCGGTGTCATTTAATACAAGCATTGTTACGATATTTTCGTCTTCCGTCTACGGATCGTTAGGGTATTTTCAGTCAACATGCAGGGGAAATAAATGGAGAAAGTGGCACCAACAGGTTATACGTTGTTACATTTTCCAAGTTTTCTATCTTTGTCCTAAATGATGCAATGAGATAATGGTGAGAGTTAGCTAGTCCAGATAATGCTGTGGAAAACCATACGTTTATATCATTGACGAGTTTCATGCTAGCAACCTCGTACCCAGGGTCATTCTAGCTGCTTTCTTTCTTTTTGAATTCTCAGTGTCCCCGTAACTACATGTACCGGTAGACGTTTTTTCCATTACAATTGTTGCAACCTCAACTGTTGATCAATCTTTACCTGGTGAATACCTGAACTCGATCCTAAATTTGTCTGCTCCCGTTTGAACGTAATCTAAATTACATATTCGTTAGAAATTCGAATGTAAGAGTTTGCTGGGACGGGTCAAATCGAATAGAGTTTGTTCGTAATAGTTAACCTGCACCGTAAAACGAGAACGAACGAATATGCAAGTATGCTAATGTTTTCATTGAAATTACGAAAAGCTGATTGGTTTGCGTATTTAAATATGTACGAATGGACGAAAGCGACGAACGAATGAGCGACAAAAAGTCGCTTGCTTGTACTAAACATGTTTTCAACCGTATTGTAATGCTTGTATATTTTTTCTGTCGTTGTGCTGATAGAAAAACTACATTTCGGCTAATTCAATCAAGGATGGTGGAAGATAGTCTTAACTTAAGGCCGTAAAGAAGATACACACAGACATGTATTACCATTAGATATATATTTGGGGATATGCAATACACATGCATGCGCACGTAAAAATCTCACATCTTGTAACTGCATGAAAACGCCTAAAGAATTGTAATTTCATCACATTTTTTATTTGAGCCTAATAGGTGATCATAACAGAAAGGAATTTCATGTGATAGAAACTATTTAGCGTTAAGTTTAACTCGACTTTGTGATATTATTGTAATTTCCATAACATGCCAGTTAAAACGTATATTCAAATCCCAGGAGCATAATAAGTTCCATAGCCACAATAAACTTAAATGCAAATCAGCAGTAACTGCTATACATATTACGATAGTCAAATTATTGTCGTCAGTCGCTTCGATCTCGCTTGTCTGCTCTTCCATTGCGGCATTTATCACCGGTAGTATACATTGAATATATTGCCTGAACGGCGTTGTGCAAATTTAATAGCACGATGTTTAAAACCTTTACGTCGTCTGCCATGCTTTTTCAAACATCTCATTCGTAGTTCGCACAATTGCAAATCCACCTGGAATTGCATATAAATACACGTATATGCAAATGTCTTAAAACACATCAAGAAATGCTTAAGAATTGTTGTAATAATTGCATTGAGGCTACTTAACACGACCTTGATTAACTATAAAATTCAATTGAGTTTACGAATTGACGACTTCGGTAAAATACTCAGGGTTCTATATATAATATTATTCAACTTAGTTATTCCTCAGTTTGGGATGTTACCATTACCGTTCATCGATCATCGTCATCTTGTTGCATGCCCCCTGTTTTAACCGTATAATATACACGATATCACAACACAAAATTACCTCACCAAAATATGCATGCTATGGCTTAAAGTTTACAAACAAATATGATAATAAACTTGTTTTAGCCAATAGAAACCATCTATTTCAACGATTGTGAACCGTACTCTCGTTCAGTTAATGAGGCTACTCGTTCGTTCTCGTTCTACGGTGCAGGTTAACTAATAGATAAATATGAGCGTCAAACGTCATTCTTGAATCTTGTCATGTGTAGCCTGAACCACACAGACCTTTATCATGTTAAGTTTAATAATTAGGGACCTTAAGCATGTAGGACGGAAACACGACGACGGCAACTATCAATACCATTGTATTGCTTAACCTATGGGAGTTTTACTGTTTTAGACGTGATTTACGTTCTGTTTCACGGACATGGTCGTATATTTGCCATTTTCCGGCGAATATATGACCATAATAATAATTATAATAATAATTTATTTGGTCACATATTTTAAGGTCCCATTTTCCGGCGAATATATGACCATGGTCGTATATTTGCCATTTTCCGGCGAATATATGACCATGGTCGTATATTTGCCATTTTCCGGCGAATATATGACCATGGTCGTATATTTGCCATTTTTCGGCGAATATATGACCATGGTCGTATATTTGCCATTTTCCGGCGAATATATGACCATGGTCGTATAATTGCCATTTTTCGGCGAATATATGACCATGGTGGTATATTTGCAATTTTCCGGCGAATATATGACCATGGTCGTATATTTGCCATTTTCCGGCGAATATATGACCATGGTCGTATATTTGCTCAGATATGATCTTTGTATCTGAAACATGGCTCTCTGAAGATATCCCGAATGAAGCAATTCATATTGGTGGCTATAACGTCTTTAGGAATGATAGAGTGGGAACTCGTGGCGGTGGCGTTGCCCTCTATATTAATGACAATATTCCTGTCAAAATTAGAAATGATCTTAATAGTTCATTATTTGAATGTTTGTGGATGACCGCTAGACCAACGTGGTTGCCTAGAAAAATATCACGATTCGCCTTAGCATGTATTTATCTCCCACCATCCCTCTCATCTAATGACTTGGAAATCTTCTGCGAGTATTTCCAGTCCTGTTACGATACCTTAATGTTGGAAAGTTGCGATACCCCCCTTATTATTGCGGGAGATTTTATTCCAAGCAGTAATGGTTTTAGATCAAGAGTTTTGAATACCCATTGCAATCTCAAACAGGTAATTAACAAAGCGACAAGAAACAATAGTATTTTGGATCTTATTTTTACCAATATAAAATCCCTTTATAAAGACCCCGAAATCATCGTCCCACTAGCATCCGCGGATCACAATATGGTAGTCTGGTGTCCCCAAATACAACGTCCAGGAAACAATGTAGCAAAGAAAGTGACTGTAAGACCATTAAAGACATCTGCTTTGGAAAATTTTCCCTCGTTTTTGGCCTCTTACGAATGGGAAAATGTAATCTGTGCAGACACTGTCGACGACAAACTTGAGGAGTTCTTGGCAGCTACTAACACTATGATAAATTATTTCTTTCCTACAAAAACTGTCAAAATCCATGTTAACGACAAATACTTTATAACCGTAAAATTAAAGAAATTGATTAGTGCGAGGAACAAAGCATTTAAACAAGGGAATCTTATATTGTTCAGATCACTTAGGAATCAAGTAAAACGCGAAACCCGGATAGCAAAAGCGAAGCATAAAGATAAGATTTTAGGCAACTGTAATAAAAACAGCTCAAAATGGTGGAAGAATATCAGTCAATTAACGGGCAGAAACAAATCTTCAAAGTTTTTCCTAAGTGACCCTGAAAGTCAAGCTACAATGAATGATAAGGAAACTGCTAATTATATTAACAATTTCTTTGCAAGTTTGACCGAAGATTTTCCCGACGTCCATGAAAGGTGGTTTGAATATGGCGCGGGTCCTTACCCATAATTACGAAAGAATCCGTTTTGACCAAATTGAGAAACTTAAAAACTAACAAGGCATCTGGTTTAAATTATCCCAATTGTAAAATCCTGAAGATATTTGCGGAGGCTTTCGCAATACCACTCACGCACATCTTTAATGAATCCTTCAAATCAAAGTGTTTCCCAACCACCTGGAAAGAATTTGGGGTCATACCAATCCCAAAGTGTGTATCTTGTACTAGCGCTGAACAATTACGCCCCATTGCACTAACAAGTGTAATTTCTAAGCTCCAAGAATCATATGTAGTTAAATGGATAAACGAGGATGTTGAAGAAAAAATTTCGAAAGCACAGTATAGAGGACAGCCTGGATCGTCTGCCGTTCTTGCCCTAATATACTTGGTCCATAAGTGGCAGAAGGCTCTGGATGCCCCTGGCTTCGTAATTAGGCTAATGTTTCTAGACTTCCGCAAAGCTTATGATCTTATTGATCATAATATATTGCTTGAAAATTGTTCTAAAATTGGCATTCGACCAGCACTGATATCATGGCTTGCATCGTATTTGAGTGGTAGAAGCCAAGTTACGAAATTTGGAAACGAGTTATCTGAAAGATATACTATACATGGAGGTGTACCTCAAGGTAGCAAAATAGGACCTGTTGCATTTATTGTGCACTTTATTGGACTTCCCTCAGTATTGAAACAATCAGAAGTATCTGGTGAAGATTTTGAAGGTAATGAGGACGACGATGATGTATCAATATTTATGGACGATACCACAATCTCTGAAATCATAGATATAAAAAATCACACGTCAGGTAATGTCATTGGCAACGCTACAAGGAACAGGAGCCAAGTTGCGAAGTTCACTAAGGAACAAAAAATGGATTTAAACTTGAAAAAGTGTAAAGAAATGCTCATCGATTTAAGAAGGAATAAAACTGTCATACCACCAGTGAAAATTGATAACCACACGATTGAAAGGGTTAGTACGTATAAACTATTGGGTCTTTGGATTGATGATGATATGAAGTGGAAGACAAATACAGAGAAGATAGTAAAAAAGGCTGCTAAACGACTATTCTTTCTTAAAGTATTAAAATCATATGGTGCAAGTTCTGATGAATTAAAAAATTTTACATCACAGTCATCAGACCAGTCCTGGAATATGGAGCTCAGGTATGGCCTGGAGGGATTACTAAGGAACAGTGTAGAGACATTGAACGGATTCAAAAACGAGCATTGAGGATAATTTACAAGAATGATGATTATGATGAGAATCTTCATATTGCAGAAATAGAAAGTTTGGAGAATCGGAGAGACCGCATGTGCATAGACCTAATTAAGCATATGTCGAATGTAGACCACAAACTGCATAAGTTACTTCCAAAGAGAATTGGAGAAATTAGAAAGAGGGAAACAAGACTAAATAGTCAAAAGTACTATAATTATAAGGCAAATACAGAACGATTTAAGAACAGCCCAATTACTTATGCAATCTTAAAGTATAATGAATTTTTATCTTACGTGTAGTAATCTTCTTATAGTATATACAGGGTGTCCCAAAAAAAAGTCCCCGCTATTGAAATGAAGCTTTTGTTGGAATTTGAATGCATGATCAACGCAGTAGTGTGTAAATAGCATATTTATTAGGTTGAGGCATTCAAATAAAGCGTCTTGCTTTCAATTGGGTTTATTATAATATTAAGGCAATCAGATTCGAACAAAGGTTTGATTTCAATAGAGGGGACATTTTTTTGGGACACCCTGTATAGCTTTAATGTAGTTTTTTATTGTTATCATAGTTTAAATATAGACTTGTTATTGTAATGCACATAACAATTTAGCTGGTAGTAGCTACTAGAACTGTGTATTAATAATAATAATAATAATAATAATAATTTGCTATTTTCCGGCGAATATACTACGGCAAGACGTCGTTTATAACGTCCTATGTAGAACGTCTGCATTTCAGGACCCAGTGAGCGTTACCTCGAATTAGCTCTATAGAGTTGTCCCTAAACGTAAACATAATATTTTCAACGTCTTATATCTCATTAAATTGGTACAGTTAATAATATAAAACAACGCTTTACCAGAACATTTATTTAAAGGAGTATTCCAACCACGTCGTCGTCGTGTTGCCGTCCTACATGCTTAAGGTCCTTATTATCATTGCAACGGTTAATCAGTGATTGAAAAGGCTACGCATATATACGTGCACAGACTGATGACGGTTTTTATCGTCGAAAACCGATAGGCTTTCGACAACAATTTGTTAATAATGACCACTATATTTTTTTAGCTCGGGGGGTTTCACTAAGCGAAATTCTTTGAGCAAACGAAAATGTTTCTCGAAGTCGATCGAAGCGGATTTATTCCGGCGATTACAATAGAAAAGAAAACAAAAAAAATCCGTTCGATCAAAAAATTCCGTCCATTGTGAAAAGATGCCTTTGGCTTTAGTTAACTCTTAGAATCTCCCACATGCCTTAACTGAGTTGTACAATTACTCCATGGTTGAAATATCACGCCTTGTTTGCCATGCAAAGGTTTTTTCAAATTTTTTTTTGAAATATCGAAACCCTCTTGTCGCCCAGTAGCTATTAGTTTTTGCATATTTCTAAATACATACCGTCTTTCATTACCGCTATACGTAAAGTAAATATTTGAGATCGTTAAACCTTCAATCATGGATAATGGTACGTTCTATCTAAATGTTCATTAAAAGTCGTAAATATATGTATAGTCTATTAACAGAGTCATCCAAAGAAGTCTGCGTCGAAAAAATGTTCAATCAATGCATGAATGCACGAAGGTTCGTCATTTTTTCCATTTTTTTCATTCAACTTCCAATGTTTGATAAACAGGTTGGGTGTCATTTTCAAGAGTTTGATACACAGGTCCAGCTTCATTGTCAATTTCCGTTTCTTTTTCATCGCTAATACTTGTAGAAGCTCTCTTTATACTGTGGTCGACATAATTATTACCCTTAACAGGCAATCGTTTCGAAGCAGGCTTAATATCGTCATTTTTTGCATAGTCGTAATCCGTTTCTTGAGATTGTAATGGACGTTTTTTGTTCGATTCTACTTTCGCATAATCGTACTCATGATCATCAGCTGTTTCGTACAAGTCGCAAGTTCGTGAAGCCTCTCTTTCATCTGGTTCTTGATATATTTCTCCTTCGTTTTTATCAGCTGAGGAGTAGACAGGATTTATCGTGTCCCCGGATAATACACCTGTTATTGTATGAAGGAAGCTGATGAAAAAGTATTCGTTTGAATTAAGGAATAAATTTTAGAGAGTAAAGCCGTGGTCAAACGTCTGCGCATGCGTTGGTTTAATATTCTCTTTCTGCTCTTATTTTAATACATATATTCTTTATTGTGCTGCTACCGAATCACTCACTAACTAACTATCCTATTGCAATTATTGTCTTATATATGTTCAACTACGTGTCAATCATTATACTAGTATTACTTATTAACTAGCTCAATACTACACCATTCCCCTTATTTAAATTAAACGTTACTTCTAAATCAGTTCAATCAAATGTAATCACTATGTGTCTTTGTGTCCTTAATTATCCACTCTATTAATAATGTCTGATGGTAATGTTTGTCCATATCTTTCTGGTATTCTCCTCGCTCTGGTAGATCTTCTGACTGTACCCTCTCTTCTTTCTTCATTGTAGTGTGTATCTCTCACGTTCTCTTCATTGTCGGCATCGTTGTTCTCGCTCGTATCATCACTGTCCGATTCACTTCCATTACGTTTCGGAATTTTCTTGAAATGGGAAATGTTCCGTTCTATTACATGACCATCTTTACTCCGTGCTTTTATCACAGTCTTCTTTCTGTATACAACCTGATATGGTGTTGTATTAAACTGGGATGTTAACTTGTTTTGTTTGGCTGTTTAACCAATACATGATCTCCAACGGTGATGTTGCTTTTCTTGGTGTTTCGTCGGTTGTTTATGTACGCTTCATTATATTCTTGGCGTTTTCTTTCTCTTTCACGCGCTTCGTTGTGTCTGTTCACAACAATTTTCTTGTACAGTACGGGTAATGTTCCTCGAACTTTTCGGTTGAACAATAACTCGGAAGGTGGAACACCAGTCGAACTGTGAGGTGTTGTACGATATTGTAATAAAAACCGACTCAATTCTTGTCTCCACGGTCGACTTTGAAGTTTTGCTGTTTGCAATACCTTTCTGAGACATTGCATGAAGCGTTCTGCTTGTGCATTACCTTGGGGCCATAACGGGGTGGAGAACTTGGGTGTTATTCCTAAGGTGTCTAAGTATCGTTTGTAGTCAGAACCGTTGAATGGTGGTCCATTATCTGAGATGATTTCGTCTGGAATACCGTGGGTCGCAAAGATTTTATCCAGTTTTGGTATCACTGCTGATGCTCTCGTGGAGTGTACCACTTCTACTTCGGGAAATCGAGAGTATCGATCAATGACTACGAGTAGATATTCTGTCGTAGGCAAAGGTCCATAGAAGTCAACATGTAAGGTTGTCCATGGGTGTGTTGGCATAGATGTAGTCGTAATGGGTTCAGGTGGGTTTGGTCGTCCCACTGCCTGACATGGGATACAACGTTCAATTGTGGTCTTTACCAGATTGTCAATTTGAGGAAACCATACCTTTTCGCGTATAAGGCTTTTGGTCTTGTCTATGCCCAGGTGTGTTGATGTGCTAAGTCTATTGCTCGCTGTTGTAAACCCAAAGGGATCACGATCCTCGTTCCTCGCAGTATCATACCGTGTTGGGTCGTGGTCAGTTCGTCTTTCACGGGCTTATAAGGTTTTACGGCAGGTGCGTCCCATTTGTTTGTGCGTATAGCGTCCCGAACTTGTGTCAACGTGGCATCAGCGTTGGTGGCTTCGAGGATTTCTGTCAAAGTCATTGTTTTTGGCACACTGTGATGTGCAATGAAATTAATGTATTGTTCTGTCATTCGTTCTTGTTTTCGACAACTTTCCGCTGTGGGGTGTCGTGACATGTAGTCTGCAGGATTGCTACTACCGGCTTTGTACACAATCTTAAATGCGTAGGGTTGCAAACGGAGAACCCATCGTTCAATACGTGCTGAGGTTTTGGCTGTTCGTTTACCGTAGATTATCTCGAGAGGCTTATGGTCCGTCACCAGTGTAAACTCACTTCCAAAAAGAAACAAATGAAAGTGTTCAACTGCCCAGACAATGGCAAGCGCCTCTTTTTCTGTCTGCGAATAGCGTTTTTCAGTATCCGTCAATGCACGACTTGCATATGCGATAACTTGTTGATGATCGGCGTCTTTGTGTTGCGGTTTCTGTGATAGAATGGCGGAGATGCCTACAGGACTAGCATCTACGGTGACGTAGGTGTCTTTTCGTTTGTCAAAATACGACATGCAAGGTGCGGAGGTAAGTTTCTGCTTGAGCTCGTCAAAAGCTGCTTGATGTACTTCCGACCACTCAAAACGAATGTTTTTCTTCGTTAACTCTCTTAGGGAAGCTGTGATAGTAGCAAAGTTTTGTATATATTTGCTGCTATAGTTCGCCATTCCGAGGAAGCTACGAACTTCGTGCGTGTTCATCGGTTTTGGTGCTTTTAATAAGTCGTTGACTTTCTTGGGATCAGGTCTCGTCCCCTCTTTCGTAAATATCTGTCCAAAGAATGAGAGTTCGTCTTTTAGAAAAACACATTTGCTTTGGTTCAATCGTAGTCCTTTCGCGGTAAGGCGTTGAAGGCATTTGTCTAGGTTTTCGTCATGTTCTCGTCTTGTTGAACCAAAAATAACAATATCGTCTGCGATATTCTTAACTCCTGGAAGTCCTTGGAGTGCTGTTTGGAGCGTATGTTGGAACATCTCTGCCGCGGTATTAGTTCCGTAATTTAGTCGCTTATATCGGTATAAGCCTAGGTGCGTACTAAAGGTTGTAATGTACCTCGATTGTTCATCTAATTCAAGCTGATGATACGCTTGACTTAGGTCTAATTTAGAAAAATACTGTGCACCATTCAATGAGAGGCTTATATCGTCCACAGTCGGTATTGGGTGTCGTACTCTTCGAATCGCTTCGTTCGGTAATCTCATGTCGACACAAATGCGAACTTGGCCATCTTTCTTTGGGACCGTAACTATAGGTGAAACCCAGGGAGTCGCTTCATCGTCGGGTACCCGTTCTATTATATCTTGTTCTTCGAGCTCGTGTAGTGCTGTTTTTACCCTTTCTCGGATGTGGTAGGGTATGCGTCGTTGTGGTTGTGCTTTGGGTATTTTCGTTTCATCAATGTCTAGCTTGATTTGGGCGTCCCTGAATTTACCGAGTCCCGTAAATACCGTCGAGTGCTTTTGAAGGATGTGATTTATCGCGTTGTCTTTTGTTGAAAGTTTGTCTAAATGTAGACTAACAAGTCCAAGTTCTTGTGCAGTGTTTAGTGATAACAAATTGCCACACTGTTGTGCTTTAACAACATAAATCGTAGCAGTTGTCATACGCTTCTTTGTTTCGATGACTGCGTCAAATTTGCCGACAAATTCTACCGGATTTGTACTATTGTATGCAAAGGCTTTCACATTCGTACGTTTCAGTTTAATGTCTTTCATCTTCTCGAACGTGTTATAATCGATGACGTTTATCGTCGCCCCGGTGTCTACAGCTGTTTTTAGTTTACTACCACCTATGGTGACACTAACTTGGTTGTCCACTTTCGTATCACTAACTGCGTATATGTACTCTTCGTCAGAGCTAGATTGTTGTTCAGTGTCTAGCGTTTTAACATGCCTCTGTCCGTATTTCTGTTTACTTTTGTGTTCTCTTCTCTGTGGTCGTTCGGGTTTCTGTGTTGATCGACACATCGTGGCGAAATGGTTTGGTTTCCCACACTTGTTACACGATTTGCCGCGCGCTGGACACACGCTTGTATGGGGAAAATCACGACCGCAATTTCTACATTTGGATTTGGAAGTGTTATTAGTATTGTTCCGACATTGTTGTTCTATTCGATTCATTTCTCCGTCCTTTGTTTCTTTTGATTCGATTTCCTTCGTCTGAAAGGTACTTTGTTCGTCTCGACGTCCTTCGATAAGCATAGCTTTTAAATCAAACGTTGGATCACGTAGAGCTCGTTTACGTATTTTCGACGATTTGCCGCCAATAAGGATTTGTTCTTCGATTTCAAACGCGATGTCTGTAAACTCACACGTCTCTGCCATTGTGCGCAATCTCGTATGAAATTGGTCCAAAGTCTCGCCGCTTTCTTGTTTAGCTTGCCGAAAACGGTATACTTCATATCGCTTGTTTTTCTGCGGGTCAAAATGGGCTTTTAGTTTTGCCTTGGCGAGTTCGTAATCTGCGCCAGTTCCTGTATCTGGCATTTGTTTGAAGATTTCGCGCACTCGCGAGCCAGCCTGATATAGTAGCAACGCACGTTTTCTCGTTGAGTCTGTAATTCCACTTGCGGTTAGATACATGTCAAAATCGGATTGCCAGTTATTCCATTTAGTCGCAATGCTTGTACCGAGTTTAGCATCTGGACAAAATTCTGGCATTGGTGTGATTGCAATCGACTGCATGACTTGCACCGTCTGTTGTGGTTGCTCATGCTCTTCTGCGTCGGACATTACAGTTTGCGTCTCGTTTATCTTTGTTTTAGCCTCGTCGCCAATTTAATATTCTCTTTCTGCTCTTATTTTAATACATATATTCTTTATTGTGCTGCTACCGAATCACTCACTAACTAACTATCCTATTGCAATTATTGTCTTATATATGTTCAACTACGTGTCAATCATTATACTAGTATTACTTATTAACTAGCTCAATACTACAGTTGGTTATTCCGCATTTTGTAATTCGTACATTGTTCCGCGTGAACAAAGAGAAGCAAGAGACTGGGACAAGTATAGCAATGCCTGCTTCTAAATCTTTAGCAAAAAGAGTAAACCGTAAACGAAATTACGACGGGTGTTAAACTCGGAAAAACTTTTGCCTCAATGAAGATTTTCTCAAATTATCTTTCTTGAATTGCCTTTTCTATACAGATTAGCTAGTTTACCCGTACTTTCGTAAAACCGACTGTGTCTACATTTCTGAAATAATCTCGTACCTTTACCATTGATATCCATCATAGAAGAAGTTTTGTCTGCACGCCTGAAAAAAGATTAAGCTCTCACTCGTGGAATTACTGATAAAATTATTTTTTATACAGAGATGAAATAAAGGTTGTTTGCATACAAACTATCTGGCAGTTCAGTAAGAACTATTGTACTAAAGGCCAGTGACCGGTTATTCGAAAGGCGCTCGCATTATGATCGCCTACACATATTAAACAATTTTATATAAAAGATTATTGTTCACGTTGTCCTAACACAAGGTTGATATTTCGCGTCTAATTTTCTTGCAAAAGCAATTTGATACCCGCCGTGCAGGACCGTAGCTAGACCGCTGGGGGAAGTATATCTTCATATATTCATGTTTATATACCGTATGAATTAGACGAATTTATGAAATTTACCTCCTTTTTCTGTAATAAACAAATCCAATAATAATGCCACATAAGACCAAGGCTGCTATCAGCAACCCAACAACAAGACCCACGATATTCAATGCGGATGATTCACCTTTCTGTTTTTCATAATCAGACTCCATGCTGGTTGACGTACTCGCAGAAAGTGTTGCACTCGGTGGATGTAATGGGTATGAAGGATAGTCACTTGATGAGTGGTAAGAGGATGTTGGGTATGCAGGATACTCATTTGGTCGATGGAAGGAGGATGTTGGGTATGAAGGATAGTCACTTGATGAGTGGTAAGAGGATGTTGGGAATGCAGAATATTCATTTGGTCGACGAAAGGAGGATGTTGGGTATGAAGGATAGTCAAATAATGTGTGGAAATAAGATGTTCGGGGTGAAGGATCGAATTCGGAGCTTGGCGTCGGGCTGATATGCACTGTTTCTTTTGCTTCTTCCGATATTGATTTCTGTATGTGCAGACATATTGCGAATTGATAATGTTTGTGCTGCGCCCGGGCGAGATCTGAAGAAGTGGATCATTCTATGAAAAAACAAGGCCTTACCGTAAATGAAATCGGCATAAGAGTCGACTTTGAGCCTAAAAAAAAGAAAGAAAAAAATCATTTCCTTTTTACAATCGCTTTTTACAATTCAGCTGTATGTCGTCGTTTAACTTTATAGCTTGCATGCTGGAAAAATATCTTCTTCGTGAAGTAGCTACATTTATTACACGAGTAAGGCTTGCAATCTGACGACTTAAATTTGAAATAACTATATTATACATACATCAATTCAACTTACAATCTTTCTTTTTAATTTTGATGATAACACATCTTTGGGCCATATTATTTCCAGTTAGATGGCAATTGAAGTTAAATTTAAAAATCCGTTCAACTGGTAGTGCCGTTAGGAGATTCCACTGCATGAAAGAAGACAAAAACTGACTAATTGAAATCGAAGAATATAACATGGTGACGGGATAGAGGGCGTTGCGGCCGGGAAGCTACATGCAAGAGCCCAAATGTTAATTCTAATCACCGAATTTGGCCGGTATTCCTCAGTTGAATTTTTCGCTTATCGACGCCGTATAATAAATAAGAAAAAATACATGAACAAAAACATGCCATAGTTATCCCTGTCCTTATACCGCAGATAATGGCTTTCGCATTGGCGAGGGTTTTGTGTACTTTGAATGGAGATCACCTTCACAATCCTTTCAAATCCCTAACCCTATATTCCATAGACCTATATATAACCCTGCCGTGTAGGCTATTAAGACCACTTCTTGAATTCTTCATGCAGAGCCTTGCTCCGAAACTGAACAAAATCCGGGATAAAATAATTGTGTTCTCCCCTTAAATTTCCTACCTTTTCTCGCGCATTCACAGATATGGTGCAGTTGTGATTATTCTATAGCTTGCGCATTATACAAAGAAGCAAAGTTATTTCGTCATTGTTACATGTTCTTTCAAGTGTGAATAAAGTTTACACATGCATCACCAGCATATTCTATAGTCTATACCTTCAAAAATAAGTTTTTCTTCATATATGATAATAGGAAAAACGCTTGGGTGTGATTGAATTGTTTCCAAGTTCCATCATGAAAATATTGCAACCCACTCGGAGATGACCCAGAACAGTCAGAAAGGTCATTAATGAGTTGAATTCCTTTGCGCTGACAATTTGTATCCAAGGTCAACATAGCTGTGCACCCAAATGCTGTAATAAAAAAGTGTCATGGAAATTTTCTTTACCTCGCAAAATGGAACTTTTCCTGTGATTTTTAAACTTAGGGGGCCCTTGACTCCCCCGGTTCCTACGCCCCTGCTGTTATCTACCTGAACGCGCGGTGTATCAGACAATGTCAAGCTGAATTGCTGAATAGTGCTCGCTTACGCAGGTTCGTTGGCACTAAAGTATTTGCTTAGTCATGCTTGGTTAACTGAGGGTCCCCCAAAATCTCTTCTAGTCTTGGCCAAACATTTAGACGCTTACTGCTCCGAACGTGCATTACTTTTCACCTAAACGCTTTCTTTCTGCAATGATTAAATAAGTTGCATACCTTGATGGCAAAAGGAGTTTGTTTCGGTATTTCCTTGTTTAGTTTGCCAATATGTAGTCGCTGCAGTTGAGCCTAATACGGTATTTTTCATTGTCGTATGATCGGTATCAATTATTATGTATACGAAATTTTTCCTACCACCTTTTTCCGTAAATGTCCTTGTAATAAATCCTACTGAACAAACCCATTTTTGTTTTGTCTCAGATATATTGCACTCTTTAAGACTTAAATACCATTTGGTTTTTTCTCTATAAAGTAACCCGTTTTGCTGGATACATTTTAATGTTTCCACGTGAAGTAGTTGTTGGTGCCACGTTCTGATCCACTGTTGCGATGGATCGCTTTGGTTACACGTAGCTACCATAATGCCATGTGATTGATTGTTGGTCATACACAACGTATCGTAGTGTTGATTAATCATAAACGAGTTCTTTCCCACTAAGAAACAGTAGATTTGCAATATACGTTAAATTATAGAAACGTAGACGATGCCGATAAGCTATATATATGCCTATATATAGAACATGATAAACCTGGCTTAAGCCCGGCGCACACAAGAGCTATGTGCTAAGCAAAATGCCAGGCGTGCTCAAAAAGCGTAAGATCTAAGGAGATGGTTGCCTGGGTGCCTTCACGAACAGCTTCTGTCATTCGTGCCACGTACAGCAAATATTAAACATGTTGGATTATTTCTGTCACCAAGGGCCGCGCAAAGAGGGGGCACTGGGACCCAGTGCCTCATCCACGTTCCTGAAAAAATCACTGAAAGTGTGCCCCCGCTTTTTAGCAAAGATACTTTTTTGAGTCAGTAAACGTGCCCCTCTTAGCGCAACTAATTAAATGTGCCTTATAATTATTGCAAAAAGAAACGAAACAGGAGTATATACGTGATCGCAACAGAAATTTGTAAGCAGTAAAATAAGTAGCTGAACAAAACTACTTGAAGTAAATAATTTACCATGTACAGTAGGTACACCATGTAAGAATTTAATACTGTCAATACTGCATATAATACTGCATAAGTATTTAATATTAAATACTTACATTGTGTACCTATAACAAGAATATTAAAACTACTTCAGTACTTCACTCTCACTGTCTTCACATGTGTATGGTAGTATTTTGTAAAGAAAGTGTCCATTTTTGTTACTTTTCTCTCCCCCGTTTAGTTTTTTATGCTATGGTGTCCCAACCTTGTATAGTATAGCATGACCCAAAACCATTGAAATCACCCATAACAATGTAATAGCTGCAGTTTGAATCCCTAAGCACGCTGTTGGGACACAAGTGTATAAAGTGTATGATGACAGTAAAATTTGTTTGCACCCACAAATGATTTTTCCAATACGTTTATTTACAAATATGGATAGCAATATTTAAATTTACAACTCAAGCACCATGACCTTCGACATTTCCTTCCAGTGGCGTAGCCAGAACGATAATTGGGGGGGCCAATATTCATATATTCGTGATACGCAGGTTTAATTTCTTTTCAAATCAATTGTCTTTACAGTCTGTTAACATGAATATATGAATATGGGCCCCCCCAATTATCGATGCTGGCTACGCCACTGTTTCCTTCTTCTCTAGCAAATTTTAACTTTTTGTAGGCCTATTTAGCATTTTATAACTTGCGTTAATCCACACGAGCAAAAAGTCGTGAACAAGTCATTCGAATTTTTAAAAATAGTTGATTTCAGTAGTTTTGGGTTTTTTTGGGGCACTTGTAGTGAAACTAGGCCTAAGAATCCTGCTTTGAATAATTTCCTGTTTATATAAAATACCCTAAAATACAGGAAGTCTTACAATTTTATCGCCAGACAGCAATTATTAAACTTACCTTGGAAAAATAATAGCTCACTATCTCTCACACATCTGTTCATATAGCGAAGATAGGTTTTGTATTCACCAGTACACTTACATTGACGGCACCCTTTTGATGCGCATTCAGCATTGCATTTGATACATCCGTGTGTCGCGGAACAAGATGAACTTTCAAATGTATCGTAGTAGTCTCGAAAGACATGCGGTGGTTCACTGCTGCGAATGGAACCACAGACATAGACATGTGTAATGATAGTCAACGCGATAATATTTGGTAAGTTAAGTTTCATTGCCATGGCAAACGACTAGACGCCTTATTCTCGACGATAGAAGATAATAAACCATAACCTGGGTTCCGTATTGTGATCACAAGATATAAAGTCTTGTGACTAGGAAATACCGAAAACTGCTTAATTTTATATGAATACTGATTACCGGAAATCACCCCGTGGAGCCTGCTCAACCTCACCTTTTGAACTGCCACGCCTACGCAAAATGAAATGATAATAATCCAGTGATAGTGATAGTGATAGTGATAGTGAGATTTATTATCTTTCCCTCAAAGGGGCTTTTCAAAGATAATTACAAAATCGGTATGATAATATATAAAAGATTATAAGCTAGCCTATATTTACATTAATTAATATATTTAATTTGCTAAAAAGTCAATTAAACGTTTCTTTCGAAGGCTTTTCTTGAAACTGGATACGTTGGGGCAAAGTTTGAAATGTGCCTCTAAAGAATTCCACAAGCTTACAGGCGAAATGCTTAAACCATATAATATTGGCTAAAATCACACTAAATAATAGTCCATGATACATCTATACTAAAAGTCTATATAGGTTCAGGATATAATTAAGTCTGACAATAAACTGACAAAGGCCGGATGATGGAAAGTTTCTTGGAAATGCAATATTTTTGGATTATTAGAAAATTGATCAGAATATTGTCATTAAAAACCGTCGTCAATCATTTGAAATTGGTTCTCAGAACAGCGGTTATTAAATACTGACTTTCGGTTGTAGGCTTGTAGCTACATGCCATATTGAATCACGAATTTTATTATAATTCTAAATTTAGCAACTAACGAACCAATTTGACTCATATAAGACTCTTTTGACTGTTTGACACATATGACCAACTTTCAATTTCGGTTTAATTTTTAAAAGCGGACGTTTGTCAAAAAAAGCGGAACATCATCAATGACATCGCGGATGAATGACAAATAACGTACAAGTGTAAAGACTACACCAATTGCTGCATGGATAAAATCATGTAAGACGCACAATAATATATTGTATCCTATTTTACCATCACGTACATTCACTATTCACAACTTGAATACCTGTTAATTAATAAAATTGTGTGTATGCACACTAGTAACCAATTTATTGGTAGGATTATGGATTTTAATAACCTTCAGTGACCTCATATAGCATGATTCATATAAACGGTATTTCATTCCGGGTAATGTTTATGTAATAACAAAGAGCAAGCATTTTCTTGAGATATTGGTTAATTTCTTTGTAGTACAGGATATTATCAAGAATATCAAGGATATTGTTTTTAGTCGGAAAATTTCGCTTCCTCTTTTAAGAGAAAACATAAAGTGAAAGAGATGTGCCATTACATGGAATACAAAGACAAGTTTAGGAAACTAACTAGCACCCTTAGACGGAATTTAGCACACAGAGCTCTTGCAAATGACGTCATAGTTCACACTTTTCCCTTCACTAATTTAGGTAGCGAATTACTCGATAGGTTGACAGAAAAGAAGCATTAAGTGCATCTAAGATGAGATATACAGCATGTAATTTTGGTTAACATTTGAACGCTTAATTCCCCTGTTCAAAGTGTGCATTTAGCGATTCCACCCTAAACTATAATTTTGAGCAAACGCCTGTAGTCTTTTGGCAAGTCTAGCCATATACCCGCACTGATTGACTCGCGGCTCGCATTCCTTTCAATTCAAACTTAAGAGTCAGTACCGGTCAGGCATATTTAAGTGATACTTCAGAGATCCTTTGTCCTTCCCACTTAACGTTCTTAGTAGATTGCCGATGAATCAATTTTCTTAAAAATTATAACAACACAAAAAGTATTTTTTTAGAATCAGCACACCATTTGAAGAATAAATTCAGCCTAGATTTAAAGACAGGTTTTGAAAAAAAGTATCCCAAAAATGGCGGCATTTCGTCATTGTGGGAAAGGCTAATTAAGCAGATAATTATAAATTATTTAATATGCCTCCTATGAAGATATAAGATCGGCTGTACGCCAAAATAAATATATGTACTTAATAATATTCGGTTTACGAAATCAGTGTTCGAGAGAAACCTCTTGAACGTTCTATCGAACCAGAACTCCCAACTAACTCGTAGGTTGAACTACCTCTTTATGGGTATAACCTAAAAACTTTTCTTAGAAAGCTAGGCTAAAAAACTATTCATTGTTAAAGTCTTAAAAGGAGCACATTATTTCTCAGCCTCTGCTTCAGTTAGAACTAACTGCAAGTCTGCAACTAATTGGATTTACATTTACTTGCATGATCAAAATTTTAGTTAACGTTATTTTTCGCATTTTTCAGCTTTCATATATAACTGTATTGTGGGCTGATTATTAGAAACATACTTCTTTGAGTATGGACGACTGACTTCAGCAGTGAAGGATGTCGGTTTCTGTGCAAACAACTTTGTCTTTGTCCCAATTGTTATCCATGTCAATTCTTGAATTCTGAATAAAACAAGATATTGATGTTCTTATCTGTCGATCTTGATAATATACTGACTCGTGAAGAATAAATTATGAAGCATATTTTTTCCCTTTAAAACTTTGACAATAAAGAATTGTTCTTCATTTTACGTCATTGCGCAACTCTTGATTACTCAGTAAAAAGCATTTGTCACCGGAGTTTACAACCTGGAAAAAATCTATGTTTTTGTAGTTTTCGAAAATCAATTTTGCATAAATTTGCATTTTTTAGAAAAAGTAATTTCAGTCCAGAAACACAAACTCTACTAAAAAGGGTCACTGAACTTCTCCATAGTCGCTATTGACACCAATGGACTGTGCAAAGACCTAAAACTGATGAAGGACAAATCTACACTGTCAAACGACGAAAATATCTACTTTCCCATAATTTATTCCAATCGAGTCACCTTAATGATATTTACCTCAATAATATTTGCTTGTAAAAGCTCCCTAAGTTTAGCAAAAAGCAATTCAAAAGTGGGACGATTTTTTGGATTTTCATTCCAACACTCCAGCATTGTGAGGTAAATTTCAGTTGGACAATGATCAGGTTTTTCCATCCTCAAACAATCTTTGAGTAAAGCTACAAGTTGTTGAACAGGAATAGAAGGATACGGTGTTTGGCCAAGTGTGAACATTTCCCAAAGCAAAATACCGAAGGACCAGCTGAAAGTGATTGAAGTAAATTACAAGATCGCCCCTTTGTTGTTTTTCTGCTCTGCTCTGCTCTGCTCTGCTCTGCTCTGCTCTGCTCTGCTCTGCTCTGCTCTGCTCTGCTCTGCTCTGCTCTGCTCTGCTCTGCTCTGCTCTGCTCTGCTCTGCTCTGCTCTGCTCTGCTCAGTCAATCATATAAGACATACTGATTTGCCTTAAATTTCATTTTCCTTCGAAGTAATCATTACTATTTATTACTTAGCTTACACATCACTTTCTTCTGTGTACACTTTTTCCAATAAAGACTCCAGTGCCATCCATTTAATTGGAAGATATGCTTGCGTGTTAGATACATAGTTGTCACTATCGAACACTTCCCTTGCCAAACCAAAATCTGCAACTTTCATCACGTAACTATCCGAAACTAAAACATTACGCGCAGCAAGATCACGGTGAATGCACTGAAAACGAACAAATACATTTTCATGGGAGAGTATAAACGGTCATAATACTTTCACCCAGATAAATCTGAGGCACAAAAATGTAATTTTATCGGGATTGACTGTACCTTTTTAGAGGCAAGAAATTTCATTCCATTGCATATTTGAATTGCAGCTGAGACCAAATTTGCGAAAGTAAGTCTTTCCTTTGATGCAAAATCCTCTTTGAACCATGATGGTTGGAATATTTCTCTTCTTTTTCGCACAAACTCTAGCAAGCTCCCATTTGAACAGTATTCAATAATCATATAAAGTTTGGGATATTTAGTGCATGCTCCAAGAACATTCACGATGTTTTCATGTTGTCCTATATGGATGATCATCTTTAGTTCACCAGCTAAGTTTCGAATGTCGTTGATTTTAGGATTATCTAGCAAAAACATGACTATGACTAAGTAAGTATAAAAGATTCAGCAATTCATCAGAACCTTTTGTCTGTTTGATTTGATACGATCTCACCAGGGGCCAGTTGTATCAAGCCCGTTTAGCTTAAACGGTGGATAAGTTCAAAATAGAAAGCAAGTCTGCCCTTTTATTCAACAGGCGAACTAAATGTTTTTAAAATTTAATATAACGATGAACGATCATGTTTGCAACTACATATTCAGTGCATGATATTCAAGTTGGCTCATTTAAGAGATAAGAGTGTTATTTAATTTTGACTTATCCACCGTTTAAGCTAAACGGGCTTAATACAGCCGACCCCAGAGAGGTAAAAGATATAGCATATAAACATTCGCATAATCAATTCTTACTCTAACTTCCACGATATTTTTTTAGAGGCACGGTGGCAATTTACTCTACCCCCGGCTAAGCTTTCACATGTCTTGAAAGAAAGAAGAATTTTTTACGTACCCTATTTTTATTAACTTCGCTATATGCATGTACCTTTAGTTGTTTTCACAGCAACAGTCATGCACTCGTTTTCTTTATAATGAGCCAGTTTCATCTTGTTTCGTGCCTTATTTAGCTGCTTCCTTTGTTTCTTGGCTTGTGTGCTCTTATCTCGGGAGTTCATCAAACAAATGCCGTACGCTTTTGCTTTATATACCTTCCCAAATGCTCCACAACCAATAAGTTCATTGAACTTCAGATACATGTAAGGAAATTCCCAATCTTCATCATAAGAAAGATCGTGCATTTGTTCGTTTAGCGTCTTCATTGGATCAATCTATGCAAAAATGAAAAATGCAGGAATCCGCTCTGTAAGTGTTAGTCAAAGGACAATTCTTCTAGTTTTATGGATAATATTCTTTGCCCGATCAATTAATATTTTGCTGCTATTATAGTCAATATTCTCAGCTCCTTCATGTGGCTATTTGCCGAAACAGTGTGTTGTAATACTGTTTATTCACTTTGACCGAATGACTACGAGTCAATCTCAATCTAGCTACTCATTGTAGGCGGATATGCCGCAAAATCGTTCTTGAGCATTAATTGGAATTGCGCAACCAGGCAGCACTGAAACATGCATACATGCAGCTAGTGTGTGCAAATTAAAAAAGATTATAATGCATTGTAAAATGCACTTGCATGCATGCAGGTATATATTATTGTAGAGTCTACCGTATAGTTATTGCCTTCCAAGAAAAATCTTTTGTACGTTCTCTTTCGAGTGCGTTCCCTCACGTAGAGGACCAATGAAGTGACAACCACGAAGGACAGTAATAATAAAACACAGCCAATAGCAATGAACATATTATTCTTGTTGCTTTTGTGGTCGACAGTTGGAACTGAAAGATTGTTGTTGAATAGTCAGAACTTTGAACAAAATTGACGTGAGAGTGATGTTCAAGTGAAAGATGAAAGTAAAACTTTCATACACTTCCAAATTTCAAGATTCTTTAAACGGTCGTTGATGGGTAATGTTGATACATGGAATCATACAGCATCCTCAAATCGTAAATTTACTAGTAAATTGGAGCGCTCGCCTTGGCTTTTAGAGTTCAATCAAAACAAGAATTCTTTTTCTCCCCCCGAGCTCTTAATTCACGCACGCATGATTACGTAATGCATGTATACTTCTAAACAATAAAGTTACCTTCATTATTATCACCAACAGATCTGTAGACGTACGGTATTTTTCTACTCCAGAATGAGTTCTTTGCGATACAATGAGTGATGTGGTCGTGGGTTGTATCAAGCAGTATACTACTCATGTATGTATGAGATTGATTACCAACTCTCTTCTTTGCCACAAACATCTTCTTTATGGGTTCACATCTTGTTGTGTTGTCGATGCCGCATTTTTCCCAAGAGAACTCCGGTGGTGGATTGCTTCTAACAACGCAATGTATAAAGCTGCGATTTTGTTCATTTTTGATGGCTATCTTTACATCAGATAGAACTAGAAAAAATGAAAATTTAAGATTGCAGATTATAGAAAGCATCTCGGAAACGCGATGCGATTTTCAATTTTCAGAAACAGATTTATCCGGCATCGCAGCATCAAAGTTATTTGCGATTTAACTAAAAATTCAGGGGTTTGTGCGGTAGTGGCATAATCATGGAAAAAGAATAATAAAAAAAGATGCATTATCGTGCTGCTAAGTTTATTTTGAAGTTATTCTGTTTAAATGCGAAGAGAGTCTCATTTTGTGAGCTAGTTGTTTGTGTGTCTGCATGTTATTCAGAAAAGTCAGGTGATTGTCAAATGTCAATACTTATATAAGGCGTCGGACCTTTGTCGTACTGTCGTAACATTTCATAATACAAAGAGTAAAGTAGGAGCTGAAATAAACGCACCGCCGTAGCACTCCATTAATAACTTTATATAAAAGACTCTTCGGTAAGTAAAATTCTCTCACTCGATCACTCGCTCGAAATTCGTAAATAAATAAGCCGGGAAAGCGGACATATTACGTCTAAATTCAAATGAACAAACCTTTAATGTTTACGGCGAGAAGAAGCATTTGCTGTTGATCTTTTGAATTCTTCAGGTGGCAAGTAATCACACCATTATCTCTTTCGAGATTTACTTTTGAAATGGAAAATTTAACTTTCTCTGTTTGAGGGTTTTGCGAAGAGAGTGTGTACCTTCCATTCTTAGATATGCATGGTTTACTTTCTTCTGCGTAGATAATTTCATTCATCTGCTTTTTGGAGCAGAAAATAACAATTTTCCCTTTTCTTCCGTCCACACATGTCAGACTAGGCAGAGGAGAACCAAAAATACTGAACTGAATTGTAGCATTTTGATTTTCTTCAAACCATTTTGAAACGTTGCTTTTCTCAACGTTTAGATCCATCCAATCTAAAAATTATAAACCGTTAAAAATATAAAATATAGTAACTATTGCCATTACTATGTTATCACTATAGTACAAAATAATGTATTCAGTTAATTGTACAAATTTCACTATTAGGTGTCGATGCATGATGAGCAGCAGGTTTTTACGGTATGTGATCAAATGAATTCGTCCCTCTCCCTTCAATCAATCGTCGGGAACGATCCTGTAAAAAAGCAAAATTGCTACCCCCCAGTTATGGCAAGGTGGTGGGTTAAAGGTGGTAGATAAAAAGTAAAATTTTGTGCTTCACTAGCTTAGTTGCTTGAGGTAATTTGACAAGTCGTCTCACTCGTCTGTTGATAAATCGTTTTTAAAGTGATAGAACAGATTCTCGAAGTTTTTACTAGTGGATAATGTTTGCATACACTGTATTTAGTTACTTAAACAATTTATCTTAATTTTTAATTGATATATACTAATTCAACCTTACATCAACCGGCAACCGACTAAAAGGCTATATCACCCATATATGTTCTTCAGACACGCTTCAAGTGCCACGTGATCGTCGGTAAAATCTGGGGGTGGCCCCGCTACGCCCCTGGTCAATGATCTTAAGCTTTGAGGTTTGTGTTGCAGTGTTGGTTATTTAATTTCAAATCGGCAGGCCTGGACACAGTACACAGTGAATACACGACGTGTGGATACTACATCGATTTGGCTACTCTTGTTTGTTATACCTTTTACTTCCAGATTTAAGTTCGTAGAGCTAAGCAGAGGTGGTGGAAGTTCTAAAAGGCACGAATATCGTCCAGCAAAGTACTTTTCAGCGTCAATAAGAATGTACATTAGGGATTTGGTGTTGTTCGCCAATATTTTCTCTTCAGTTGGACGCAGGCTATTAGGATTATCTATACTTTTTGTCCACATTGCTTCAAGTTTGCAGTTACTCCGGTAGGTACAGGTCAAATTTATTGAATCTCCTTGATCAATAATAACGTTCCGTGACTTGACATGTGGCATTGTTTCTAAAAATGTAGAATACGTTTGAATAAATTATGTGCAAAATATTCGACCATGGTCGAGCATACCGGAAAACGATATATTCCTCCATGGTCAAATATACCGTTTTCCGGTATATTCGAGTATACCCAACCTCGTACCCAGGGCATTTTCCCTCCACATTGGGACGTCGGCGAAAAAGGCCCTGGCATCGGCTGGTCACGTGACACTCTGAATCTGAGGTTGTTGTGTTAGGAATTTGGAAGAACGTCCTTCTTCGCGGGTCAGTCTTCGGCTCATTCGAGCTTATAGAAGATTATTTAGATTATTTATATATTATCATCGGAGCAAATAAACTATAACACAACAACCTCAAATTCAGGGTGTGACGTGACCAGCCGTTGCCAGGGCCTTTTTCGCCGACTTCCCAATGTGGAGGCAAAATGCCCTGAGTACGAGGTTGGAGCATACCGGAAAACAGTATATTCTACCATGGTCGAGTATACCGGAATATGGTATATTTGGCTATGGTCGAGAATAACGGAAAACGCTATATTCGATTATGGTTAGTGAGAAAATAGTATGTTTTTATATTCTCTGATGTTTTGAAACAATCCTAGATGGTTTTTAACCTCAAAATAGCCATGGTTCTCGAAAGTAAGCTCAATATTCATTACTGAAGGCATAGCTTGCTAAAATATTTTGTTAACTCTGTGTTTATGGCCGCTTGATTCGCCGGGTACAATTCGGGCCTAAACCGCTTGTATTTATTTCACATTTTGTATTGTTTGATCTTCGTTGACTCTGTTGTATTTTCAGGAAATATTGAAGTCCGATCTTTCTTCTTTACTTCAAGATAAAAATCTGTTTGATATGAATGAATATGCATATGCTAAAAATGAACTGATATGCATAAAAAACTGACAGAATTTAAGACTCGTTTCCTGTAACATCCGTTTTAGGAAGGATTAACATTTGAAGGATTTGAAATCATTCCCATCATTGGAAAATTTAAAGCATAGCAGTTTAGACTTACTTATAATGATCGAAAGAGATCGATTTTCCCAAATATTTGAGTTGTTTTGCAATCTCATAACATACTCTCCCGTGTAGCTAGTTAACGCTGGACCAATCAGGAAATGGGAACCATTCCACGTATACTTGAAGGCAGAATCCTCGCAGTCATCATACCGTGGCAGTGTTTGGATGAGGATCCCATGTTTAATTTCATATGTTGGCATCGGTTTAACCACAAGCGTGGATCCGTAAATACCATCGTAAACTGAAGATGAAATATGAGAAGAATTTTGGTCTCGTATTTGAAAACTCTCACTAAAATTATACGAAATGAACTGGCAAAAGAGAAAATCTTTATACTCTTGTCTCAGTAATTTTTTTCCTTTGACTCTGACTGTTAATCCAAGTAAAAGACTATTACGCTGTTTTATTAACATGCATGGCATTTTGCCTCCTCCTAAAGTTTCAGAATTATTAAAAATCTAAAAACTGGAAGATATTCCAGGAAAAAGTTATCTATTTCCCCCACGGAACCGCGACGAATTTGGGATCGTGCTCAAATCAGTCGGTTTGCGTGTTCACATGATTAAAATGGATAAAGATTTGATTGCATGGTTCTACATGTTTAGTATTTTGCGGGCGGTCCAAAAATGGCGATGAAATTCTAAGAAGGCCATAAGTCTATAGAATGTTGCACAAACTACCCAGCTACATACGGTACATCAACTTAGTAAAATTAATATGCAATTCAATTAACCATGCTAATTTCTACTAAAACGCCCAGTATATTAGCTACTTTCATAGCATACACAAACCTTCAGATGTTCCAGTCCTCCAGCAGGCAAAGAGAAAGAACATGCGAAAAAACCAGATCCGTTCCATCGAGATGTTTTCAACACCTTTGTCCAATATAGCAAGCTCGTGCTGCAGATAAAATGTTATGAATTTCTGCAGTTTATATGCACAAACTCTTTATCTGGTCTATCAGAACATACTGAACGTCAATATCAAAATGATATCGCAACCGGCTTTGCTTCAATTAATTGCAGGCAGGTGAATGTCCTCTCTAAAGTAAATTGCAATCCACGTGCTAGATTCTCGAAAACCTCTGGTGTATGTGCGCAATCTATGAATCTACGACTGATTAAGGCCCCGTCCACACGTATCCGGATATTTTTAAAAACGAAGGTTTTTTTATCCGTTTTGGCCTTACATCCACATGCACGCAACCGTCGTTTTCGGCAACCGAAACGGAGGTTTTCAAAAACGCTCTCCAGAGAAAAAATCCTCCGTTTTCAAAACGTTTTACGTGGGGAGAGGGTCTAAATAGGGGGTAAGAAAAATCACATTTCATTTCGTCATTTTCGAGTTTTAACATTAGCTGCGTCATTAGGCTTTCGTAGCCATGGCCAACATAAGCAACAACTTTTCGAAATTTATCTGTTATCGGCCATTAGCAACGATTATCCAGTCTTAAGTACAACTATTGTTATGCAAAATCTGCGTAACTAATGCTATAATCTGCACGGAGACGCGGGGCAACATGCAGTTGCCAAAGAATAGCTGTGCCGGAAAGGAAAATTCTCAGAACAAAAAATGCTCAGTAAAATGCGAGAGACAATGTTCTTGTCAAATGAAACCGATCAAAATCACGTCATTGCATGTCATTTTTCAATCACGTTTTTCAATCAGGCAACAAAAGTTGCATGGGTGAAAGATTCTCCAGTTTGCAAAGCAATATTTTGCTATCAATATTTCGTAGATTTTGTCACGCACTATTTTTTAGCAAGAATGCTTTACTCAAATCAAATTAAATCCATCCGGGAGTTTTAACAAGAAACAAGTAAAGAAAATATATTATTTAGGGCAACAACACACTGAAACATTATTCTAGTGAACAAACTAACAGTTTCTCCCTTTGGACCTTTCACTTATATGACCTATATCGGCTTGTTGTTTCATGTGTCGGGCGAAGCATGGCGATATAAATTGATAAGGTTCAATCGTCGGAACCTACTATGTTATGTCGGTCTATGATTACTAATCCCCTGATATAGTCACTGTTTTAACCGGGAATGCCTAATTTATACACAAATTTATCCTTTAATTGACCGACAATGCCGCCGAAATTAACAATCTCGAATTTTTATCAACTTCTACTGTTTTTACCTTCAGTCTTAATTTAATAAGAGCTATAATTACTGTACAAATTATATGACATACAGCTTTATTCACCAATTGACGTGCGATGATTGGATGCTTCTCATGCGGCAGCGTGGGCCGCGGAGCGTAGGTAGAGAAGCCCAGCTTGCGAGGTTTGGATGCTTTCCAGCACGTGATCCTTCGGCCTTAGTATTGGACATAGATATAGTATTGGACCTGCTGCCATGGTAACGGCCCAGCAGGCCAAAACGTATTCGATATATTAATGTCTATATCATTTGTATATTGTGTATGTATAGGTTTTACGATTTTGCAAAATTAATATAAGCAAAACATGCATGTGATTGGAGTCAAATCTTGTGATATCTTTCTTTTGTTTCATACATATGCATCATCACAAGTCTATGACAGACATGCAGATGTCTTCGGCCTAGATCGAAAGCGCATAGGATCGCATTTTGCAAAAATGCATGATGCACTGCATCAAATAATAAAGTTGGCGTTGTAATGTAATGATAGACCTTTCCTCTTTTAGCTTTCAAGCGCGCAATGCGTGATTGTAGTTGATTATCAAACAATGCGTGACTGTAGTTGATTATCAAACAACTTTGAGTTGCAATATCGCTCTGCTGAAGACCGTTTTCCATTTTGTTTTAAAGTCATTAGTTATGGTCGAACACTTCGGAAACAAAGAAATACGCTAAGTTACCTTACGATACGGTTGAAGTGGAAAACGGCCTTTAGAAGCGATTTTTTTTGTAAGAAGACCTTCCCGATTCTCTTGTTAAACTAAATCGCTCCTGAACATGAACTCAAATTGACCTTGATAGTCAACTACCGTCATGCATCGCGCTCTTGAAAGCTAAAAGGGAAAAGGTCCATTTCTGAATTATAGGTAGAGTTGAGAGTCAGATGCTTGAAAATTCCAAGGAATGAGCAATATTAGCAATTAGCAAGTGGCATAGTCTCTTTGTCGTTAATATTTGGCTTTTTATCGAATGAATAATATACACAAAAGTGCATGTCAATGCATCAGGATTACTTGTTTTGTAAAACGTATGTCGACTGGCATCCTATGAAGCATAAATCGGCGCGCGACGAGACGCAAAAGTTGAATGTTTCATAACCTTTTTTTACATAGCTACTGTTCGTGAGAGGAGTTGGTAGCTTTTTGGCACAATTCGATGGATCATCACTGAGTTATCATAACCTTCAACACTTTCAACTACTCCGTCAGCAAGCAATTGATCAGAGCTATCAACATTTTGATAAAATATTTTGAAAATGCGTTTACCGATTTTGAAAGTGCGTTTAGACTTCTATCGCAATATATCTGATAGTCAGAAAATGTTTATTTTCAACACGGCTAAATAAAGTAAATAATGTTTTCCCCGGCATGTTTTTCTACACCTTTAGAAAACCTTGAAATTGTCCCTTTGATTACATATATGCCTGCCAATTTGTGTCATTTTCTAACTTGGTACACTATACCCGCGTGCATTTTGATTTTTAGAGCAGCATGCATGCAGTACATACGTCATGGTTTTTTATCCGCCGTCCACATATTTATAGCTAAAACTAAATTTGGTATACTTGGAATTTCGTTCTATAGTAACCATTAGATAAATTTATTTCTTCGTTAGAGCTACGGCGGTAGTACTATCAATACATTGTTAAAATAACCTTAAATTTTGAGGCTCCGAAAAATCATGACAGCCCTTTTCCTCATTTTGCATATAACTTTATAAGACATATTTGAGTACTAAATATCTTATCGCGCATGTCGAGAAAACATCCACTATATATTTGTATAGTTAGCATATCTTTCACATTCTATAGCCTACCTTCGCACAATATATGGCTTCGTCTTTCACAGCTGTTAGTGTTTCTCTTTGTAGTTCAATTTAAACGTGCACGGGTACACAAGTGACAAGAACAATGTCCAAAACACCACAAAGCAGTTTATAGTTAAAAAACCACTTAATACCAGCAGCTGTTCATTAATTCATTATTACTCACAAACACAATTATATTGAATAAGATGCAACCTTTTCCTTAATGCTATTCCTATCAATTATTTATAACAAAAGTAAAAAAAAACAGTCAATATTTATGGCCTATAGATAATCGCTTGTAAACACGAGGAACGAGACATGCAATATTACGACATCAGTTTCACAAGCCATGCGGAAGGAAGACACTTAAACTGACTGGATAAGAAATTTATTTCTATTACTTAGTTAGAACTTTTGCTGTCCACGCAAGTTATAGCCCCATTTACATTACACTCAATTTATTGGCACGGCACGGATAAAATTGGTTCCCAAAACAAAGGCCGAGCACAGATGAAATGGGCGAGGGTACCGATTTTAGCCGTGCCGTGCCAATAAATCGAGTGTAGTGTCAACGGGGCTCAAAAAAATGTATTTATTGGCACGGAACGGATAAAATGGGTACCCGTGCCCATTTCATCTGTGCTCGGCCTTTGTTTTTGTATCCTGAACACTAACAAATTGGGCACGGGTACTAATTTTACCGATTGCAGTGCCGATAAATTGAGTGCAGTGTAAACGGGGCTTATAGAGGCTCATATTATCATGCATTCCTCTTCAGCAGCTTGGATTGTCTTTCGTTAATATTAATCACATTTTTAACAGAAGATGCGGTGAAAAGAATTATCGAATCTATTCACATCGGAAAACATGTAAGAATGGAGATGTTCATCACTTCAAGTGAAATTTGAAAACTCGTGGTTTTGAATACAAATATTGTACCATGTATAGTTTACCGGTAGTTCTCCAAGAGAAAACTGACGAGGGCAGACTTTCATTTCATCAGTGAATTGATTGTCCACTTTCTCTACTGGCACAAAATATCTTTCAAGAGGTTGCGGCGGTGGCTTTATTCGGAAGAGAGTCGACTAAGCAATGACTATGGGGCTGATTACAAATGATCTCTATCGTTATCTTATGACAAAATTATATCAGCATCTAACTGATCTAAGTAAAAAACTCCATTAAAAAAATAAACGGCAATCAGATTATAAAATTACTTTTACATCCCATGCAGCACTGTAGAGGGAGTTTTTAACTATTTAGGCATACTCAGATACTCCCCAACAAAAGCTTGAAGATCTTACTTCTCAGTTCCGCAAATAAGTTTTCTTGCGTTTTGTGGGAGATATTAAGCAATACAAAGGCTGTGCTAAAAAAATGTTTCCTGCCAGACTATACCTTTGAATTGTGCGATTTTTACAGACAATCCAACGTCCGATGAAGAAGACCACTGAAATTTGCACTTGTGCAAGTTTTGCAACTAAACTTATATTAACAAATATAAGTAAGCTGGCAGCATCTTTTTACCCCCTCACGAGCTTTGAGATTGAGGGAATCAATCACTCATCATGCATGCAGCCTTTGCGAGTCATTGCGACAAAAAAGAACCACCTAATGTCCATCTCAACCTATTAAGCCCGGGGAAAATTGAAAACTGTAAAAAAATAAGAAGTTAAACTAAAGAAATGGCAATCGTTTTGTTAGTATAATCATGTCAACCGCCAGAATGCGTTTCAAGGAATATATCAGTGATATCAGTGCAGCATACCTGTAAACACTTAGCAGTTACGAGAAACCCACAAAACCCTCTTATATCCTGTTAATTCGTTGATATCAATCTACGTACATGTATGTCCATCAGGTTCCTAAGCAACATGGCAACATAATATTTGAGGCAAGTTTGAAAATAATTTGGTTTTTTAAGGACAAAACATCGAAATCCTGGCTATTTATGATGATTTTTAAATCCTCTCACCTCACGAAACAGCAGTATTTTGATAGTTCGTGAGTAAGGGAAAAATTATACGGCAAATATGCCTTCAAGTTCGTCACTTAGTGATACAAGAAAGACCTTCGTTTTAACAACAACAGCAAACCATTATGGCTTGCCGTCTTCTGACGAGGCTTTTAAAGACCTACATGACCGAAAGGAGCTAAACACTTTCCTTGATGATGGAAACTGCCCAATCTTAGTTGCTAGATGTGATGCCAAGCAGAAGAAAATTAACCTAAGTAATAATATCGATTCAACTACAACTACCGACAAACTATTGTTATTTTTCAAACTTCAACCTGCTGTTGTTACGCCGGAAAACTTGCATGAGAATGTGTTCGTATCATCCATGCTAGATTCTCCAATCGATACATTTTATCATTCTGTGCAAAAAGTATATGCCCCTCTATTGTTGAAAGATGACAATTGGAGTCAAAAATTCGATCCAAAGTTACAGACCTTACTAAGTGAACTTGAAACAGGTCTTGCTGCAGTTGTTCGCAAGCAGCAATACTCTCAGACTGAGAAGAAATCATTGGAAAGTGAAGAAAATGTTGGGGGGATCTTGACACCTGAAGATGAGTTTCAATATTGGTCAGATGCAGCTGTGTCTGGTTACGATTTGAGCGAGAGAGAAAGAGCTACATACTTCCAAGAAATATTCCAAAAAGGCAAGTGTCTATTTTAAATTCTGTTAAGCATAGGTGCTTAACACATTCAATCCTGTATGCACATATTTACACATAACTTCAAATCAATTTTTTAAATCACTACGTATATTTTTATTAGTTAGAGATGCATTCCAGGACATAAAATTATACCTTTTTCAATTATCATACCAAAATTCATTAGTGAGAAAAGTGGTTTCTCTTGGTCTGCTTTGCCTTAAGAATTACTTTGCCAAAGGATTTGAAACACATTTTGTGCATAGGAGGTATTGTTTATTGTGCAGAGGAAATTTATATTCATTATTTCTCTTTTAATTACTATTAGGTAATGTCAGTCGTTCATTCAGTAACTTGGATAGCTTAGAACTTGATGATGTTTTGGAGTTGCTTGAAACAACTCAAGATATTTTGGATGAACTATGGAAACAGGATGAACATAAGCCATATTTGGAAGTCAGAATGAGACATATTCTTGAGGTTATGGCTGGTTAGTGCAATTATCTATTTGATATCCTCCTTAAAGCTAGATGTTTATGTAGAGGATGGCAGACAAACGTCACCTGACAAGCTAAGAAATTTAGACTCGGAAACGCGATTTTCTGCTTTTTTGGTATAAATTGTAAGACTTACTAACTCTGTCCTATCTGGGGGAGAGGGGGGGAAAGCGCTTTCTCTTTCAGGCGGTACATGTTTGTTGATGTAATCACACTTTTGTCAGTGGTCTAAACTTAAGGAAACCTATAGGTTCATATGTCAATTGTTTCAATGTATAATGTATTACCCGTACAATTGCATCACAAGACTCAAGGCCCCGTTTCTACCATGGCTGGATAATTTTTTAGTTGTTTCCACTATTTGAATTCACACATGTAGGTAGTTTTTTCCGAGTAGGATACCTGCATGGGAAAGTTAATGCGCTTTTATATAGCTACAGTATGTAAATATACCGTACCTGGATTACTATAAGTCTAAATTTCGTTCAATAAGTCTTATAAGAATCAAAGAACGTCTAAACCAGCCACACACACAGAGTTTTCTTTTTGTACTCTACAGTATCTATTATTTCCAATTAAATTCTCACGAAAATTTTTGACTCGCTTTTACATTATTTATCACATCACAAATCCCTTTAATTCATATATTCTGCAGGATCGTTAGCACGCTATGTGCAAAGAAAACTGAGTTTGCTTGACATTTGGTCTGGTTCATTTGTCACGACTCGCGATGAACTCCGCAAAGGAATATCTGTATGTGAGCATTGGGCGACTGTGTGTGATACTTTAACATCTCATTTCTGGAAACGATTTCCATTGCATCCTTGGGAAGGTGACAAGTTTACTCCGACTATTGTTGTTCAGTTGACTGCAAGGCTCGAGGAGGTACTTTTAGCATTCATACTGTATGTCGTTTCTTAATTTTGATTTTTGAACTTTTTGAAATTTCCCATTCAAAGGAGCAGCGTGGCAGTGTCTTCTAATATAGACCAAAACTCTCAACGCCCTTCAGCAAGAGCATTAGTGCGACTAGTTAAATGTCGAGAAATGTTATGTTTTCTCCATTCACAATAAAATAAAGCCCCATTTACACTACGCCCAATTTGAAGTTTGGTACGGATGAAATTTTGACCATCTATTTCGGTAGTCCAAATTTCATCATTCAGTTTCAAATTTTATCCGCACTTCGCGTGTGTAGTACGTGTAAATGGGGCCTAATTGGAAGTTATATCAAATTATGACAGTGACGACAAAGTCTCTCATGGCTATGCCGCTCACCATTAAGATTAGGTCAAATTTATGGCTTTCTTTCGTGTGGGCGAGAAACTCGTAGGGTCCCAAAATAATGTCGAGTTTTCGAGGTGGATTTCTCTACGTCTGTAAACATCGTAGTATATTTTAATAGTCACTAACAAACATCATGGTCAAAATGTTTAATTAAGGTGGTGACATTGCGAACTGTTCACGAACAACTTACACATTTACTAAGTGTAGCCGAGTGTCAACAACTGAAAACATCAGAGGCATTTCTTCCATTCTCTGGTCTTAATCCACTCCATCATAACCCATATACAGAACCTTTATGGCGAGCCGCAGTCGCACAGTATGAGAAGGCTATGATGCCTGCCGAACAAAAGATTGCTGGCAAATTGAGAGATCAGTTTCGCCAACTTTCCGGTCACTCCCACCAGGTGCGTTAAAGTCATATTTACATCCAGTTATGTCTATTATTTACCTCCAGTTATGTCTATGTGTAATACGTTCGTAGCGCGTAATGATTTTTAGATAATTTTTTTGCAATTTTTTAGACTCTTTCCCTACTTAGGCCATATAGCATAGACAATCCATAAGACAGTTAGAAAAGCCATTTGGAATTCCTAGGGAAAATAAATTCTTGTGCTTTGAGAACAAAGTTGCTTTAAACCTGCCTGTTTGAGATGATTTTATTATTTATTGCAGGGAGTAAAATGGTGTTAGAATTCCACTTTTGTGAAAAGAATTCAACTTTGACATTAAAATAACCAACTTTCTTGTAGGATGTACTTGCTTTAATGTGTGCGCAGTGAGAGGCATTTTCTCCTCCAAGCTTATTAAATTATTTCTTTCTTATGAGCCCAAAATGTACAACTTATTTATATCTCTTTAGGTGGCTTAGTTAGTAATGCATGTATACTGCCATTAATTTACCGGTTTTGTGTTCCCATCGCGTGGCCAGTGGCTGTATATAAAAAACCTTTAAACTATTGGATTCTTACTCTTCCTATAATTATAGCTGTTGCGAGAATTTCTACGTTACAAAGAACTGGTGAAAAGATCAAGTATTAAAAAGGAACTTGCACCGGAAAGGTACATATGTTGTTTAAAACGCCGTTCTTCCAAAATTGTCGTAATGAATGCCTTCCCATAGATATTATTACTTATTATTACTTATGATTATTATTATATGGCTTTTCAAAATCCTCTATTCTGATTGGTTGACGACCGATCCGTAAAAAGCCTCGGTCTGATATTTCACAGTACAGACCTCACGCTCGGTCAACAATCAGTTATTATTATTGCACTTTGTTACTATTTGGCAGTGACAAATCGAAAAAGAAACAAAGTAACTTCATGACAAACCCTGATCGTTAATATTAGGATTTCTGGCCGAGTATTGATATTCAACACCTTGAATTACCTTCCAATTCTGTTTTAGGGAAACACTTCTTGGTCAATTAACAGTGCACATAAAGAGTATCCAGGAAGACTTTTCATCAAAAAGTGGAGGGTATTCTGGAGGAAGTTCTGAGGTACCCAAGGGGAAGAATCTACCAGATGTTGTTAATAGTATTGTTTGGGTCAACCAGCTCCAATCTAAGGTGTGTGTGTGTGTGTGTGTGTGTGTGTGTGTGTTAAACATTTAGTGTTCAGACGGAAAAATAAACCACATGCATGCAGGCGTGAATGTCTAAAAGATAAGTTAAGTTTTACTATTTTACTGTTGCTAGGTAACTGAAACGCTGAAGACGGCAGAGCAGCTTTTAGGTGATTTATCTGGTTTCCAGGCTTTTACGAAACAAGCCTCTGACCTACATGACGAATTAAAGTTATATCAAAGAGAACAGTTTGAGTCGTGGTCCCACGATATACAAACTTCAATTGCGAACCCTAACAATTCTTTGAGGTAAAATTGTTAAAATATCCAGCTGTTAATATGATTTTTATTCTTTAATATGTAGAGCATGGGTATAAATACAGTTGTAGTGCTATGATTTGCACGTGTTGAAACAAAGGTGTACAGTACTGCCAAGAAATAACTTAACCCCGCGGCTACCCGCGTCTTACGTCCACTCTGCCCGCGTCATGCGTCCACTCTGCCCGCGTCCTGCGTCCACTCTTTCCGCGTCTTGCGTCCACTCTGCCCGCGTCCTGCGTCCACTCTGCCCGCGTCCTGCGTCCACTCTGCCCGCGTCATGCGTCCACTCTGCCCGCGTCCTGCGTCCACTCTGTCTGCGTCTTGCGTCCACTCTGCCCGCGTCCTGCGTCCACTCTGCCCGCGTCCTGCATCCACTCTGTCCGCGTCTTGCGTCCACTCTGCCCGCGTTCTGCGTCCACTCTGCCCGCATCTTGCGTCCACTCTGCCCGCGTCTTGCGTCCACTCTGCCCGCGTCCTGCGTCCACTCTGTCCGCATTTTGCGTCCACTCTGTCCGCGTCTTCCGTCCACTCAGCCCGCATCCTTCGTCCACTCTGCCCGCGTCTTGTTTTCACTCGTCCCATATGCACGTAGCTAAATTCATACTTTGTATTTGTATTTGTATTTGTATTTGTAATAATTTGTAACTTCGCAATCTTTCCCGAGTTGTTTGTGTTTATAATTCTGAAACCACAAAATCGATGTATTTTTACCAATAGTTTACAAACAAATGGTCGACTGATGGAGTTAAGTCATGCCGATGGCAAGCTAAAAGTTCATTACAGCGAACGTCTGGTGACATTAATACGTGAGGTTCGCCAGCTTGCTGCACTTGGTTTTAACATACCTGGCAAAATACAGTCGACTGCGGACGTGGCAAACAAGTTTTATAGACATGGTGTCATTTTGAAACAGGTATACCGTCTTTGGTATTTTAGGTCGTTACAGGAGAGTGTTTCAAAGTCGTCACAAGAGAAATCGGGTGCAATTATTTCATGCGTTGTTCTTTTTGCTATTAACGTGTCTTTCCCGCGCACGAAGAAGCAATTTATTGTTCAAACAGCTCATTTTTTGTTAGCGCTGGCCCTGTACATATAGTTACTTCTTCATAATTGTTCCCAGGTGGCTCATTTTTATAACACCATCGATCAACAAATGATCCCCAGTCAACAAGCCATGATGTTGGATTCTGCTCTTGCGTTTGAGAAGCTTGTGAAAAATCCCAAGTCAAATTCCCGCAGCAGTGACAAAAAGACACAAGTCACGTGGGACAATCCGACCGAACTAGAAAACTATATCAACAAGTTGCAGAAGGCCGCTGATCGTTTAACAACTGAGAATAGAAGGCTGAGAAAATGTCATCAAGTTATTGGGGAAAAGGTACCAAGAATGGGTTAGGTTGGGTTCGGGTTAGGCTTAGGGTTAGGCTTAGGGTTAGGCTTAGGGTTAGGCTTAGGGTTAGGTTAGGATTAGTGTTGTTAAGACAGGAGAGATCTAGAGCTATTGCATTATACTATATTATATATATGTCCCACCTTGGAGGGTAATTAAACTAATTGTAGAAAATTAAAAATTTTATTCATTTCTATATAATGCTGTATGTTGATATTTTTATATCCAGGTTATCCACTTGATGAGCGTGGACTTGTTGAGACAACAATCACGATGGAAGGAAGGTTTACTGGAAATCAGGCAGATTATTGCAAATCTTGTGCAACAGGTAAAATACTGTCGAGAATTGTTTTATAGTAACCTATGTTTTTCAAACCAAAAATATTGTTGGGAGATTGGTGTGATTAGGTTGCATGCCATATTAGGGAGATGATTTCTTTATTCTGTAGATTTGGAGGTCTTTAAATTGATACGAATAGAAGGTAAACAAGTCTTTGGTTCTGATCTTTCATCTTATTTTATATTATATTCAGGGTTTTAAAGCTGAGAACATGAAGCCGTGGAAGATGCATTGGGATCGTCAGTTGTATAAAGCATTGGAACATCAATATCAGTTGGGATTGGTAGCTCTTAACCAAAATCTACCAGAAATTAAAATCGAGCTGATATTCAAGTAAGATCAGCTAAGCTACAGTACTGTACATATATTCCCAGAAAACGCAAGAGATTTGATATCTCTGTAGTTCTTTCAATATCGGTGGAAATCAGAATAACGTGTTGAATATACGAGTTTACCAAACTAGTTCATGAAAGCACATTTACATTGTATAGCTATTTTACCAGATATGATATAGCGTATATAGCAAGCTATACGAATGCCTATTTCATATGGGATGACAAAATCACCCTAAGTGACCTTCATCTTTTGAGTCATCGTTGCGTTGTCTAATTCATGTTTACGATGTTCTTCACATCTAGGCAACAGAGATTGCAATTTCGTCCACCGTTTGAAGAAGTACGAGCTAAATATTACAGAGAAATGAAAAAGTTCATATCAATCCCTCTTCATTTCCGTGGAGTGAGCGATGACACGAGTATATATCCTCCACTTATTGAACACCATGCTTCAGCATTCTCGGTAGTTTACGCAAAAGCTGAAAAATTATTTACTCGATTATCAAAGATATTGGATGACTTTAAGGACTGGGTTACGCTTGGCATGGTCGACATTGATGCAATGGTCGATGAGCATCTTCAGTCCACTAGCGACTGGGAGAAAAATTTTAAGGCGATCAAAGCCAAAGGAAGAGAGGCAGAGAAATTACCCGGGTGGGTATGATGTATGTTCGTCAAGACGTCAAGAACACAATCCCATTCAGCTTAGGAAGAATTTTGTTGAATCTCTTGCAACAAAAAGACATGGGAAATCGATTATGGAGGACAGAGGAAATTTAATAGATGTTTTGCGAATAAAAAAGAAACATATTTTTCAAACATATGACCTAATTTTACTGTTTCTCATAACTACACACAGGACGTGGCAAAAATATGATCCACATTATGGTCCACAAGATATGATCCACGTTTCTATCCATTTTTCATTTCTACATTCACGGCTAGAATGCTGAATTAGTACCCAGACATTATATCGTAAAACATAAAACATAACATATAAAAAGCCATTGTGACTACTATTCACTTTCTACTTTATGTGCTTTTAGATCTATAAAAGTGGACTGCATCACCGTTTCAACATCGCCGGTGAAGACAACTATTGACGATCTCATACAGCAGTTATTTGATGCATTGCTCAACTCGCTAAGACGAAATATCATTAATCATAAACAGACCATTGAGAATTTCGTCACCGAAGGAATGGAAGCTCTATCGACGAGACCACAAACTGTAGAAGAGATTGGCTTAGCAAATGCAAAACACGAGGAGTTGAGCAAACGAATTCCTGAAGTAAGTTTGTCTCTTGCATCCAATGTGGCTAAAATTATTCACAGTCCAGTTCAGCATTGATCCTTCCTAAATCAATAGTAAGATTTAATAGGAAGATCACATTCAGGCCGATATTAGACCTGATAAAAAATAGGCAGCAATCCTACTTTTTCACAGCAAATTTTTTCGCTGACCAATCTTCAGATGGATCCACATCTTAATGAAATTATGCATACACGATAAAACAAGTGCAGTAATTGGCTAAAACAAGTGTAGTAATTTATTTATATACGTGTACTTGAACAAACTAGATCCACCCACTGTTTGAGAAAGCTGAATCCCAAAACAAATTACTGCGGTCAACGGCTGGTGAAGGAATTGAGCAGATTGGTCAGTTGAAAGGAAGATGGGATAAATTCGAACTGATGATGGAAAGTCATGAATTGATGATCAAAGAACAGGTATGTTACCAGAAATATCAAATATGTTGTTACGTACGTATATATATGTGGTAAATTAAATTGCTTTCAATCTATTGTCATTTGTTCTGTAAACTGAACCGAATCCTTATGGTAAAAAAAATTCTCTACAATTTTTCGTACCTTGAGTTGATCAGCGATCGATTCTTCGACTGAGGTGATTTGTGCTGCATAATGGCAACAAATTGCGCAAACATTTTATAACCAAGATATTCTCTTTATGGATGATGTTTTGATTATTTTATTAGGTTGAAGTAATGAAAAGCAACGTTGAATCAAGAGTAAATGCATTCCAGCAAAATCTGGAGAAGTTTGCTGCTCGATGGCATCAGTTGAAACCGAAAGATATTGATATGGAGGGAGACAACGAAGCATGTATCAACGCTGTGAAGTCTATCAAGGAACGGAGAGCTGAGTTTAATGAATTAGAAGAAAGCAAAGAAAAATTGATGTGCGTAAAACATTATTTGGATCAATTCGCATTTTCTTGTACTGTACACCTTCATTTTTGTTTTGTGGTAGATAAGCTGGACTTTGCGCAAGTTCTTCGTACTTATTTTTTCTTTTTCATGTTGCTATATAAATTTTGTTATCGGATTCCCCACTTGTTCTCAATAGCATTTCGAATTTTGTCTATTACAGTTTTGAATGCAAACACTTCGGTGTTCCAGAACCAGAATTCCCTTTGGCTAATGAACTAAAGACAGATATCGAAGAATACGAGTCGAATTGGATTCTGTTTGAACAGTTCAATAATGGTTTGGGCGAATTAACCAAAGAAGACTGGATTTCATTCAGGTTGGTTTTATTTTGTATTTTACGGTAGTACATACATATGCATGTGCCCGAACGACATATTTCGGATAAATTTAGCAATTGTAGCAATATTGCATGAAAAACAGTGGTAACATAATATGCTTGAATCACAATATTTAACTTCTCTACCAATGTTCGTCTTCCTTGTCTGGTAATTTTCCTCGCAATTTTAAATTACTGTAGGTATTCGTTCGTTTGCCATCCTGGCGAAAATTTGACGTTATTTCTTTTTGAGCCAAGAAAAAGTTTTGTTGTCGTTGTTGTTGATATATAACTCCTCTCTTGATATATAACCGTTGTTGTTTTGTTTTACAGAGGACATACATATAAATTTGAAGAATTTCTCATGATCTGGACAGACGAACTAAAGAATCGTGAACCAACGACCATGACAGTACGGTTGCAGAAAGAAGTGGACAAATACAAGGTATACATAGCTACATCGCGTATCTTACTCCGATGCGCAACGGTGTAGAACAATTTTTATATTTATATTTTCTGTGTGAGATTACAGCTACGTCTTTTTTAACTTCATCTTAGATCATCCATCCTTTGCTGAAATTCGTGAGAGGTGAACAGTTATCCCCGGATCACTGGCTCGACATGTTTAGGTTTTTAAAATTACCGAGAGGAACGACACTAGAGAAACTGACGTTTGGAGATATCATCAAAGTTGCGGATGAAATCATCGCGAATGCCGACGCTATCAAGGTAACAAACATATCTGTATAATCATCTGTCCTGATGTCAAATGAAAGCAAAACATCGTAGCAAAGTGTAAACGGTCCTTCATATATAATTGATATGTAAGTACTGTATGCCGTACTTTTTGTATAGGAATTAAATAGTCGCGCTCAAGGTGAAGTTTCTATTCGTGAAGCTCTACGTGAGTTGGAGTTGTGGGGCGCTGGTGCTGTATTTTCATTGACTGCTTACATGGATTCTTCAGACAAGGAAATTTCGATTATTAAAGATTGGAAAGATCTTGTTAATCAGGTAAGCGCGTACTGTTCTCATTATTGCCATAAAGTACATACACTGATCATCATCGTCTTCCAATAAATATATCACAATCATTACGTTTTAAAAAAGCTATTGCAACTAGCCATTCATCCCAGGTGATCTCGCACTCATAGGGAAATTATGTAGCAGGATTACTCACATAAACTGCAAGCAGTGATATGCATGTGCTCGTATTTCAGGTCGGCGATAATCAGTGTCTACTCCAGTCTCTAAAAGATTCCCCATATTACAAAGGATTCGCTGATAAAGCTTCGTTATGGGAGACACGTTTGGCTGATCTTGATGAATATCTTCATAATCTCAACCAAATTCAAAGAAAATGGGTTTACTTGGAACCAATTTTTGGCCGTGGTGCCCTGCCTAAAGAACAGGGAAGATTTAGAAGTGTCGATAATGATTTCAGGTAATCGAATACCTAATTACCTGTAGTCATTCATTTTAAAAAACGAAGTGTCGAAAATGCCAAATCTCGCAGTTGCTAGCGCGTTTCCTATTTAATTTTTTTGTTAGTTTAGTAGACTCAATATTTTTATGAATTCCGAAGGCTACAATCTAGTTTCTACATCACTAGCTTCGTATGTCATTATTGGCCGTCGAAGTGCATAAATATATGAGTATATTATATTTTATATCTTAATCCTGAAGTTATATCTTGCTTATTTCCATTTCAAGGTCAATCATGGCGGACGTTAAGGGAGACAATCGTGTTCTGTCTCTTGTTGCAAGATCTGGTATCCGGAATATGCTGGTAAATTTGTTGGATCAACTTCAGCGATGTCAGAAATCACTAAATGAATTTCTGGAGGTAAATCATGCAGTAGAGCATGCGACTTGCCTTTTTCACGTTTCTATTTGAGGTTTTTGCATCTTTCTAATCGATGAATACAAGCATTGAAAATGAAATTTTTTTAACTGCATGTAATAATTGATGCAATCATACATAATGTCATTTTTCAAAATTTTCCATAAAAAAGTTACACGTTGTTTACTAATTCTCTCATTTATGTACCAAACTGTTTTAATCTTTGTATATCACAGGAAAAGCGATCTCTCTTTCCAAGATTTTATTTCATTGGCGATGATGACTTACTTGAAATTCTTGGTCAATCTACAAATCCAGTAGTCATTCAATCTCATCTCAAGAAGTTGTTTGCGGGTATACACAACGTTGAGTTTGACGACGGATGCAAGAATATCATTGCAATGAAGTCTTTGAAAGGAGAAGTTGTGGCACTTAAACGGCCAGTTGCGGTCACCACTGAGGTTGAGGTAAGTACTGACTATGTTGGCTTTGTTGCGTGTATGGTATACAGAACACTGATTTCCCCACAATTTTTTGCCAGAATAGGCATGGAGTATGTAAAGATGACCAAAACCCCATTTAATACTCGACGTCGCTCAGGGAGGCCGGGGGGGAGTGGGCTTGGTTCCGAACGTTACAGTATTTAATCCGCAAAATTTTCCATTAACATATTCCAGTTTTTGTTCCTAAATATTACAATATCCTTGTCAGCTTAGATATAGCACCTGTATTAACATCAAATATGCATTTTTATATAAATTGTAATTCTAGGTTTGGCTAGGTAACCTCGCGAACGAGATGAAGGATACTTTGAAAGAGTTATTAGTGGAGTGTTTAAACGCTGGTAAAAAGGGTTCAAAAACTGGCGTTGATCCTTCCATGTATCCATCACAGGTCAACATTTACATTATTACTTCAAGTTAAATGGTTCCTTAAGGCCGTTTTCCACTCTTCGCAAAAACCTACTCGCAAGCTCGCCGCCGTCGAGTGCATGGTTGCATGTAGTTGAAATCAACTTAAAAACATGAAAACCCTCGCAGCCAACTTGCGAGTTCGCCATTGCGATGCGTGGAGAAGAGCCTTTAATCATATCCTACTGTATGCAGTTGTATTTTTTGACTTTTTTTCTTGATTATTTTTTTCTATACAGATAGTATGCTTGCACTGTATCGAACTATATGTTTTGTTAGCGAATGAATTTTAGTTATTGTATAATATCTCTTTCAGATTTTATGCCTTGCGGAACAAATTCAATTCACCGAAAGATGCGAAGCGGCAATTCGCAGTAAAAGTTTGCAAGAATTCTCAATCGAGATGGAATCTCAGTTAGATTCGTACGCCAATACAGATATTTCAAATGGCGCTGGAGATGCCGCCAGCGCTGTGTTGGAACTCAAATGTAAAGCATTGATTTTGGACACAATTCATGCAATTGATGTGGTTCAAAGTCTAATCCAAAATAACGTTAAGTCCTCTGAAGAATGGTTGTGGCAAAAACAACTTCGGTTCTACATTGAAAAAGGTACGCACGCGCATTAGGAATCAAGTTATTTTTTCGTATCATCTCTAATGCAACATGTCACATGCACGTACAATACAATAGAAGTTTGTGGTTGTATTTTTTTAATTCGTAATGTTGTTGTATATATGTTAATATGTTAAAAACACATGTTATAAAAACATACATGTGGAGTACATATGTGTGGTATGTACAAAGTGTATTGAATCTTTCGCAATGTAATATCACATTTTAAAGTAGTTTTAGCAACGCTTCATCTCTTGAAGGTCAGTGCAAGATCCGCATGGTGGACGCAGAATTTGACTACACTTACGAATACCAAGGCAATGCTGCCAAGTTAGTACACACTCCTTTGACAGACAAGTGTTACCTAACATTGACTCAAGGTATGCATATGGGACTGGGTGGAAATCCATACGGACCTGCTGGTACTGGTAAAACTGAGTCAGTGAAAGCCCTTGGTGGATTGTTTGGAAGACAAGTGCTGGTATTTAACTGTGACGAGGCAAGTGTTTATTGTTTGTTTAGAACAACTCTTCTACCCGTTTATTTCTTCTACCCCCGCGGATAATATCATCTCCGAGAGACTCTAGACCCAAGTTTCGCTTCCGACATATCCAGCCTAAAATTAGGAAAATTATAGTCATGCTGGACTCAAGCCAGTCAAAGTCATGTATTATTGCTGGACTCACATCATGTTTGTGTATGAATTGCAAAGTATTCGTCAAAGTTGACTCTAATTAATATTATATACACAGGGAATCGATGTGAAATCAATGGGTCGTATATTTATTGGCTTGGTAAAATGTGGAGCTTGGGGTTGTTTTGACGAGTTTAATCGTCTTGAAGAAGCAGTTTTATCTGCGGTCTCAATGCAAATCCAGACAATCCAGGCTGCTGTCAAAAGACGAGAATCTCACACAGAGTTATTGGGAAGACAGGTTGGTCTAATTTTTGTCAGATTATATATTTATTATATATACACACATATATAACATATTGTGGATTTTATCTGGATCTAGGTTGATCTTGATCCAAACTCTGGGATATTCATCACACTAAATCCAGCGGGAAAAGGTTATGGTGGTCGTCAGAAATTGCCAGATAATCTGAAACAACTCTTCCGCCCTGTGGCTATGACAAAACCTGATATTGATCTCATCGCCGAAGTTATCATGTTTTCCGAAGGCTTTAAGGAAGCCAAGAGTCTTGGCAGGAAACTTGTGTCAGTTTTCAACTTGTCTCGGTAGGTTATGTACATTGGTTTCCTTGTTTTTATCGCAGTACATGCATGCATCGTGTATGAAAGCTGTTCATCTTCTTCTTTCCGGTCAAAATAGAAAATCGTTTAACAGTTTCCTCCGTCGTTTAGGGAACTTTTATCATCGCAACAGCACTATGACTGGGGTTTAAGAGCCATGAAAGCTGTCCTGCCATGCTGTGGAAGTCTTTTACAGGCTTTGAAGCAGTCCGGAAGCCAAGGTATTAAGATATCTTACGTGAAAAGGCTACATCCATAAAACAAAATATTTGTTTAAATTGTCAGAGGATCATTGACCACTTTACGCGTGAATACAGTTTAGAAGTTTCTGTATTTGTGAATTTGTAGCAGGACTCGTAATCTTCATGTGGGTGAAGGCTAGTTAGGAGTGTCAAAGCACTCACTGAACGCCGCCGAAATTTTTACGATTCAATCTATTCGTTGTTTTGATTATAGTGGATACCAAAGTGGAAGCAAAAGTTGTTGTGCAAGCGTTGCGACTTAATACTTTATCAAAGTTGACGTTTGCTGATTTGAAAAGATTTGATGGTCTTGTGCGAGATACTTTTCCCAATGTCGAGTTTCAAGATGTGGATTATGAGAAGTTGGCTGATGCTGTCAGAGAGTCTGCTCAGGAACTTAATCTTGTTGTCATGCCAACACAGGTTAGCTTAATGAAAAGCTAATATTTGTGGTTTTGATGCTTGCTTGAAAACTTTGCTTCATGAAAACGCTATTTCAAGAACTTATATGTTATAATACAACCATGCAATGATGCAAACTGCAGCACAAATGCCTGTGAAAGCTCTGGATAGATCCGTAAATCGCTACAGCTTGGTTCAAATTTCGCGGAATTGCTGTAGTCGGAAAAACCATTCAGACCAACCTTTTCGGTTTACGCTATGTCATTAACCTAAATATTTATATGTACAGTTCGAGGAATGATGGTGTTTCTGTTGATGTCAGTTATTTACTATTTCGTGATGTTTTAGATCAAGAAGACACTCGAGCTTTACGAGCAACTTCGTCAGCGCATGGGCGTGGTCGTTGTCGGACCGTCAGGTTCTGGAAAGACAATACTGTGGAAACTTCTCCGTACCGCACTTGGTAAACTCGATCAAGTTGTTAAACAATATACTATGAATCCGAAAGCAATGCCTAGAACCCAGGTACTGTAATATATTTCATTTATTCACTTATACACTGTAATCTGTTTACACTAAATTTGCCTGCGATTTATAGCGCTAATGTCTTCTTTTGGTACGTAGATCCAAACAAGCGAATAGTTATGAATGCTACAAGTACTTGCATGTACCTAGAATCGATAATGATCTTTCCGTTCGCATCTATTAGAAAAAATTGCATCAGCATCGCAGTCAAAATTGCGAGAATAAACGCGCGTTTGATCGTCGGCAGACTGTCGTTATCTAGTTCAGGTGGAAGGAAACAGTTTTAATTGTTTTCGTATGGCTCCCCTGAATTTCCTATATTCTATAATGAATCGAAGTATTTTGAGCAACTGCTGTCCATCAATCCTAGTGGTCGTCAAATTAAACTCATGGTTTATTTCTTTAGTTGCTTGGTCAAATCGATATGGACACACGCGAGTGGACGGATGGAGTACTAACTTATGCTGCTCGTCAAGTCGTGAAAGAACCTAAAGAAATTCATTCGTGGATCATCTGTGATGGTGACATTGACCCGGAGTGGATTGAGTCTCTTAATTCTGTCCTTGATGATAACCGTTTACTAACCATGCCATCTGGAGAGCGTATTCAATTTGGTCCTAATGTTAATTTCTTATTTGAATCCCACGATCTGAGCTGTGCTTCTCCTGCTACCATTACAAGGATGGGAATGATATTCTTAAGGTGCTTGTATTGATGATTATTATATTCAGTTTTTCACATTTTTTGTACACTCATTATTAAGGCATTTTGTATCTAGTTTTTTCTCCAAAATCTAGCGTTTTTTTTTCGTTTCGAGCGATTGTATTTATGTATGCATTGTATTTTTTTGTCAGAGAATTGCCAGCCTTATGACGTAACCGCATTGACCGGACTGCGTATGGTTAGGCTCCCTCACTAGTTGCCATTGCTTTTCGCTCTTGTCCACACTCCCTCTTTCAATCATCCCCCCCTCCTGCTTTCGTTGGTTTTCGCTGCTTCCTGTTTTTTCATCTGATTAGTGCGTCAATTGTTCAGGTTCATCGATCTGCGCTGGGCTGATATTTTTGCACTCTTGCTGGTCTGCATGGGAATAAATAATACTAGATTAAACGTATTGATTTTTACACTGTATGATCGTCCTATTTCCAGTGACGAAGATATCGATGTGAAAGCGTTGGTAAAATCATGGTTACACGATCAGTCTGAGGAGCAACGTCATATTGAAGGATGGATTGAAGACTATTTCTACAAAGCTTTGGATTGGGTTCTGAAGCGTAACGATTTTGTAGTTGAAACGACTCTTGTAGGAGTTGTTATGAACGGCTTATCACATATGAAAAACATTAAAACGAAACTGGAGTTTGTCTGTGCCTTGCTGAGAGGCTTGGGCTCGAACCTGAATTCGGCGGCAAAAAATGACTTGGCTAAAGAGGTAAAGATTTAGTAATTATGATTATAATACTGTTGTGAACTTCAGTTCATTTAAAAATAAAAAAACCCAGGACAAGCTAGAGCCTTAGCACAAAAGTGAATTTTTGCCTACTCCTCCAAACGACATTATCCGCGGTAGTTGGTGAAAACACTGGTCTGGGATTTCTGAAACATTAGGTTTGATTCATGCTGGTGTGGTCGTAACTCAACCGTTGAACATCCCCTTGCTCGATTGGCCGAAGCCAATCGTTCTTTACTAAGCGTTTGACTTGAATGAAGTACAAGTATATGATGTTTGTAATTTATCTTCTCTTTCAGATTTTCCATTGGTCTCATGAAATACCCCCAGATCAAAAACGGCCACTGGATTCGTATTACGACAGCAAAATTGATCGGCTTTGCTCGTACCAGTTAGAAGTAAGTATCCACACACCCGAGATAATGCAAGCTTGAGATAACACTTGTTCCTGAGCTTTGCATTAGAAGCTAAACTGTGAAATAGTGAAAACCAATATTTAAACAAGGTGTAGTGTCTCGTTTATTTTTCGAAGATAAGATTGTATCTGCTTCCTATCATCGTGTACTTCTTCCTTTAAAGGTTCCCGATTCCCTCACTGCAGAGGATCTTGTTAATACCTCGGGCTACCTACCTGTTATCAAGACAGGTGACATCAAGCGGCAATTAGATTTCTTTAATCCTTGGTTACAGCCCAACAATAGACAACCGTTCATTCTTGTTGGACCGGAAGGGTGTGGCAAAGAGTAAGATGGATATGTTACGTGTATCTAAATTCTACTTCCCATTCAACTTCACGAATTCAACTGAGATAGGGGCTGTATATTAGGCTCATCGGGGAGTGTCGGTTTATATATCAGGGACGGGTTGTACGCTGGTCGGATAGCGCTATCCACCGGGTAATTCCCGTGTTTTGATATAATTTGAATTCCCGTGATTAAATTCCCGTGTTTTGATATAATTTGAATTGAAGTAATGTTTCTGTTTAACAATTGTTAGGTTACTATCTGTAATTACATTACTTTTCAAGCTTTTTTTGCACTTGATGAAAAAATTACTATCCGGTGGATAGCGTTATCCAGCCTTCCTACAACCCTCCCCGCAGAAACAGCCCATGCAGTGTCCGCCTGCGGTATTTATTGCGTTTGGTTTGCAGTAATGATTTAATTGTTGACATATGCCCTTGTCATTTTATCCCTTAGTTTTAAAAAGAATTGCAATCTCACATTCAGTTTTTGCCATGTGTTTTAAGGTTGCTTCTTCGTCATTGCTTTGAGAGTTTGCGTTCAACTCAAATAGCGATGGTGCACTGCAGTGCCCAAACCTCTCCGGTTCACGTTCTACAGAAACTGCAACAAACATGCATGGTGATTAGCTCGAATACTGGTAGAGTTTACAGACCGAAGGATTGTGAGCGGCTGATTTTGTATCTGAAGGATATTAACCTGCCGAAACCTGACAAGTGGGGAACAAGTCAACTGATTGCGTTCATGCAACAGGTACTTATGGTGGTGTTGGTAGTTCCTTAGTTGTGAGAATTGTCACGATTTCATTTGATCCTGTTCCAGGTGCTTACCTACAAGGGTTTCTACGACACGAACCTGGAATGGGTTGGTCTAGAAGGTGTTCAAATAGTAGCTTCGATGACTGCTGGGAGTGGACTTGGACGCCATAAGTTAACCAGTCGATTTACGTCCGTCGTACGAATTTGTGCTATTGAGTATGTTATCTTATTATATTTCTTCTCTGCAGTTTAAATCCACAAAAATAATCAATTCATTCACCTCCCTTTATAGTTATGCAGACAACGAACAGCTTCAAGCTATATACAGTGCTTATTTACGACCTGTGCTTCACCATAGCTTGTCTTCACATCCTGTTTGGGGCGCTGTAAGAAATATTCAAACACTAGCTCATACTATGATCACGGTCTATGAACAGGTACGACTAATTGTCTATCATTGATTGTGGCACATTCACTGATAACAACATAGCTATCGTTTTTTATGCTGAAAAATAAAATAAAGGTAATGCATGACAAACACTTTACTTTACGTTTTCACCTCATAAACGTAATTATTTGTGCTGATAGTTTGCTTGTGCATGAGGAATATTTTAGATTTTTAATCTGCCCCTAGTGACAGGGGGTTCCTTTAAAAGTTAAAAACGTTTACACATCTTTTTCCAGATACGTTCCAAGTTCACCGTTGACGACCGTTCTCATTATCTGTTTACGCCGCGGGATCTAACAAACTGGGTGTTAGCATTATTCCGATATATTGTTGACAGTTCTTCAATAGGAACAACCGCAGAACATCTTCTAGAGATATGTGCTTATGAAGCAAGACGTTTGTTTAGAGATCGTATGGTTGGGGAACATGCTGAGAAATGTGATAACATCATTAAGTCTGTAATACGTTCTGATTGGTCAGTTCATCTGGATAACCTGGATACTTCGTATTACGTTACATGGGGTGGCTCTGCAAAAGCAGTTGCTGCCGAGCAGACAGAAGCTACGGCTAGTACCAGTTCTACAAGTCTTCATGCGTTCGGACGTCCTTTGGGACGTTTAGATCCAACCGATTTGAAACAAGTTCTTGCTAAAGGAATGATAACATACGGTAAGTTAAAATTTTATCATACCTCACTATACAGTCACAGGTTTAAATGCAGAAATTAGAGAAGGCATCGGTCGAATGCATTACACGATTCACAGGCTAATGACTAATGTGGTACACTAGCGTCTTCCATGTTTGCATTCTCAGTTTTTATCGGGCTTCCAAGTAAATGTTTCATCATTGTTCTGTGTAGGTCGTGAAAACAAGGAGTTGGAGGTTTTGATATTCAGAGAGGTTTTGGAAAATATTGCTGTTGTTGATCGTGTGATAACCAAACCTGGTGGTTCGTTATTAATGGCTGGTCGTAGTGGCGTGGGTCGAAGGACTGCAGTATCACTGGTAGCGCACATGCACAGCATTGAACTCTTTACACCCAAGATATCACGTGGATACCAGTTGAAACACTTTAAAAATGACCTTAAGACGGTGAGTAAAGTAATACGAACATCTATAAAGTTATTTGCTTACATAAACATTAGAACTATCAGGGGGGCAGACTCGTTACTATACTGATTACTTTTTTAATAACTGTTGTTAACTTTAATGCATGCTTTAAATTCATATCGGTAAGGTTTGATCCAACGTGGCCACTTTTACCTCACTTGAAAACTACCGTGCATGGCTGTCATAATGGCTATCATGAGATTGACACAATAAATCACCGCTACCTTATATTAATTTAGATATAGACTTGTCTACAAATTGTCTATTCTTTGAAATAAAAAATTTCATTGTCAGGTAATGCAACTGACTGGTATAGAAGGAGAACAAGCTGTGTTGCTTTTGGAAGATCATCAGTTCCTCGAACCATCATTTCTAGAACTTATCAACAGTCTTTTAAGTGCAGGAGAGATCCCAGGTTTGTATACTCCTGAAGAATTGGAACCTCTACTCACCCCACTGAGAGATCAAGCTTCTCAAGATGGCTTCCGTGGAACGCTTTTTTCGTATTTTGCCTCGCGTGTTAGCAAGAATCTTCATGTCGTATTAAGTATGGATTATTCTTCTCCAACATTCACTGCAAACTGTGAATCTAACCCGAGTTTTTTCAAGAGTTGTACGTTCGTTTGGCTGGACGGCTGGAGCCGTGAGAGTATGATGAAAGGTGCGCATATTTTGTATTTCTCGTTAAAACGTCAGCAGTTATACTGTAGTATAATGTAGGTAATTCATTAAGTCTTCACACGGGCCGGGAGAATCATACAGGTTCATTGGTTAACTGAAGTACGATATATAATATTTCTGCAAGTACGTGGACAACTTGTTGTAAAGAGAGTTGAGTCGGACAAATTATGTATTTGTAGTGCTATTCGATGGAAAAGAAAACTAAACATTATGATTACGTATTAAAAACGAGAATTTATCAACAAACTTATAATCCTCACGCTATTCCTTTTCCTAAATGTAGTCTTTATGGAACCTATAGGAAAAGCGTGAATTACTGTACCTCATTTTATTCTTATTAAAAATAGCCATTAATCGGTTGTTTTTTATTTCATTTCAGTGCCAGTTATGTTTTTAAGTGAAGAGGAAATGCATGTTTCCCAGAAAGCAAAGAAAAGTTCTGGAAATGAAGATGGAATTTCTAAGGGTTTCTTACAAATCCATGAATCATGTGTTAATCGCGGAGCTACGCCAAGGAAATTTATGACCTACTTAAAAACGTACAAATTTATATTTTCTGGAAAGAAACAGGGCATTGTCACCAAGCAGCAACATTTACAGGTGAGAAAAAACCCCAAAATGAATTTATAACTGTTTTGTTTTATGAATTAAGGAAAGGAGTAAATTGTATATTTTTTGCTTTTTATTATCAGGCTGGAGTTTCCAAACTAACTGAAGCAAAGGATTTGGTTCACAGTTTGAAACAGAAAGCCGCTCAACAGAGTACTGAATTGGCAGAAAAACAGGCTGAAGCTGATGCAGCATTACAAGATATTACAGCCAGCATGCAGGTGAGTTCCTACTAGCTGCTATTGTGGCAGCATCAAATTTAGGTTTTAATGCCCACCATGCACGCTAACATATATGAAATTGATTTCTCTATTCATTTACTCTTTAGCGAGCAAGTGAATCGAAAAGTGAGATGGAAGTGTTGAAGCAAAAGCAAGGTGAAGAAGCGGTGAAGTTGGAAAAACGTAAAAAAGCGATCGATATTGAATTGTCTGACATCGAACCTCTTATCCGGGAGGCCAAAGACGCTGTTGGGAATATCAAACCGGACTCTTTATCGGAAATACGATCACTGAGAATGCCTCCTGATGTTATTCGCGATATTCTCGAGGCTGTCTTGCGTCTTATGGGAATATTTGATACCTCTTGGGTCAGTATGAAGAGGTATGTAGTTATATTAAAATAAATATTTGTAAAAATGCTTGAAAAGCAATGAACTACATGTACAGATGTAGACCCAACGATTAGAGGGAAACTCTACTACAGTATAGGCAATAAAATTAGGGTAATAAGCAATGTTAATTGTAAAAAATGCTTTATTTCGTAGCAAGGAAACCTGGCACTTTTAAACATGTTTGACTTGTCTGAATGCAATTTCAGTATCTTTAATGGCATTTGCGATTTTATTTATTTTCTAGTTTTCTTGCTAAGAGAGGTGTGAAAGATGAAATTTGTTCTTTTGATGCTCGAAAGATCACTCCCGAAATAAGGGCTAGTGTTCAAGAACTATTGGATAAAAACGCAAATTCATTCGACGCAAAGGTATCATTGCATTTCTAGTATTAACTATGACCAGAAATTGGCAAACAAACTTATTAAACACGTTCTTACAGATGGCTAAACGTGCCAGCACTGCAGCCGCTCCCCTGGCATCATGGGTAAAGGCAAATGTGAAATATTCTGAAGTTTTAGAGAAGATTGAACCATTGGAACAAGAGCAAGAAAAATTGCAAAGGTACCGAGCTGTTTATATTGATATCTATCACTAAGGCCCGTATTCAAAAAGCTCACTCACACTCAAACTCATTGAGTGGGAGATCTTAATCTGCCCATAACGTTTCAATGGCGGTATTTTCAGCCGAACAGGGGCTTGATTTTCAGTGATTTACCTTATATCTTTTCATCTATTGAGAGAAAACTTTCTCATTGATCAGCATTAACAAAATTTATATGTCACACTCAATGAGTGTGAGTGTGAGTGAGCTTTTTGAATACGGGCCAAAGACTTACTATTCATTACAGTTTAAATTATCGTCATGGAAATATAAAGAGATGACATGCGTAATCACGAGTCGATGAAATTTTGCTTGAAGGTCGTAGTTTTACGTGGGGTATAGATATTATAATGCTGAAATGAAATATTTTATTACTTATAGGAACCTTCAGAAATCTCAAAATCGCATGGAAAAATTAAAGAAGGCTTTAGACGAGGTTGACCAGCAGGTAGCTGGTATGAGGAAAAGGTAAGACAATGTTAGGTAAACTACAGTGTAAAATTGTTTAAAAGTGTCCACTTAATTTCAGAATCACTTAAGAACCATTTCAGGGGAATTCAAGTTTATACACTGGCCTCAGCCTAAAATTAACCTTATATATGTCATTATTTGAGAAACTGTGTGGCGATTACACTATTTGAATTTTAGGTTTGAGCAACGTACTCAGGAAGCAACGCAACTTAAAATTGAGTTGGATAAAGCACAAGAAACTATCACAGCTGCTGAGACACTCGTTGGTAAACTGGAGGGAGAATTTAAGAGATGGACAGGCCAGGTATTATATTATTGTAATAAATAGTAGTTATTGATTACTATTATAATCACGTATTCACTAGTGCTTCTATAGCTGTCATTTCGTCATTATATGTATACCGTTCTGAAATTGTAAACCTCGTATTTTATAACGCTCTCATTTTTATCCACCCGTTCACCTTAGACTGAAAATTCTAATAAAGCTTCTAAAATTATAAATATTTTTAACAAGAGAACGTCTGTGGTTCCTAATATGATTATTCCTGGTTTTACATCAAATATACTCAATTACATGCAGCAGATTTGATAGACTGTATATAGACTATATATCTAATCTTTAATTCATAATGCAGGATAAAGTTGACATGTATGTGATGAAATGAAAGATGTACTTTTCATACGCGCTAACTACGTATGCTATGCTATGCTATGCTATTAGGTTCAAGAGCTAGCAGCTGAGCTGGATCAGTTACCCAAGAGAGCGCAGGTTGCTGCAGGTTTCATCACTTATTTAAGTGACGCACCTGAAGATGTCCGGAAAACATTGATGACGGAGTGGTGCGAGAACGTCGGCTTGCAAGGATTTGATTTCAGAAGATTTGTCAGCAGTGAAAGTGAACAGCTTATCTGGAAGTCAGAGGGCCTACCTTCAGATGACTTATCCATGGAGAATGCAATGGTTATTTTAAAGGTTTGATTGAATATGTCTTCATAACATCATTTCATTTACCACTTTTTTCTGGTATAATAGCAACAACAGCTTGTAAATCCGTAGATTTTCGCATTTATTTTTCTCATTTTCTCATCTTTGCAGAGTCAAATGACACCATTTTTGATCGATCCATCCTCCAGAGCAACTGCTTGGTTAAAAAACCACCTGAAAGAACAACGTTTAGAAGTCGTTAATCAACAGGTAAAATTTTCAAAAAACTCTTCTTCCTCTGCTTCTATACCTTCAGTGATATACGATGCAGTATTACGTTTATGTATTTGATGCAGTATATAGTGATACACTAAGTATGGGTATCTGTTTGTAGGACGCTAACTTTTCAACAACATTAGAACTGGCTGTCCGTTTTGGTAAAACATTAATAATTCAAGAGATGGATAGTGTTGAACCAATTCTTTATCCAATCATAAGAGGTGATTTAATCAGTCAAGGTGAGAATTGCTTACTGCAATCAACTTGCACATTTCAAGCTTTGAAAAGTCATAAAACACTCGTCGTCCAGTGCAGTCCTTAGTTATACCCCACGTAAATGTATTTTAAAATTTCATCTAGGTCCGCGATATGTCGTGCAGGTTGGAGAAAAAATAATAGATTATAACGAAGATTTCAAGTAGGTCCCTAGCATTGTATAGTACACTCGTTTATGCACACGCATATATTAGTTCTTCCAACATGACATATACCTTCCAGGTTGTTTATGACGACACGTAATCCAAACTTGGAACTACCTCCTGATGCAGCTTCTATCATTGCGGAGGTGAACTTCACAACAACACGAGCTGGTCTGACGGGTCAGGTAAGTTCAACTGCATCGCGTGACTTGATAAGCTAGGGACACAATCATATTGGTAGAACTTTACTGAATTGATAGTAATGTGTGTTCTCACTCAGTCTCATGTATTTTTAATATTATCTTTCATGAACAACAACGTATGCTTCTAATTCAGTTGTTAGCTATGACGATTCAACATGAGAAACCAGAGCTGGAGGTGAAAAAGACAGAACTTTTGAAGAAAGAGGAAGACTTGAAAGTTCAATTGGCAGAACTGGAAGAGTCTTTACTTGAGGTAAGTTTTTTGTTATCATTGTTTTACTCCATTAATAATTTGCTGACATTCAGCCTTCCCTGAATTAGACTCGAATTAAGCTATTAATTAATTTGCTCTTGTAGACTCTAGCGAAGGCAGAAGGCAATATTCTTGAAAACAAAGCATTACTGGATTCATTGAACAAAACAAAAGCAAGCAGCACAACCATTACAGAATCTCTTAATGATGCACATACCATTCAGACCACGCTCGACAAGGTATCGTAATTTTTTTTATTTGAAACATGAATGAGGTGCGATTTAGAATTCCTCGCCGTTACATGTAGCTACACACCTCTGTTCGGGTTTGTTAACCTTCTTTGAATGAATGGTCATCTTTTATGCATAGGTCAACGATTCGACATTGTCCTTTTAACCTGTTTGCAATTTCCTTAACTATGCAGCTATTAGTGATACTTTATATGTGTGTTTGCTCAATAGGAAAGAGACGCATTCCTTCCTCTGGCCGAAAACGGCAGTACATTATTCTTTGTCATCAGTGATTTGACCAAAGTCAATAACATGTATCAATTCAGTCTGGGTGCATTTTTGAGGACTTTTCAACGTTCTCTGGAATTACCTGATGTATGTATTGGATATAGGAGCATGTGTATAAAAATTTATATGCATGTCGAGACATGCATGTCTTGACGAGATTTCATCTTGTTTAGGATTCGTGTACAACAGATTCTCGCATAAAAACATTGATGGGTTCATTGCAGTCATTGTTATATGACTATGTTTGTAGATCTTTGTTCAAGGTAAGAAGTCATCAATTCTCGTGGTACTGGTACTTGTAATGTTTATAGATAATGATCTAAGATCGTTCATATACATGCTATAAACCACAGGTGCAGGTATCAATCTATTCCACAGTTGGCAATGAGTAACCGATATTTGAATACCATGATTACTTGCAATAGATCAGTATAGTTCTCATTTCACTGTATGGTAGTGTATCTTGTTGAGATTCCAAATTAACTGGGAAGCAACGTGATATCGTATGATTCTAAATCAGGAATTTGCATCTTTTTCTCCAAACTAAGCTCTTCTGGCGGACGTACTAAGGGCGAAACGTCGATAAGTTGAACTAGCTGGATTAAGTAATTTTACACCTTTTATTTTAGGCTGATAGGTTGATGTTTGCTTTGCACATGGTCCATGGTATGAGACCAGATGCTTTTAAGGAAAACGTACGTTTCCATTAAAACATATTTACTGCTATAAAGTATATGTGCCAAACTGAATAAATGGTTAGAAAAGTGTTAGAGGTAACGAGGGATGCAATTTCTCGCTATGAAACAACCTCTAAAGATACATTATCGATCATCCTCGAATCTCACTCATCATTGATGTTTTGAAACGAAAAATTTCTTTTAAGGAATGGGAATTCTTTACTGGACTCCTTGTAGCAGATGTTTTTAAACGACAGGTATAAAACTAGGTTTGTTTATTCCGCGGTAATATGTAGTTGAATCAATTGGTTTAATTATTCCTAAATATTGTTTTAGGATTCCAGCAGGAGTTTGACTGATACATTACCATCCTGGATTGATCCCGATAGATTCTCCGCTGTTGGAGCTTTGAAGGTTTTTACAGATATTTAAAATACCATTTATGATATAAATCTGCAACATATGACTTTTCCAAACTATACGCGAAGAATAACCCGGCAGGCATTTACATGGGTTATACAGTTAGGGCCATAGGCTGCCACTGCCGTTTGAGGTAATTAAGCTTGTTACGCTGCAAGTTAAGGGCTTTGCCCTCTAAATAATTCATGTTTATTTGCAGAGTGTGTTTGGTAATTTGTTTGGACAACTGGACTTCAATAACTCAGATCAGTGGTCAGCGTTCTCACGTAGTTCTCAATGTGAACAAGAATTTCCACCATCAATTGCAAAAAAGATCACTCTGTTTCAACAACTCTTGACAGTGCAAGCTCTACGACCAGATAGATTGCAAAGTGCTATGATTCAATTTGCTTCCAAAGCCCTAGGTAAGATACTCCAACAACATAATATATGATTTCGTTCCTGAGAGAACATGCACGTGTCAAACATTATCGGTACAATCGAAGAAGGGAAACCTGTATGAGAGTTATTGGAGCAGAATTATTTCTCCGTCTGTTTTGTTATATGATGAATGCATGCTACATGCCTATAGTTCAACTCCATTTCATTTTTTCCTGATAAAGGATTTAAGGAGCTTTCTCCGCCAGCAGTCAATCTTAAAAAGTTGTTGAAGGAGACGGTTTGTCGTGAACCAATACTGATTGTGATATCACCTGGTGCTGATCCATCTCAGGTTTGTAAAATTGTACAATTCAGTCAAATGAACCACTTTAAAAATTTTATTTCCTTTTTCAACGTACATGCAGGAATTACAAGACATGGCGGCGGAGGTGATTGGTTTAGAGAAATTCCACCAGGTTGCTATGGGCCAGGGACAGGCTGATATTGCCATGCAGTTGTTGCATGATTGTGCAAGAAATGGGGAATGGTTGTGCTTGAAGAATTTGCATTTAGTAAATGCATGGCTTCCGACATTGGAGAAGGTATAACATGACTTAATCATACTGTATTTATATAGAGAATAATACATGGATGCGCGGAAATATGGAATTTATTTCGAGTGTTGAGAATAATATCGAACGAGCGAGATATCTTTCTCAGCACGAGAAATAAATTCAATATTTCCAACCATCCGTGTATTTTTCTGTTTATTATATAGTGAAAAATTGTTTTTTTGAAAAGTTTTTTATCCCCCTTCCTGATTCCAGATCGGTGGATCAAACACGATAATCGCATGCACATGTGTTATTATCATGAATAATCGCACATCTGTTATTATCGCTTTTCAAAATGGTGGATTCGTCAATAAAACCCTGCAGATTATATAATTAATAGTAATAATAAATACAGCATATAGCAGTGATATGCAAATTTTTGTAATCTTACAAATGTTCAGTTATAATATTTAGTTATAATATATGAATTTCGTTTTTAGGAATTGAATTCGCTGAATCCTCATGAAAATTTCCGTTTGTGGCTTACAGCCGAAAGTCATCCTAAATTTCCTACCATTTTGCTTCAGACCAGTCTTAAAGTGACGTACGAGGTTAGTTCTGATACTAGATTTATTAATATCAAAGTGTATATATAATACAGATTACCATTACATGTATGCGAATTGCAAAATATATGACACCGTTTAGTCATATTCTGGACATATTTTCACCATATTTAAGAATTAATCTAATAGTAATAATATTAACTTTGCATAAATGGTTTTACTGAAACTGCTGCGAGAACACTTCATTAGTTTGGGCCAATGAATGACGATGATTATTGATGTTAACTACTTATTGCAGTCACCGCCAGGAATAAAGAAGAATTTACAAAGAACTTACGAATCATGGACGCCTGAATTCATTAAACGCGGAGAATCGTCTGTTCGTGCCCAGGCTCTTTTTGTATTAGCTTGGTTCCATGCGGTCGTTCAAGAGAGAAGAAATTATATTCCTCAGGTATAAACTAACAACTCCCATTTACACGCAACTATTTGGTTACATCTTATAAACTCAATTCATTATAATTATATCTGTTCACTGGTTATAGCTGAACTAGCGATGGTATTGTACTATGAATTCCATGTATAATCCTTAGGGCTGGACGAAGTTCTACGAATTTTCACTGAGCGACCTGAGAGCCGGTGCTGAAATTATCGATCGGTTATGCCTAAATGCTGCAGGTATGGAGGAAGGAAACTGGTGTTCTGTGTTGCAAATAGCATGACAATACCAGACATTGATCTGGTAGTGCATGAGTCTCGTGGCAGCAAAGCATTCTATACAGTATATTGTCAATTTCAGGTGGATCTGAGGTTCGCTGGAATTTCGTGCATGGGTTATTCGAGAATGCGATATATGGTGGTCGTGTTGATAATACATATGATCTCAATGTGCTGAAGTCTTATTTACAACAATATTTTGAACCCAATGTCGTTACTGGTGGTCAGGTACTCGTGTGACGTTCTATCGTCCATGTTTAAAGCTGCATGTGCAAAGCTTTTTGCTCTTGGCTCTTGGACTCAAATTTAAAACGCAATTTTGCAAATTTCATTTTAGTCATCTCGTGGTCGAGGAAAACGGGTGATACCTAATGTTTCCTTGCCAACATCCTGTCACTTGGAGGTATATAGGTTTGCTATCCGTATTTATTGTTTAATTCAGACTATTTACAGTCCAACATTACTTTAACTGCAGGACTACAAAGGAACGGTGAATTCCCTTCCTGAAACAGACAAGCCTTCATTTTTTGGTTTACCGGCAAATATTGACAGATCTGCACAGAGAATTGTCAGTTCACAGGTATCATGATAGTTTTCTTCTCACATATTTTCATTGGTTTTCAATCTTTTCCGTGGTTCTTTTATGCAACTGATTCAATCATGGTTATCATTTATAAACCTTAAACCTTTGACAATGAGCGAGGAAATTTCTTGTTTATATATTCTCACTTTGCCGTAATACTGTAACCTTTTTAAAAACACTTTTGCGATGCATTACTTATCTTCATGCCAAATATAGTCCAGTTTCAGAGAAGTAAGTTGATAGGCAATAATAAACAACCTTTTTTGAATAACATGTATTATGATGTATATTTCAGATGGTTAGGTACAAGTTGAAAATCATTTTCATGGTATTTTAAATTTTACTTGCATTTTCATGTACAGGTGATATCGCAGCTTAAAGTTCTCATGCGCTCAACTGTGGCTGCTAATAAGTTTGATCGTGAAAAATGGAGTGTTGAATTATCGCCATTCTTGAACTTATGGAAGAAGCTGAACCAGGTAGGTTCAGTTTCAATCTTCCTTATGTGTCCCTGTGAACGCATAGCTTTTAGTGTACTAAAGGTATGGGTGATACGTTTTCGGCATAAGGGGGATTATCCAGCTAGAGTATTGCTAATTCTATGGTTGTGCAGATTAATTGTGATTCTTATACAAATTTGTGATCTTCCGTCAACGCAATCACTCACCATTTGGATGGTATTTAGGGCTCTCAACTGATCCAAATGAAACTTGCCCCACCATCAGATAAAGGAGAGTCACCTGTCACCTCATTTGTTCAACTGGAGCGTTATAATGCTATTCGGTTGGTCCAACATGTTCATGGCTCATTGGCAGCTCTTAGTAAAGTTATTAAAGGAACCACTCTTCTCACTGCTGAAACTCAAAACCTCGCCACCTCACTAATGAAACAAGAGGTAGTGAAACCGAGTTTTAAAATATTAAAAGATTTCACAATTTTATGTACGAATACGTGTGTTTGACATGTAAGAAAACGTGTGTTTTATTAAATTTATCTGTAGGTTCCGGATACTTGGTGTAAGAGCTGGGAAGGGCCAGGTGATCCAATTCAGTGGTTGCGATCACTGGTTGCCAAAACACTTGCCTTGGGATCATGGGTTGAGAAATGTGAGAAAAAAGCATTACTAAGAGATACGATTGACCTCTCCGAACTATTCCATCCTGATACATTTTTAAATGCTCTGCGTCAACAGACTGCAAGGTATGGATTTCGTTTTTCATTTTATCCAGCGAATCTGCACATGCACTAAAATCAAAATAGCTCAAGAATATGCACATTCAACAAACGGTAGACCATTCGTACCAAGCACAAGGCCCTTATACTTCTACTGATCGTTCCAGAGCCATGAAATGCTCCATGGATGAATTGAAGTTTGCGGCAACATGGAAAAGTTCGGGAATCCAAGGAGCCAAATTCTCTATAAAGGTAATCATGGAGAATCATGCACAGATGCACGTCTCGCAGTTACTTTTCTTGTTTGAATTTTTGTCGTATATTATAATTTTTAGTGAATAATACATCATAAACAAACATAATTGATAGACATGCCAAGTTCACGATGTTGTTTTCGTATACGGTTTTTGTATGATTTAGTCTATTTTCACCCAGTGTATGAACTGCATGCATCACCTTCATACAAATTTTTGTTTATATTTCGTGTTACCTATATAAGTCTCACAACCCTTATTGTACTAAATTTGTGCTTTCTAGGTTGGGGGGTTGCAGTTAGAAGGCTGTACTTTTGATGGCACAATACTAGTAGAAAATCAACGTGATTCATCGACTGTTTCAGCAGTACCACCTTGTACTATTGCTTGGATTATGAAGGTATACTCGTATATGCATTCGTATTCGATGCATTAATCAGTTTAACCGGCATAGCCAATGCGTTAAGCATGAAAGTTTTGAAATGCTTTCTTGTTTTTTTTTAGAATCAGCCGGATGCATACAACAGTAATGAATGTCTTACCCTTCCTGTTTATTATACTATGGACCGTGAGAGATTGATGACAAGCATGAACGTGCCGTTTGGAGGAGAGAGAAGTCAGTGGATTCAATGCGGAGCTGCTCTTTTTCTCAAAAACCAATAATTCCACGCTTTAATTATGGTTGTTATTTTGATCCAAATGTTGTCTGTCATGTTGCATGTAAACATGATCTTCTAATTTTAGAAGTCAGGTGCAAAACAAAACAACTTCCAGCATGCTACAAGGTCACTGAAGCGACATAATTGTCGAGAATTAAACACGTAATCGCATTTCAGCCGTACCGAGCGTTTATATACATGAATATAAATCAGAATTTATGATGTCGTTATTTGTCACTTTGTTCATTTTAAGCATAATCACCTCCTTTTGAGAATTTAATTCACCATATATATATATATGAATTGTGACCATTTGAAACTTTTTTGGACTTGCCCATAGAGTTTAACTAATTTATCGATATGCAAGGTATTTATAAGTAACGTGTACAAATTTAAATTATTAAAATCCCTAGTTGTATTGTGGTACTGATCTGCTTTACATATATCAAATTCAGCCAAGGTTATATTGACCAGAAAACATAGTAGGTTGGAGGAACACTGATGTAACATCGTTCAAAAACAAGTTGTCAACAACTTATTGTGATCGTGCATGAATATATTTTTCATATGTGGTAAGCCACGGACGCTATTAGAAATGTTCTGCCGCGAATAGCAAAGGACAATTGCGCATGCGCTGTGTTCACCTTGGACATGCGTGCGTCATTAGGTAACTATAAATCCAAACAAAAGTACGGATATCAATAAGCACCGTGTTAAATTGAGTTACGGTTCAATGTTGGATTTTATTTTGCTAATGATGCCGGATAAATATATTACAATTAAAATGATTTTACTGCTCGTATTAATTGTGAGACGCAACAGGCAAAGTAAATATGACGCGTTGGAGTAATTGGTGGGATCAAAACAATTTTCTATTTTTACCAGTTTTAATGTAGAGGCTGCTCAATGTCCGCAAATGCGTGCGACATGCGTCGTGGTGTGGGTCAATTTGAGTTGTTTTCTAATAGTGTTTTACGACTAGTACGCCCACTGCATTTCTCGTTCTCCCAAATTCCCACGCGTGTTTCTATAACTGTATATAACAAGGAATTTTCTTTCTTTTTCCTAAAAATAGTGCTTTCTAACTATATATAGATAGGACTTATACTTGTTCTTATTCGAAAATAATCGAAATAATATAGATTTTTGAAGAGTTATGCTTTAAAGTTTTTACACTGATGTATAGGTTAATCCTTTTTTTGGGTGTCATGTGTGTAGGTTAAAAGCGGCACTTCTTGTGCTCTAAACGCATTAAAAGCAACAGATAATGTATAGTTATGTAGCATTTCAGCTTACTATCGATTGTTTTTATTGCATTCGGCGCATGAAATGTGCGATGTTTGACCTAGGTCTTAATAATTGGGGTTACTGATTTGTAAACATTCAATCATCTTGTCACGCCCATATTCGGTTATCGAATAGCTTATTACATTTATCTATTTTGCATGTGAAAAACGAAAGGTGAGAGGCAAATGAGATAACTATTTGTTCGTGCAAACGGTAAATATATAGGTATAAAATTATACATTGAAAAAAAACCGCTGCATCAACAAGGGGGGCAATAAATTCAGGGAGCGAATCTAATTTTTCATTCAACGAATTTGGCATCACATTGATCAAACAGTGTATTCGGTGTAAAATTAACCAAATCCATGATGAAACTTACTCTCGGCTTTCTTGTTCTTCTTGCAGATTTTGCTGTTTGTTTGAGGTCTAGAATACCGTTCAAGGTTTGTAGGCACTGTAATGGCGGTTATGAATATACGTTATTTTCGATTTAAACTATATGGTTTGTTAAAACCAATTCAATTTTCGTATGATGAATATTAGCTATATGATCACTTGAGCTTGATGGCTGATGATATCTGCGTGCAGGACAGCGTACTACAATAATTCAAGTAGAGTTTTTTCTACTCATAAAGTTTTCGGGCCTATAAATTAAGTTAGAAAAATTTTTTACACGAGCTTTAACTTGATAATATTAATTCATTTCCCCAGTTTTTTCTATTTTTTGTATATGTGTACATCCGTTTCTTTAGTTGGAGCCTGAGGCTTTGTTGAAACGCGGGGCTATATTGAAGCGCCAAACATCATCTACTGACCGTGAGTGTCTTTTTATGAAGATAGTCGACAATGAAGTTTTATAATAATCACGATTGTTGTAGTTTATGGTAGGCCATGATACAACTTTGCGTTATCACGTGGACAAATGCAGCCAATGCGCATAATAAGGCTCGTGATCATGTCGCCCCTATATATACCCTAATTATACAATGTATATAAAAAATATTCATGAACATTCGCTTTAGTCGCTTTCTATTCGATCACAAAAGATCGACTCTACATGATATCGTGAATATATAGCCAGTTGTTTCATTTTCAGTTTATAACTTTATACGTCCTACATGTTAGTGTATAGCTCGTCGAGGCGTTATGCCTACTACGGATCATTTTAACTTTTCTGCTATTAATATCTAATCGTTAATTGCTAAATTATATTGTTATTTCAGCAATACGGGTATTACCACAGTCATTTTGCCGACCAACACCAATACCTATAAAGGTCCCCTGTGATCCTTTACACGCATTTCCTACACATGTTACACTAATGCGTTGCATGGGTGGCACGTTCGGTTTCGCAATGGAATGCGTAGCTGCGGTTGAAGAAAAATTTATCTTGAATGCAACTCATGTGTACAGCAGGATGCCGATACTTTGTCGTATGACCAACCATACAAATTGTGTAGCAAAGTGCAAACCGAATACTTGCAATATCGCTACCCAATATCTTGACCCATATTCATGCCAGTGCTATTGCCGCCACCACCCTGATGTTTGCCTGCAGCAGGGACAGGTACAGTAAAAAAGCGAATATTTCATCAGCTTTCTGATTTTAAAATCCTTTTCTCATGAGCATTCAACGCAAAATTCAGGTAATGCATGATTTATCATTTAGGTTTTGGACCCAAAGAGCTGTAAATGTGTGTGCAAAAGCCTCCCGATAGCGTGTGTTGGCGAGGAGGCTATTAAAGTATGGAGCGACAAGAGTTGCCAATGTGAATGTCGTGATCAGATTAAGAGAAAGTGCCTTTCAGACAACAAAAAGGTCCCTAGGCCCGATACATGCGTATGTGTATGTCCGTTGAAAAATTGCCCGAAAGGACAAGTGGTTGACCAAACAGACTGCAAATGCGCTTCTCCTTCCATTTAAACTCCGTATCAACCGTAATTCCTACAATATAAGCAAAGTTATTTTATTCGCTCTGTAAAAATTGATTATTATTGATTAATAATGTACGGTCGTTCCAAAAAGTAAATGAATTAAAGACTTACAAACCAACTATGGTGTATCGTTTTCTTGTTGTAACCTTTTGATCCAAGATGCATGCAGTCAGTAAGTTTACGTGATATGGAAGGTTTTGAAAATCATTTGATGGAAACATCCCAAACCCAACCCATATTAAAATTGAAATTTAATGCTTTACGAATTCTTGCATTAAGGTTTTTTTCTAAGAAAAATTAACCTCGTTCCAATGCTTTTAAAATCGTGTCGACTGTTTCGCGCAAAAATTTAGTAAGATTTATTCCAAATTCAGGATAATTTAGACAGTTTTAGCTCCCCAAGCACCCCCACGCGCTCAGTGCTTTATCTATATAGCTCAGTGAAAATACTTCAAAGAGCCCGGAAAAGAGGCTGCAGCTGTTCAGCATAACCATACACACAGATGTCAGATACTCATGACTGATTTTAGACCGGATTTTAAAAAAATACATTTGCGATGCAATGTTGTTTGCTGTTTTAACGTCTTTTATCTCAGGAATTGTATTTATTCTGTTAGTGGAACTTATTTTGATTTATCAATGGTGGATACGTAAGCCGAAGGAAGATCTTTCACATCAAGTAATCAGATCAAAAGTTAAAAATCCAGAGGTACGTATACTCACTATTTTAATACAGTCATACTCACTACAATTACTCACTACTCAATTTTGATTAATTCAATTATTGAATAAAGAACTTAACTATTATTATCATTTACCGAAATTACCCAAGAGCCCCCTTTTTATTTTTATTTACATGTCAGAAGTGAAATATAGAGATTGTATATAGATTTTTTCTGGGCTTACTTTGTAAGATTAGCACCCTTCATCCGCTAGTCTCAAGCGACTGTGCCGGACATCCAGCAACGCAATGACCTATAATAGCAGTGCAGACATACTTATTCCTTGTAGTTGAATAGGTGATTAGTCAGTTTACCACTTGTCCCATTCTTCCTGTCTTCTATTGTATCAAAATAAGAGGCATCAGAATAATCACACCTGCTTATTTGGCAAGATTAAACTTTGTCATATATTTCCACCAGAATTTTACCATAGCAATATAATATTTAAAACCATGAAGTGTAAAACAGAGCCATATCTGGTGAAATCATGTTAATGTCTTTGTGCTTGATGGCAAACATATATTCAATTTAGTATCATTTGGTCACTTCCTGTAAACCTATAAGCATTAAACATATGATGTTCACTCCAACTCAAATCACTGATTAAAATACTTGATAAATTGTTTTCTAATTATTCAATACCCGCGTGGTCACCTGTAGTCATCTGGCTGCATGAACCCCTAGGAATGTGACTTAGTAGAAAATAATATCTACATATAATCAATAGTCTAATATAAGACAGGCAACATATGGCTTAATTGCATGGTTTGAAATGCAATATAACCATATTTTGTAATTCTTGAACCTAGTTTTGTAGCAGTTTTCTGTGACTTAATGTTTCTAAAATATGTTTCTGGAGGTTTGGAACATTGGGGCTCTATGAAACAGCATGCAGTACATTATATGTATGAATGCATGTAGTTTTGCAAACTTATTGGGTACTAATGATCCTCAAACTTTTGTTAGCAATTTTATTCAGGTATTTGTGGTTTTTTCATTGATTAATGATGGATAGAGGTACTGTATAATTCAACAATTAAGTAATGCCTACTATTCTCTCTCCAGGATCTGCAGAAATTTTTTAAAAAGCTCTCAGAGTTACCAGAAGAGGATATTAGAGAACGATTGAGAACACCAGAGACATGTGTATGTTTAAACGTAATATTTGCCTTTTTATGGAAGGAATGGAGAGACTCACTCGAAATGAAACGAATTTTTGTAACGAAATTGACAAGAGAATTTAATGATCTTATTGGCTCAAAAGCTGCAAAAGGGATTATTGAGGAAATCAATGTTAAGAGTTATAGCCTTGGAGAATCATTACCAATTATTAAAGGTAAATTTTAGAGAACAACGTTATTATTGACTGACAATTTCTGCATGACAATTATCATACTAGTTAACTTGTCCTTTTAAACTTGTGGTTTATCTGCAACAGAGCACTTAAAACTTCAGCATATTTTGCAATCTGCAGCATTGATCAGTCAAAAGATGAAAATGACACCAGAAATGACATCAAAAATTGCAAAAGTATAGAATGGACAAAAAACAATGATTGCCTTCTGTCATTAGACATTACTTTATTTTTATGAAAATCTGTGTAATACGTCATAGAAAACATTGTTTTTCCGTATTTTTCACTGCTATTTAACTAACTAACTAAACTATTTACAGAAGATTGGGGAGATATGTAATTAGCTACGCAAAGATCCTCTCAGGCTTATATATACTGTACAATACATTTTGAATTTTTAGATGCTGCATTAATAAACATCAAATCTCAAAGTGCCGAGGATGTTCCTGATGAAATTGACATTGCACTCAACATCACATATTCTGGAGGGTTCTACGTCAGTGCCGATTTCGCTCTAGCCTTAAGTAAATCAGTTTATTTATCTATTAAAGTTGTCAAAATATCAGGAAAAGTTAAACTTAGTTTTCGCAGACATCCTACGTCGCGTTGGTCATTCTCATTTTACGAGGTTGGTAAAAATACTGAGGCCGGTTGTACGGGGATTGGATCTACTGGATAGTAATTTTTCAACAACTGTAAAAATGCTAGAAAAGCATTAAAACTACGTTTTTGAAGCAACAAATTATTAAAAAGAACCCCTAATTTAGGAATACTAATGTTTGGCAACGTTATACCAAATATAACGGGCATTTTCAGAACAAATAAAGAAAACTCTATCCGGTGGATAGGGCTATCCAGCTTTCGTGGGATTTACAAATTTTTTGTTAAGTTTTAGTTGCATTCTATGTTTTCTTTATACGTTTAACTAAGGTATTTTAATATGTCAACCAAAAAGTTTCATAAACTAAATCTGATATTATTATTAAGTTGTATTTTATGTTATTTAGGAACCTGAACCGACGATCGAGCTTGATGTTGAGTCTCGACTTGATGGCAAAAACTTTCAACAACTTAATACACTTATTGTTAGACATTTTAAAAAAGTAATTCGTAAAAAGTATATTCTACCCAATTATATCATTCTTTATAAGCCATTTCTTCGAGCAAAAATCCCTCAAGATGAACAAAACGGACTATACGTTCATAACTCGCAAGTGACTGTTGGCTCAGTGGCAGTACAAGTCATTGGTTGTAGTCGACTCCCGTTGAAAAAGAAAAACATCGGTAACAGCTGGGTATTCTGTAGTCTGACTGTCGATTCAATACCTTTTGCAGAACGAAGGAATGACGATCCTTCGCTATGGCCCATCACTGAGGTTAGGGGCTTAATTGAGTTGAGAATTTGTCTGTAGGGTTATATAGTTAATTTCTAGCTTTAAAACATCCTCTTTGCAAGGTTGTCGGATATTTCACTACCGTGGGGGGCCATATAACGTGTGTTTTTTTGTTTTCCCAGTGTGAAGTAGTTCGAAGTAATGAGCGAAAAATCGGCCTGACATTTCGCGAAGTGTCTTGTAATGATGGCGATAACAACCAGAAGAAAATTGTAATCGACAGTATTGATCAAGAGACTCCAGTTGGTTATAGTTCCCTAAAGGAAGGTGATATTATATTAGAAATCAATGGAATGCCTGTTGGGGATGCTAAACAAGTTTCAAAGCTTATTCGAGGATCGGGTAGAAGGTACAATATCATAAAATTTGTAATTATTCATAAACGTCGTTTTAGGGTTAAAGGTGGGAAGTCTGGTCTCTAGTCTAGAAAAAAATCACCACAATAAGTTATTTCATAAATTACCGTCGCAATATTATGTTATGGCACTAAAGTTCCATTTAATTGCGATATTCCTGATTGTTTTTCATTATGTAGGCTTTCTATTATGGTGAAACGGCCACCATCGTACATGCCAATCACGAAGACTCGAGAACTTTCACGAAACATTGATGTGGGCACAGCCTCGTTAACTGAAGAAAATGCTTCTTCTGAGATTGACGACGCTGATGCGTTCCAAGATGAATTGATCAACATTGTGATGCCGTTAATTCAGAATGGTCCAGATGACAATAATTCTTTCAACGGTTGGTATTATACGTAAATTAACTTGTAGGTTCACCGCGTAATTATTTAATACTGCAAAGCTTTCGGTCCGCGTTAACCCGGGCCTTCATCAGTGCAATAATGATGAATTATATTATTAATTTCATACTGTTCAAGGCCTGGGTTAACGGACCGAGAGCTTTGCAGTATTAGCTAAATACTTACGTGGTGTACCATACAAGCTGATTCACTTATTTGGTGTCATCATGCAAACTTACAAGAATATTATGGTTGGTATTATGTTCATTTCCAGAATTCGTACCTAGGCTTTTTATCTCAAATACACTTCTGTTAGCAAATTACATTCTATTATACCGTTATAAGCATGAATGCAACTTTAAATCATTAGTGCATCCCTTTTTTATAAGACATAAAACGTTCTAGGATCAGTGTAGCTAGAATCGTTGAAAATTTTCCCGCCTTCTGTAGATTTTCTAACACTTTGCTGTATCTCATAATTTTTAGGTAAAGGGGATGATACCTTATCAACTGCGAGCCTATTATTAAGGTTTGTATATGAAATGGTAAAGAGTGCACCACTTCATGCAACTTGTTAAGATTAATCCATGCAACACGTTTCTGATTTGGCCATGCATATGCATCAAGCTAGCTCAATTATACATGTCAACATTGTTGTTTTGAAATTAGTAAAAATGAACATGAAAAAAAATCTGGAAGGTCCAACGCAGAAGTTAGCCAATCAAATGCTTTTATACTTGAGAAGACTCAACAAAAAAATGGGGATAGTGAGGAAACATTTGGTGATGATTATGAGAAAGCATCAAATCATTCTGGGAAAAAAACTAAAACTGTCAGGTCGTGCAAGGTAAGTAACTTTTATAGCACAGTATGATCCTACATGAAAGGGATGTTATTTTAGACAAATTTTTATTTGTCAAACCAATACATTTATTGTTTTACAAACTTTTCTGTATGACCTGATTTTTTTAATTTCAATTGCACCCCTATATGCGTTTAAACACCTATCATAAACAATCGTTTAACTAATTATCACTGAGGTATGCGCATCATTTTACAGAATCCGCAGTGGAATGAAACATTTGAACTTCGAGTTGAAGAAGAACACAAATATATAAATCTTCTTGTCTGGTACCGTATTCGAATTGAGTCTGCCAAAGAAGACGACAACACAGAACAGCAGACAAAAGACATACTTTTGGGATATGTGAGTCATGCGCAATGTTTAGCATAACTATAAATGACGTTTTGCAAACGTCGGAATCGTATCGTATTTAAGTGCTGAGGGGATGTAAATGAGGATGGTAAAACACCAGATCAATAGAGAATGTAAGAGTGGATGAGAGTTGCGAGTGTGAGGGTAGTAAGGGTTAATGAGAATTTAACCATATCATGAATTTAACCCTATCTACATATGGGTTGTACTATTTTGATCGCTCTTATCAACTTTGAAACGATTCCAAATTAGTATTTTCTTGTTTGAATTGAAAGTCAATGAATATTGCCAGCAGTTTTTCACATGTAGTTTCCCGTTATATTTAAAACAGGTTACTATCCCATTGACAGATATTGCTGTTCATTGTCTGGAAACTGGAGATCGATATCACCAACAGGAATATGTACTGGTATCAACAGCGTATGACAAGGTTTTAGCAAGGTTCGAAATGTTATATACTATGCATAAGATCCGTGTATCTCGTCTAAATTCATCCTTTATAATAGGGAAAACATCCCTAAACGGACCTCTATTCCGGTATTTTTGTTATGTTAGTAACGTGTATTTCTTTTTTGTTAGTCTTTCACACCTCAGTGGTCATCCTGGTCTGAACAGAGTTGCTTGCGGGGGTGATATCACATTGGCTTTCACGTACAAACCCTCATTTGGTAATGACGAAGAATCATCAGTCAAAACTAAAGTTCTTACATCAGAAAAGATTGATAAGGTATAAAATTTCATATATATGCCCAGATATATGATTCATTTACTTCACGGGTTGAACTTGGCAACTTTCCATATAGGTACAACAAAACTCGGTATTATGCAATCTTATAGCAAACATTTACATTGTTCTTTCCTTTGATTTCTTTTTTAGGAATTGTCAGGGTCCTCTGATCACCTAGAAATTTTAAAGTGAGTCAGATTTTATATACATTGTATTCTATAACAATCATTCACATTAATAATTTTTTATAGTCTTGAAGTAACAAAACACAATTTCGGAGATACCCAGTTTTATTATCCAACCAAGTGCGACTTCTGCACTAAAAAGGTATGCGGAACAATCATATTGAGTAAATTATATAACTGCATGAGTTACCCGGGAAGAAAGTTCTCCAGCTGCTTTCATACTGTAGGCCTAAAATGAATTAAAATAGAAAAGTTCAAGAGCAATAATATTAAATAATTTCGAGGAAGGTCTTTTCGAGGAATAATTTCGAGGTAGTTTTTTCCGTGAAGGATTGTGTGATCCAAACACGGACGATGTCGGATGAATGGATGTCGGATGAAGCATCATGAAGGGTTGTCGGATTGGATGTTGGATTGAGGAATGTCGGACAAATTGATGCCTGCATGATTGGGGAATATCGGATTGACGGATGTCGAATTTTCTCGAAACCGTGTATAATATCCTATATATCCAGCACGTCTATTAACCAATGAGATTGGGTGTTGTTAATATACCTAAAATAATATAATTATAATAAAGTACTAGGTTACTAAAGTTTATATGATTACCCTTGATGATTGTAATTATTCTTTTATTGCTTATTCACTTATCATTTGCTGTTAGATCTGGACAAAATCTGCATATCAGTGTTGTATATGCGGTATGCCGTGTCATAAAAAATGTTTGCAACGAGCGAAAACGTACACAAGGTGTTACAGGTATATATTTTTCTATTAGGACTTTGATGTTTCAATAGATATGCAAACGTTTTTAGACGATTTTCTAATTTTTAAGGTCACTATTCGTTAATTATATAGCTCTACAACAAAACCAAACATTTTTATGGGCTGGAGGATTCAAACAATGAAACAAAATTAATATGATATTAGCGTCAGCATAAAGTTGAATTTACTGTCGGATATTTTCTGTATATTTCGGGAAATTGCTCATTCCCCCCCCTCTAATTAAAATTAGACTTTCTACTATACACCTATGTTTGTAATGCAGTCAACAATTTTACTCGGCGTACTTGTGTACGGCATATATTCTTGTTTTCGAGGAAGATATTCTTGCATGTTTCAAAACCTGTCCGAAAGCTGATACCAGAGAGCTTTTGATTTACTGTTAGTTGGAGATTTTCCTTTTGTTGTCTGTCCTAATCGTCCAGGCAGTTTATTTGTTTGTTTTCATTTTCCGGTGAAGAAACAGTCAGCATTCAGAGTCTGCAAGCAAGCAAGATGAAACCGATTCTAATTTGGACAAAACTCAGGTGCAATTTAGGCATTAGCTTACTTAGGGTTTATTTTTGTTTTGTTATTGATACACTTTTTTATCTTAAGCTTGATGTAAAAACGTTGAAGGATCACGGAACTCGTCCATCAGAAATAAGTCAATTAACCTCAATGAAGGACGCTAGTTCGACTGCCAAAAAGATAGAAATGGTGCAAGTTTATATTATTGTAATACAAAACGAAATAAGAGTAAAGATACTCTGTTCGTATAGAAGAAAGTAAAATGAATAATTTCAGATCATGTTTCCCAGAAAAATTTCAGATCATGTACTGTATGCATGTGCTAGAAAGCTTTTTTTTGAGCTGAAGTCACCATCAGTCAACAAACTTTTTCCTTAATTCTTCGTTATAAGTTTTACTACTTATTTGTTTTTAATTTTAATCCAGTAGTTGATGTATCTGTTATATGTTTATAGATATAATCTTTTAAATACCACAACGCATGATTCACCATAAATGATTTCAGATCGGTAAAGAGCTGTACTCGGAACTTCCTGCGAAAACTAGAAAAATGAAATTTGACGAAATGGTATGTGAGTCACAATTTTATTTCCCCAACAAAACAAGCTGACGCATGCATAATTTTACGTTTAGTAATTTGCATCTATACTAATGCAAACTAGCTATAGTGCACCTAACGGCAAAATTGCATAAGATCCATCATTGACTTATTTCGCAGTTACTATAGTTTTGCAAAGCCAATTCGCGCGCTTGACACCTTTGTGAGAAAGATCCATACTGTATACGGATGATTGGAATCATTGGATGATTTTTGTTTCGGGCAAGTGCACTTAACGATTGTTTAAATTTAGATCAACAGTCTTCAAAAAGAGATTGATGAAGAAAACGAGACGAGGATAAAACTCTATGCAATGAAGAAACTATCTAAACCTCCATATCCCCATTCAAGGATTGACCAACAAATTGTGAGTATATCTTGAAATAGACAGGTGCATGTCAGGTAATCCGTTACTAGTTTCATGAATGCTATATTAAAAACAGCACCATGCATAAATGCATTAACATCAATCTGCATAATTTCCAAGATAATTAAATGATTAAACAGTTATTGAGTGATACCACAGAGGTGTATAAAAACAAATCCAGTGATGGTAGCACACCACAAAAAAACTGTCGTTTTTAGTTGAGAACTAGCAATGATTGCCGGCGTTCTTGCTTGTATGCAGTCCAACTCGTTTTTCTGTTTTCAGGCGATATTGTAAATAGGAAATTGACCAACAAAGATCCATTCAACAAAGATGCATTTAGTACTATCTAATGTGCACGGCTTAAATCATGTTTCATTTCTTTTCCTATTTTTAGACTAAATCTGAACAGAAGAGTGAATCTTTGAAATTCCTAATGCTCCAGTATTGTTCCGGATTAGAGAGCTGTGAGACGGACATATAGTCATACTTGTTTTTGACGATTTTGTAAATAGAAAACCCTTATAATTACATACATACCCATCACAAAGACCAAACTAGATAATTTTAGGTCTGGTTTCTATTAAGTCTACACTAAAATTATTCTCAGAAATAAAGTAAAATAATTATTCAAGTTCCATTGTTTAATTCTTGTTGAATTGAGCGAAGCAATCGTTTCTGCCTGCGAATCCTTGGATCAAGGAATAATGCAAAAGCCTTTTGATGCCATGAACTCTAGAGCACATATAGGCGCATTCAGGCTCAAGGACACGTTTTTCCTGATGAGTAAAATTAGTTAATCTTTATGTACATGTAAAAGATGGGTATTAATTTAGCAAGAATAAAAACAATCAACCAATAAATCTAATTTGATGTGTTGATTTATGCTAATTTTTTATATTGCCAAAATGGATAGTTCAACTTTAAATTTCGATTGGGCCAACAATAGATCACAGAAAATTAAATGTAACATACCAAAATCTAAGTTAGCTCTTTCTACATTTAATGGGGTTTATTTTAGCACTACAGCTTTTATAATATTTACGTTGTATGATTTCAAACATGTAACGTTTTTTTTTTGGGACACCCGGTAGAATGTCTTTATATATACAGCTGTCTGATAGACTGATACTGTTTTGGAGAAAAAGAAATAGAAGAATCCAAATCTAACACATGCACAGGCGTAATATATTAATACGTCATATATTAATATGTCATGCTACTCTCTAAAAATGAAAGGGCGGTTTGCTAGATGCGGAGTTGCAAAAAAGCTGTGGATACGCGGGTACCACCCGGAGGAATGTTTGCTTTGAATGAGGTTTGTGAGGAAGGTTCAAAGTTGAACACTCTAATTGATCACATGTATGTTTACCGAAAAACCAAATATTTCTTTATGCTGTTTGCTACTTGACTCAATGACGTAACGTCATTTTGAGGAAGGTTTTCAAAACTTGAAATCCTACCGGAGGAAGGTTGAACTCTTTTTGCAACTCTGGCTAGATGGAAAATAGTGCTAACCCGTTTTTTCTCAGTTGACCTCTATATAAAACGAAACCTCTATAGTCAAACGAAATTTTGTCGTCGACTGATGTCCACTTTTGCCTCCAAACCATTCGTGAGTATTATTTGATGTACTACATTTTTTTACAATCGCAGTTTGTATTTCTAAATTAACCAAATTTTTGTCGCGATGCCCAGTTTTTGTCGCGGTGCTCTGCGGCCTCTGCCTGGAATGGTCACTGGATTACTTTTCCATTGTTAGATCAGTGACCGGATGTGTCGCACCCACTGAGCTATATAATAATTATTATATATAGCTCAGTGGACGCACATCAGTACGATCTTCTCTGATTGGTTAGTTGAAACAAGCGGGCAACTTAAAAATCCAAGCGTGTGCAAACCTTCGAAATTCGATCGTTGTCTTCTTCGTTAGAGGTTGTGTCAAAGTCTTTGCTGAAATAACGTGTGTAGAAGTGCTTTACTTCGATACAGACTTTGTGAATTTCGAGTAAGCAGTCTTGGCCGTTCGGGAAAGACGTTTAACAGGTCTATCGAACCAGTTTTCGCTGTGAAAGATCGTTCACCTACGTACGAAGTCAATATACGATTCTATCGAAATTCGAAAAGAATAAAAAAAGTATAAATGGCTTCCACAGGACTCCGCGTATCCAACAACGCCTTGAATCAAAACGAAAGAAGCAAGCTGTCGAAGAGAGTTCAAGACGAGAATGCAGAAAGCAAGAAAAACGAAGCCTTACCGGCAAAACGCGCAGCGTTGAGTACCTTGTCGTCAAACAACATTAGAATTCAGCCGTTCAGAGCTGCGAAGGTACACACCACACTGCACAAAAAAACTGAATAACTGATTGTATGTCGAAGCATACTAAAGAATTAGTTTCAGGAGTAGTTAAAATTGGTTAAGATTTGCAATTCTGTTGTACTTTTTTATAGGCACAAGCGCCGACAGCGTCCTTTCGGAATTCAAGCGACAATGTTTTTGCCAAAGTTGCCAACTCTGGTTTCAACGTTCCTTCACAGGGCTTCTCAATATACGTCGATAAAGATTCAAACAAGCCAACGTCTTTAGCTGGAAAAAGAAATTCCTCTTCTGTGAGAACGGAAACCCTCGAACTTGATTCTGTGGTCACAGCGCTGTCAAGACAACCTTTGGCTGAAGTATTTCCACCACCAAGCCTTCATCCTAAAATTGATGGTATGCCTCCCGATATTTAAACAAACTTATATTAATTAATTTGTTAGTGGTTGTTCACTTCTGAAAAGCAATATTTTAGCAAGTCTCCTGTATATGTGTTTTTATGGGCCAAGTAAGATGAATATAAACTCCAGACATGCTTTGCTTGTGGGAATGGGGAATTTATAAAAAATTTGTTACAGCAAATGCTTTTAGACAGAAAATCAGAAACATCTTGCATGAAAAATTTGGCATGTGTAAAACATGATCACCATCAGATGTTTTAAAACTGTTAACATCGAAAAGTCCTGTATGAAAACTGGGTTAAAAAAAATTTTGCAGGTAAGGCAAATAATCTTTCCTTAATACAATTTTGGTTTAAACCAAAAATTATGCCCCACTTTAAAACATTTATCTAAACTCTGAACAACTCACATGAGCAATTGGTGAACTTAAAATTAGGCCTTTAAGTGCATGGTCATGGGAATAGAAACTATCATATAAATATTAAAAAACGAACAGAAGTAACAGATTGTTAGCACCAGTGTCATAATCGATCTACATTGCAGTATATAAATCAACTGCACTGCGGCTAATACACTTTCCTCACTAATTTTTTCTGCTAATGTTTGTGGAAAGGGTGAGACCACTGGTATTTATTATTTTTGCTAATGTCTTTGCCACCTCAAACTGTTTCCTTCAAAATTCCCTTGGTATTGTAATAGATGTTGGTTGATTTCCATGCTTAAAATCTCTTTTCTGAAAAGGCTTTTACCTAAAGCTGCTAAAGTTTAATCCCGATAAGTTATATAGAAAAATGCTATGTTTTCTAGACTCGCCAATGTTGCTTGATTCAAGTGATGAAGAAAGTGAAGCAGATGATACACAGCAAATCAAAGATATAGATACAAGTTCAGATGTCATAATTGATGTTCCTGAGTATGCAGCAGAAATTCATCGCTACCTAAAGGAAGCTGAGGTTGTTAACATTTACCATACAATTCGATTGTCTCATTCATCTGTATGTAACATGTGATTACAAATTTGCTTGGTTTAGGCCCTAATCCATTTAGTTAAATTGAAATTTTTGCTTCAGTTAAAATACAGACCCAAATCTGGCTATATGAAAAAACAACCAGACATTAACAACAGCATGAGAGCAATTCTTGTTGATTGGCTTGTTGAAGTGGCAGAAGAATACCGTCTATCTCCAGACACCTTGTACCTTGCTGTGAATTACATTGATCGTTTTCTTTCATCCATGGTTGTACTAAGAAAGAAACTACAGCTTGTTGGAACTGCTTGCATGCTTATAGCATCCAAGTTGGAGGAAATTTATCCACCTGAAGTAGCAGAATTTGTATATATCACTGATGACACATATTCTGACAAGGAGGTATGAATACTATTATACTATAATTGTGCTATAATATAGATATGTTTATAGCTAAATGTATTAATTATGGAGTTATGAAATGTCCATTGAGAAATTAAATGCAAAAATTTACTCTTGTTTAAAGAACACCATTCGTTGCTATTTATAGGTTTAAATTCGATTGTAAAACTAAATTGCACATTATATAATCTTTCAGGTTAGAAAAATGGAGAACTTGGTGCTCAAAGTTCTTGCATTTGACTTGTGTGTCCCAACAATACTGTCATTCTTGGGTCGATATGAGAGGGCAGCTGATGTTCCAGAAGGAATGAAAAGAAAGTTCTGCTTTTTAACAAGGGTATGTAATAGAATTAACAACGAATACAACCCAAAAACGTTGAGAAATGCAATGTAAGCTGAAACCGCGTCTAGATATACTTGTTTAATTATATCCTAAGCATTCCTTGCTATAAGCATGTTTGTAGTCGCCAAACCTAGTTCGAACTAAAATTTTTTTGCATTTGACCAAAGTTTTTGATTTGGTGATTAAAGTACGGTACTCTATTTTCTCTGTAGTATATCTGTGAACTTACACTGCAAGCTGCAGATCCTTATTTAAAATATCATCCTTCGACTATCGCCGCTTCTGCTGTGGTTTTGTCTCTGCATATTCTTGAGCTTCCGTCATGGGTAAGTCTCTCCACTATATACATGTTGCACGTTTTTGTCGTTTAGACTTTAGTTCTACCGGCCTGTCTTCGGACAACTTTTATAAAGATGGCGGATGTCTTATTTTCCATTCTTGAAAGTTTTTAAAAACTAGGAGTCTAAGTTTCTTCTGGCATCTCCACGTCCTTGGTTTTTCCAGCCTGCATGGCGACGATGGTATTATAATTCTCCAAACGCTCTTTTTCCTTACACAGACACCCTCGTTAAAGCACTACACGGGTTTTGAACTGTCAAGCTTGAATGATTGTATCAGTGATTTACACAGAACCTTTTCCATGGCACCGGGCCATCCTCAAAAGGCGATTCGAGAAAAATACGCGGAATCCAGGTGAGCATATGTTGCTTCATAGTGTTGTGCTATCCCTGAATTTTACCCAGTCAAAGAAATATCTTGCATTTTTCGGAAAATCCACGATAAACTTTGTCTGTAAAAAGTTGTCCAAGACTTGACATTCGATTCTTGTTTTTTTGTAGATTTTTGAATGTTGCAAATATTCCTTCACCAAGTACAGTTCCGATAGCGTGAATGGACAATCCTAACTCGTTTACATTTGTCATCTCTCGGCCTGGCGGGCAACTTGGCAAAATTGTACATTTGTAAATATGCTGTACAGATTAGACTGTGGTAGATCTGACCCACATTATTGTGCATATGTAGCTACATATTCTCCCACTGCCAACCCTAAACAGTTTGAGGCGGTTTTATTGGAAGAAAGCACTAAAAATATCGAAATGTTTGGAACCCGATTGAATTAGAGTTAGTTAGATATTGTTAAATTTTACCCCATTTTTCCAAGTTTTTATAATGTGTAATAAATTCAAAGTTTATATACCATAAAATTTGTCTCTGCTTTTAGTAATTCTTGCATGTACACAAAAAATGAATCAATTTACACTGAATTTAAAGTAATAATCAAATAGGGTATACATGTTAACTTATTACTGATGAGAATAGTTTGATGTACTGTATGGCGGGAACGAAAAGTGTTCAGTGACTTCAGCTTCTTGCTTTGGCATGGGCTAATAGGATAGTGGATAGGCTTATCACATTTGAAAGGTTTTTGTTTTAAAAGTCGCATCTGAACACTATAGCTAAATAATCATGGCATCATAAATAAATAAACGGCATCCTGAACCCTTATAATATCCTCAATCATAAGTAATAAGCATGTATGTGTGGATAATGCCTTTCGTTTCCCAACATAAAGAAACAGGAAAACAATCAAAAAAATTTTATTATAGAGTTATGCGACCTCTTCGGTACAGTCTAAGACTATGATGCGGCTTAATCATACATATCACCAGTGTTTGTATTATTTAATTTTACAATTCATTGCCTACTGAGTACTGTAAACGCAGGATTTCGAAAGGGGCATATCGATTTTACAGAGTACACGTATTAAGATAAACAAACTATAAATCGGTTCAGAAATCATACGTACAGCCTTAATGGCCTTATTGCTTTTGTTGCTGCTTGAATGGACCAATGTCAATGACCTATTGAACAGCTTTGTCAACTTTTATTATAATATATATACTGATATACTCAATTTTTTTCCATCTATAAACCCGACGGCTTTGCAAACTACTGTGCGTATTAAAATAAATGAATCAGTGCATTGCTATTACAAATTACACTGCCGTAATTATACAAATTATTCATTAGCCTTTTGCTGTAATTAAATTTCAAATCTCATTAGTGTCTCTTCTTTGCCACAAGCGTGAAGTCTTTAGGACGATGAACTTGTAGACCTGTCGGTAAAACATCCGGTTTCTCTGCTCCTTCAGGCAGTTCGAACTTGTAGTGATGCAATAGCGTTGAGGCAAAAACGAACATCGTGACCTTCGCTAACTGTTGACCAAGACATTCTCTACGACCGAGGCCAAAAGGCATAAAAGCATGTCGCGCTGTCCAACCAACGAACTTTCCTTCTTCGTCAAGAAATCGTTCTGGCTTGAACTCATTAGGTTCAGTCCATTCTCTGATATCATAGTGAATTTGGTTGATATTTAGAAAGAGTATTGTGTTCTTTGGAACATGATAGCCAGCGACGTTTGTGTCACGAATAGCAGTTGTCGCTGTGGCTGGAACAGGACCCGACGTTCGCATAACTTCACATAAAGTAGCCTGTAGGAAGGGCATGTTCTGAGCATCTTGCCAGCATGGGAGTCGATCGTTTTTCACTACGCTATCAATCTCTTTGTGAAGTTTCGCTTGGATTTCTTGACGTAAAACGACGTGGAGGAGGAACCAACATATTGTAGCTGCAGTTGTATCAAACCCACCAGAAGCAAAATCTAACATCAAATTTGGTATGTCTTCTATTGATCCGATGTCTTTTCCAGTCTCTTTGGCAATCTCTTTCTCATAAGCTGCGATGAAGCTGTCTGTCAGATCACGTGTTACACCTGGAGTATACGTCTCACGATGGGCAAAAAATTCTGGTAAAAATAATAGCTTTTTGATCTCTTTAGCTCTCTCTATCTTACGTTTGAAGTTGCTTTGGTATTGAAGGAAAGGTAATAAATGATAAATAAACCTTTCAGTGGTCTGATTCATGATTATCGTTTGCAATTCCTGGAACAGATGATGCATGGTTTGATCGTTGACCGATATTTTTTTAGACGTTAACCATTCCCATATTTGTGGCAATAATGTTAGTGGAATAAGTTTGTTTGGCGAGAATGATTCACATTTTTCAATCTCTTGCAAGGCGAGTTGAACAGCATGCCTGGCTCGATCTTCTGCCTGTTCTATGCCGTCTCCAAATAAGTGCACTGACGACCTAAATACCTTCTTGCGGAATAAATATCCTGGCGAATAGTCTGAAAAGCCAACGTCTTTTTCAAATATCAACTCTAAAGGGTAGCTTGATTCAGAAGATCTGCCCGCGAAGTCGTTTCTTGCGGAAAGTCTCGCCTGTCTTGCTAGCGACGCGGTATTTATTACAACAAACGTTCCATTCGGCAAAAATGCCGTAAAGATATCTCCATATTCATTAGACAAATTTTCGAAAAGAAATTGTTGATTGGACATAACCTGAGGTATATTGCCAATCCACGGGAGAGGAAAGGGACCAGGTGGCATTCCTCGCTTCTTTATCCAGGTATTACTAATGTACCATACAACCCAAATAAGGAATGCGGACACTGCAACTTCTATAAACATGATACTGGCGTTGGTTCTGATCTAGAAATTTAAGATAGAAAGTTGAGTTGTGAAGGGTGAATGTTCTATCTGCAAAAGTCAAACTATGGGCGTTATACATCCTGTGTGGTAACTGCAAAGAAATCTTCATTTCCCGAGAGAAAAAAGACATTTCCCGATTTCCGTACACATAAGATATGATAATATTCGTTGAATACTGCAGAGACGAAAATTCATAATGTGCTGTCTCAAATAATAAGAATTATCATTCACTTTATAGTATTCTCAATTTTTGATTGGTTAATTTACCTGCAGTTAACTGCGTGCAAATAATACTCAGCTGCAAATAATACTCTGAGCATGCGCATTAATGTCAATTATGTCATGCGCATTAATGTCAATCCTCTGCCTTCGGCATCGGCAAATAATTGATCTGCTCGCCACCGACAAATCACGATATTTTGCTCGACTTCGTCCAATAATTGATAATTAACTCGTGTTTTATATGGGAAACGACATGTTATTATAATGTTCGTTTAGCATTAGACTATCAACTAATGAATGAACTCGTAAGTCACGTTACTCACATAATAATCCGGGTTGCATCCATTCGATACAAGGAATAGAATTACAGGTAAAAGACTAATGATCTTAATCAGAGACTCAAATGCATGTACTGTTGAGAAAAAGTGACTGAGAAAAAAGAGGAAAATGTAAGTATGCACCTGAAAGAGCCACTCTGGGGAAGCATTTGATCAGTTAGGGCCTGCGTTTTCACCTACGAATTTTCCTGAGATTTTTGGTGCGATTTTCTTCTTCTGATAGATGTGAACGAGTGAATTAATTACGGATGTTCTAATTAGCGATTAAAAGAATGATTTCAAAATAGAGTACTTTTGGAGACACATGATTGATTTTTTTGGGACACATAATTGACCCTTCAATGTATGAACTACAATATTTATGTTATATAATATATACATATTTATTCAATGTATGAACTACATATTGTTTGAACTAACATGTGAGTTTTAATGCATGAATTGTACAAGTTTGTATTGAAAAAACATTGAAAAATTTTATTAATAACGTTGCTTATCTACATCATACATGCACTTACATTAAAATGTTAATTATCTGTTAAAAGTGTAAATAAAGGTTTTTTAACTTCGAAATGCTTAGGGAAAGGTTGTTCAGGTGTTTATTACCCATTTAAGCGCATTTGTAAGTTAACCAGTTGAGTTGTTGAAAACCTGCATGGTGTTGCGTACCCATGCAGGAATGCGCACTAAGGCTTGGTTACTGTTTTGACACATAATGCATGTATAGTAAAACAGGTATAAACCTAAAATTACTAGAGACTGAATATCACCTAACAGACATGCGGGCTCAGCCTCGTACCCGGGTGCTTTAATAGAAAAATATATAACCTTCCATTCAGTGCATTCAGTCAGCTGAAATAAACCATTCCAAGCACCCCCGCGCGCTCGCCTTTTTTCAGCTGACCTCTTTATAATAACTGAATGCAACATTATATATTTTATTATGAAAGCGCCCGGGTACGAGGCTGATGCAGGCTTTCCACTGCTGCTGAATGACATGTTTTTCGATAAATGAAACTGCCACAGACGACGACTATTTGTGACGACTATTTTTGAATTGTGACAGAAAAATATATCACGAGTAACTTTATCACGCATACCGCACTTGAGAGGTAGAGGGGAAAGATTATTTATTGTTTAAAGCTCTTCCTTTTTTGGCTGGGAGCTGCACTAATAAAGCCGGATTATTAAATTGCCTAGCTCTCAAGCGCGGAATTCATGATAAAGTTAATCGAGATAGATTTTTGTTTCTTTGCAAATGTCGATTGACTGGCATCTAAACATATCGATATTCAATGTTCATACATGCACTTTTTAACATATTTTTCAACAGCATTGGCACCAAGCCAAGGGAGTAAACAAAGTAGCTACAAAGTCAAAAATTACAAAACAGTGCTGCACGAATCAGTTATCGAACTACGCAATTAAAAGCGCAAAAACATATATATATATATATATATATATATATATTTATATATATATATATATATATATATATATATATATATATATATTATATATATATATATATACACCCGTTTGCAAAAACGTTGGCCGCAGATAGATAGATAGATAGATACTCGAAATCTAATTAGAATTGCATATGTTGTGTAATATTATAGAAATCCCATGCAAATGTAATCATATGCAATTCTAATTAGACTTCGAGTATCTATCTATCTATCTATCTGCGGCCAACGTTTTTGCAAATGGGTGTATATATATATATATATATATTTATATAAAGCTTCAAATCATTGAAATCAAAAAGTAAAACATCATTTGAAAAGAAAAAAATATATATTACGTTTCGGGGCACAGTAAATATACCATAGCCCTAACATTTGCATTTTACAGCAATTAATCATCCTTTGACATAAACTAATACTCCTCCCTTAAATTTAAACCCCTTGGAATATAAGTATTCAATTTCTCAATCCAAAAACTTTCCCTTTCAGTTGGTTTATTAACATCAGTGACGTCAATAATTTGCACTAAAAAGTCATTAAACCCTGAATGCCCTGCTTCAAAAAAATGTTCATACAAATGCTGTCCACAAATACCCCTTTGTCCTTTAGCAAAACTATTGATCGAACTCTTATGGTTATTAAACCTTAACCTAAATGACGTAACTGTGTTGCCCACGTATTGTTTACTACAAGTTTTACCAGATAAATCACTCCCTTTGAATTGCAGTCAAAGAGGTGGTTAATATAGAACTTACGCCGCCGAACCGTACTATAAAATACTTCGCCTTTCACAATAGAATCACAAACTTTACACTTTTTACTACCACATTTAACCATCCCCTTAACTGAACATTCAACTTTTTGCAATTTAGCCCTAACCAGATGATCTCTAAGGCTTTTGGATCTTCGAAAACATACCATAGGCTGTTCAGGCATAACGCTCAAAAACTGCCCAGACAAACCTACAATATTTTGCAATTCCCTAAATATATATATATATATATATATATATATATATATATATATATATATATATTTATATATATATATATTTATCAATGAATGTTCTCCGGATTTAAAATTGTTTTTTATTGAGCTTTCGACTCGGTACTTCGAGTCTTCTTCAGAATATCTAAATTATTTACATGTGTATAGCTTTATATACAGGGTGTATCAAAAAAAAGGAGACCTTTAGAAATCAAGCTATTGTTAAAATTTGAATGCTTTTTCAATTGCATTTGCACATATGCTAAACCGTAGTGCGTGAAATATTGATGGCATGCATGCATACATTAGAAAAAGGAGACCTTTAGAAAATGAATTGACGTTTGTACACAAGATTGTCTGCTCCTGGGAATTTGGAAATAACTTTAATAGCATAAGGAAAAATAACGACCCAAAAATATTCAAATGACTAAGCACAAACGACTAAGCACAAAAGCGATAACAGTACGCGTGGTAAATTGCTTTAGCTGTTCCTTCAAAACATGAACAAATCATTTGTTCAAAAATTTTTAACACTGCGTGCGAGCATTAGGGCTGTTCACATGAGTTAGAATTGACTTTGAATCCGGAATGGCTCAGCATCCCATTTTACAAACTCTGCCTATTAAAATGTTTACATGAGTCAGGAATGAATTACAACTTGATCTGACACAGATTCACTTGACATTTCGATCCGGATTGAAAATTACTGATAAATTGAACATTAAAAGAACTGAATGTCATGGACCATGACCTCCAACGTGGCCTCCATTTCTCTCAACACAAACTACCGTACGCTTGTGCATATCGCGAACTGCTTTTCTGATGACGGCAGACTGGGTATAAGTTAAGACTACGAGAACTCTTTGCTCCGAAGTCAGTTGAACCATTTTTGTTCTGGTAGTGTGCTTAGTCATTTGAATATTTTTGGGTCGTTATTTTTCCTTATGCTATTTAAGTTATTTTCAAATCCCCAGGAGCTGACAATCTTGTGTACAAACGTCAATTCATTTTCTAATGTATGCATGCATGCCATCAATATTTAACGCACAACGGTTCAGCATATGTGCAAATGCAATTGAAAAGGCATTCAAATTTTAACAATAGCTTGATTTCTAAAGGTCTCCTTTTTTTTGATACACCCTAGCTGTATTTAAGTTTCGCGCTGTTCTTTAAGACTCTGTATACGTTGAGAGCGTCTGATTGGTTGTTTTGAAGTTGATCTGATATGAGTGGTAGTTGAGGGATGCGTTGTCATGGTTGACTGCATTTCGTTGTCAGGGATGGTCGCTGTGGAATGATTAGATTGTTGTGTATCAGATGCGGGTGGATTTATGTTATTATTAGTTACATTAATGTGATTATTGATAGAGTCCTTACGTTTTGTCTTAAGTTGCAGATAGACTGCAGGAATATCAATGTGTCTGTTAATAGTATTGTCGTCTGTACTAAACCAAGCTTCTTTGAATTCACGTGCGTGTTTTGTTCGTGCTCGTCCGAGTAGTTCAGTTTTTGTCCAGGCGAAGTTGTGAGAGTTGTCGTATGTGTGTACTGCGGTATGTGTGTTTAAATATATAAAGCTATACACATGTAAATAATTTAGATATTCTGAAGAAGACTCGAAGTACCGAGTCGAAAGCTCAATAAAAAACAATTTTAAATCCGGAGAACATTCATTGATAAACAAATATGCCTGGATTACAAATTTTTAAACACACATATATATATATATATATATATATATATATATATATATATATATATATAATAAAATATATATATGTATATATATATATATATATATATATAATAAAATATATATATGATATTATTAATAATATATTAATAAATATATATATATATATATATATATATATATATATATATATATATATATAATATCCAAAGAATTGACTGCAACAAAGAGTTCACAGAAGAGCGCTCAATACCATTACCGGCAGAGCGA